CATGCCTATCAGCAAATCTCCCGTCCATCTGTCCTCCCTCCCTCTTCCTCTTCCTCCCCCCACCCCCCACTCCACAACCCAAGCAGTCCTTCTGGTCTTCTGAAAGGAAGATGGGCAGGAATAATAAACTGGGTAGAACTGGTGTTCAAATTTCCAAAAGCATTTGGATAATACAGTGCAAGGGCTTGGAATATACAGGAAAAATACCCCTCTTCTTAGCACGCTGGAGCACTGCCAAATGCAGCTGGGTCTGGAGCTAAGTTTGATCCTAGTAGAAGGCTGCCACTGAATTTCTGTGGCAAGCCACCGGTTGTGTGTGTGCCTGCAGAATCAGCAGAATCAGCAGTGCCCCATGGCGTGTGGTCTGGGAAACTTAAGGGGATTAAAACGACCCACCCGTGCCCCACGTCGCCCACTCCTGCGATGTTAGTTGCCCTAGTTCCACCTCACATGCATTTTCCAAACTAGAGCAGTTGATTTTTTTAAATGCTCTGTTCATTCCAGTTTCTTCATAACTCCACCACCCAGCTTACAATGCTATATTCCTTGGTAAGTGGTATGCGCTGGCCTAGTTTGATGTGACGGTGTAATCATTCTCAGTCATAAGATGACCTAATTCAGATCAGAACTCATAGATAAGGGTTGTCCTCATTCTGAATTTGGCTCGAATGCGAAAGATCTTAGCCGCAAAATGACCTGATTCAGATCCAATATAAGCTCTCTTTGGGTGCTCAAGAGAACACTTTAAGGGCACGCAGCTCGGATTTTGTCATGTGGAGTTGGCCATGAATCCTGAAAGGGAGCTGCGCATCACCATGGGCCCAGCCTTAGTAGGACTCTCAATCTCACGCATTGCTCTGAGTGACCAGAAACATGACTAGAACTGCCCTGTGGTTCCACTGGTTCAACACTGAGTCTGCATGGCTGGAGACACCGGGCCAGAACCAGCCGGCCCAGCCCTGACCTCCTCCTCGCTTCGAATGGAGGGTGCTGGTGGCTCCAGACTCAGTGGGGCAGTGTATCCAATGTCACCCTCTTAGGCCTGTATAGCTTCTGTGTTTTGAAACCACCAGCTCCAAGAGTGGAAGCTGTAACTGTGGCTGAAGAGCTGAGGGGCATGAATGTAAGACATGGACCCTGCTGCCATATTCTTGCCCATAGACCTCTTCAGTCAAGCCATGTTCCCCTTACAGCCCTGTGCAGAGCTGCTGTCAGGGTTGAGAAGGCCCTGCCAATTTGTTGGAAAGGAAGGGGAACATCAGGAAAGGCTACCGCTGCTCCTCCCCAACCTATTTAGAGACGGGCTACTTGATATCTTCCAAATATCTGGGTCCACAAGAAGTCTCAGATTCCTGACAACTGGCCATGCTGGGTGGGTGTTATGAGACATGTGGTCCAAAACATCTGGTGGACACCAAGAAGTCTGTCCCAAACTCCTGCTGTAAGTTTTCAGGGCAGAGAAGCATGCAATATGTTTTTTCCCACTGAAATGTGAGGAGGGCGGGCATCCTCTGGTAGCTTCCTCTCCACAAAGCTAAAAACGTGACTACCTCTATCTTTCCCTCTGAATGGTAGTGATGGGGAGAGGTAAATTGCAGCGGATAATGGCACAAGGGGAGAAGTTGTGCATACTTTCAGAGTTTAGGAGGTAAACATTATCTTGCACTTTAAATAAAAGTTCCAGTGGCAGCAGTTTCAGAAGCCTCAACAATGAAAGAATCGCAGAATTACGTGCAATGCATTGTTTCGTCCTTAGCAAAATGAACGTTCAGAAAACTGCAGGGCTTGTTGTGTTGGTTTCTCCCTGGGACAAGCATGCTCAACTTGTGAAATGCTTGTCAATGGTGTGTTTTTGTGGTCTTGCGTGACACAACATTTGCCTGTGGTTTATATTTATTGACAGTTCATCACACCAGAAGAACCACTGGAACAGAATTGTCAACATGAGGCTACTGGCAAACACACGGCTGCACCCAGGGCTGCAGGTGCCTTGTAGAGACTGGAGTGTTGCAAAGATTTCATGAGACAGCCAGAGGGGGAACCCGACTTCCCTGGAGCCATTTGGCGTCATGTGTTGCTTGGCTGCTTAGTCGAGACTAATCAGCTGTCCTAGAAAGCCCACAAGCTGTGTGCTATGTCAGCCAGGCTACCTTGCAGATGTGTTGCACTGCAAGTGCCATAATCCCCAGCCAGAATTGACTGGGGCTGATGGGGGTTGTGATCCAACCTGTCCGAAAGGCACCACATTGGAAAAGGCTGGGCTGACTCAGATGGGTGGTGGCTCTGGGACAGGGAAGAGGGCTCTTCCTGCTCCTCGGCCCTTGTCACAGCAATGGTCTCCTGGGTGGAGACCATCGCCATCCAGCTATTGACCCTCCTTCCGCAGCCGCATCCCAGTCCAGCGTGGGAGTTCTGCATCTACCTTGTACCGCCTCCGCGTTCCACTGCCTGTCACAGATGCACCTCTTGGTGGAGGAGGGCATCCCGGCTGGAATGGCCTGCATGGAGCGCTGGAGCATTTGGATCCAGCCCTGAACCAGCAGCCGCCTTCAGGGACCCATGTGCTGCCTCATGTATTCATGCGAAGGCTCGAGAGGAAGAGAGCAGCGATAAGCTGCTGAGCTCTCTACCCAGCTTCTGATTTTTCTTTTCATCCTCTGTGTTTTCACATATCAACTCACATGTGAACTTTCCTGATCATTATCAAGAAGGAGGAAGGTGTTTATGTGACTTGATAAACTTCTTTTGCAACATTTTTCAACCACCATGCAAGGCCAAGAGGAACGGGGCTATTTCAGTCAAATTTCATGTGAGTGGCAAAAGCAGAAAGACCATTTCTGACGGTGCAGTTGATCTGAGTCTTGGCATGCTTTTTTCTGGAAACATACTGAGTTGTAGCCAGAAAATTAAATTCTATTGACCTACTATGCACTTGCATTCTGTAGGACCACATAAAGAACCTTAGGAAACTGCTTCAAATGAGGTCAGGTTATTTGTTCAGACTTAAGCTGCTGTGCTGTTTAGCAAAAACAAAAATCAAAAAGTCCTGTAACTCTGAGCACGCCCCAGCCAGGCAAAGAGCCTTTTTCTCTGCACATGCATAAGATTGTGCTCCGACTGGTGCTGACTTCCCTGATTTTAGACCAAGGATCAGGCAACGGAATTAGCAGAACTCCTGGTTTGTCATACCTCAGATTTCTGACTTCCACAGGTTTAACAAAAGTCAATCACATCGGCAGGCTCCCATCAGAGACGCCAGAGAAGGCAGGCAGAAAAACTGCAGTGGGTTATTTTCTGAAATCTTAGGAGGTTCCAGTCTGACCTTGTAAGGCACAAAAGGGCTTGGACCAAGGACCAAGGCTCCAGTGCCTTAGTCTCTGCATCATCAGCACAGCTTACAAGGGGAGAATACTATGGCCTGAATCTTCCTGTTTCGCAGTGTTATCCAACCTCCAGCAATGGCAAGAAGCTTCAGCCAGTCAACCGAGAGAAATCGGTGGCCCAAGAAACCACAATGGCTTGATGTAAGAACTTTCCTAGCCTTGACTCCTAGCCTGTCTGTGAAAGAAGCTGTTGAAGCAATTCCTCCTGGGCCACAGCATTTGCTTTTCACCCACTGTGCCCCAACACACATGCCCACACAAACGAGCTTTTAGAGAAATAATCCGGTGAGCTGTGCATTTTCTAAGAAAACTGCCACTGCAAAATGTGTGTCTTTTTAAGACCTTCCAAACCAATAATAATCAGCGACCTTTCTCCAAAAGTTTCCGAGGCTATCGTGCTCTTGTTAGAAGACAAAAGCACTGGCAGATCTTATTTTTGGACAGCTGTCTTAATTCTTCAGTGCCTTTGCATTTTTATACATTGACCAGACACTCCCTTTGCCTTAACAGTTATATATGGAAGAAGCAAGTAAAAAGAAAAGCTGCACCTGCTGGAAGGTGCTCCCCTCGACGACACAGGAGCCACCTGTCACCTACAGCTGGTCCTTCCATCTCAGGAGGATCACACCAGGGGACCAAGACAGGGACGCTAACAGGGACGGAAGACCTAACCCTTCTCTCTGGGGTGTAAATGCTTAGGGAGGAGAACCAAATAGTGATATGGTAGGAGGCGTTTTGGAGCCATGGGGGGAGCTCCGGGTCAGTACTATGTGTTGGTTGCAGCAGCTCTTGACATTGCTATAAAGGAGACCATTGGTTCAGATGGCAAACTGAGCTCCAGAACCTCATATGTTAAAACAGGACGCTGTATTGCTGAAGATGAGGAAACAACACTGAACAAAATCGAAGGTGCAGAAGAAATTAGGGACCTCGGGACATCAAGCAATGGATGCTGGCACTAAATATTGATTAAATCTTGATGAAACACAGTGGTGTGTGTGTGTGTTCTTCTGGAATGCAAAGACTAAGCTTCCCTTGGTGCATGCATACGCAGGCTGCCTTATTTCCTGCACCTCTCTGCTCTTCTGGGCTGACTTTCCAGAGATAACTCTCCTTCTAGGGGCTGCTCTTACTGACACATGAAGCATAAATTGACTTGGCGAGAGTATTCCTCAAAAGCATCTATATTTCTGCTTTGGAGGCAGTTTTATTTATTTAACAGCTTTGTAAGCCATTGACCATATTTTAAAACCTCTCTGTTACTGACAACTGCAACCTTCTTATCTACTTGTTCATTCTTTTTCTTCTACCTGCATAGAACTCCAAAACTTGCCCCTAGCCTGTGCTGTGAAACTTCGCTCCACTTCTGAATCAGCACTCCTGACTTTGGGCTATGACGACGCTCTGGCCTGGAGCTGGGGAAGTGCACACGGCTGCCTGCAAGCCGCGCGGCATCTTCATCGCTCGCCTGCCTCTGCTAGCAGATTCTCCTTGCCTTCCGGTTTCACACCGTGCCCACTTCTCTGCGTGTTTACATTTCCCCTTGCTGTGGTTACCTTAGAGCTACTCTAGAGCGGGCATATAAAAAAGCAACCCAAACGGCTCTTTCTCTGCCTTTGTCTCTCATTTGCGTGCATACAGGATACAAAGAATGTGAAATCAAGATGACAGTGGCAAGCCCCACGCTCTGTACTTACTTTATCTTTCTTGCTACCGCTGCTTCAGAAAGTGACTCTGGTTCTGGAGCATCACTGGGCTATGGTGAGTCATTTCATGTTTCTCTCTAACTCTCAGGATAATTCCAAACTGTGCAAGTTTCCTGTGCAGAGAGTGTGGCAGCTCACCTGCTCACCTATTATATTTTGCCCCCAAAAAAGGTATCCTGTGGGACCACTGTTGGCTATTAATCAGATATTTGTATCTTGTCTTGTAGCAGAGGAGAGGGGTGATTTCTCTGCATGCCAAAGCACAACTGGGCTGCTAGGTGTTGAGTTCAGCATGCCAAATCCCTCCTTCTTAGGGCATGCTCTTCCCGCTCTCCTTGACAGCCGTGCTGCTTCTCCGCAGCTGAGCGACAGAGCATGGGCTTTGCACACAGACAGCCCAGGTGTGCTCTGCAGCTTCTCCAGCTAGGAAGGACTCCTTCCTGGAGAGTGAGGGAGAACAACCCTCCAGGATCTGACTTGGCACAAGGCTGAAGCCCATGGTGCCTCTTTTGACTCCTGAAGTGCGGCTCCTGAATCTTGCAAAACAGCAAAAAGGGTGGCCAAGCCAGAGCTCAGCACTTCTTGAGTAAGCATTCGTAGAACTCTCTTGGAGATCAGCTTCCAAGTAAGACCTGCCCTTCTGCTAGACAACTCATCATTTTAACCTCCGTTACCCAGATACCTTGATAGCTGGGAATCACTAGTGGTGTGTTGTGTCTTTCCAGTTCTTTGTCACTGCAATTAAGATGATCAGAGGCTGCCAAAGAGTGTCGACTCGAGTGCCTTGTACCTTTCATTGTGGATGTGCACCCAAGACAAAGGGCCAGATCCGGGCTTGGTTTTGATCAGAATTTACCAAAACTTGGGAACTTCACATTAAGAAAAGAAAGAGCATAAGATATTTTTAAAAAATTGAACACAGAAGAAAGCAAATCTGACAGGTTTACCCATCCCTAATTCTTTCTGAACGCATGTGGGCTGGTTTGGGGAGATCTGTGCAAAGCAAAGTGCGCACACTCTGAAGTGCCTGAAGAAAACCAGGCTTTTCGCAGAGCTCTGGGCATCCTTCAGAGACCTGGAGAGATACAAAGATGCAGGTAGAAAGTCTGCAGAAATGGATAGATGCTGCTCCAAGCTCTCTGTACCAAGAAAGCACAAGTGAGTGGGGTTGTTTTTTGACTCACATTTCTAGATGCCAGCCAGAGAATAACTTCACCAGTTCACCCTCTTTTTCTTTCCAGTTACACTGCTTTTGGGAAGGAAGTAGAAAATATTTTATAAGTTGATGTCAATTGATGAGAAAACAGAAAACCTCAAACTGTTTTTCATTCATCATGAAAATCCTTCAACGTTGCACCTCTCGGTCTGAACTCTTTCCAGTTTACTTACCTAGCAGCATCTCTTCATTGTATGCCATTTTCTGCCCTCCAAACATGGGGCAAAGTGAATCCCTCTGTAGAATTGGCTTAAAAGGGAGTGAATCTTAGGCTGATCCTCTGATGTGGGGTTTCCTGCTTTTTCAGCTTTTTATTTATGCATTTAAAACTTTTCTATACTGTCCAGTATGGGACGGTTTACAGCTTTCAGTTTTAATTAGTCATTTAAATCTAAATGACTAGACTTTTTGTACTATTGCTGTTTATTATGTCCAATTATTGGAGGCTGCCTTTGAGTTCTGAGAATCGTCATAACTAAAGAAATCATCCTAAGTAAAGAAACTTCTCCAAACTGTTGCTGTCTCCAGATGGTTCTCCATCTGGTGTCCAGAGATGTGTCCTTCATGCTGCATGGTAGCCCATCTGCTCAGGAAGGCCATCCAGAGCAAGTGAAGGTGAAGGCATTGCTCACATGGGCCCTCTCAGTCATATATCACACCCAAACTGCCTCCTGAGCAAAGGACTGGTCTTGCGAGAGGGCCAGTCCTGCCAAAACACAATTGAAACTCACCCATCCCTAAACTGAGTGCATGTCCCAGAGAGAATGTTTCCAGATATTCTCACACAAGCACGTCTGCCCAAATTCCCTCTTATTGCCAGCTTAAATATGCAAGATTCCAGACATCTGTGCATCCTAGCAATAGTCCAGGGCTGCTGGTGTAGTCATTTATCCAAAGGAACAGCTTTTCAAAGATTTAAAGATCTTCTGGCTTGGGCCTTATAAGTAAATGAGGTGGTTCCATTTTGTTTCTGGTCTTTATTTGCCTCTTTTCTCAAAGGTCAAGCAATGAAATATCAATAATTGTCATGCCTGTGCCTCTTATCCTAATCTATCTTAGTAAGCAGTCAGCTATCGAGCCTAAGAGATCTTATTTAACTGTTTGGTGGCTCATTCAAAGTGTGATTCATGCCCCTGTCAGAACTGTTCCATTTCAGAAGGCAGGGACAGGTAGATGACAGAGAGGAAAGCTGGATCCACTGGTCAGGTGGGCAATGAAACAGGCACGGAAGGAAAATAAAGTGGAAACTTGGAAGGAGGGTAAAATGAACCAAGATCCAACCTGAATGCCTTTAGGGTGCCTTCATGAGCTCTCACTGCAAGAAAGCCTTGAGCTGAGAAGCTTATTTGCCTCCGATGCGCGGAATGAGGTGCAGCAGCCATGATCTCCGCCATTGTAGCAGGTCGCACACTCCGGATGACTCCTTTCAGCCGACTAGGGACAGAGCCGGGGAGGGAGAAGAAGCAAGGCTGGGGAGCTGCCATGACTCTACAGTCTTTGCCTGCACCTTTCCTGGCTCCTCAGCGCAGCCCTTTTCCTCCTGCTCCAAAGCCAGCTGCAACCTCCAGGGAGCACCAGTGTGGCTCCCTGATGGCAGGGGTGGGGGGCTCTGAGCGCACTGTGCAATAGACCGATAAATACATCTTGTACTCTGCCTTGAAAGTTTAGGTAAAGATAAAGTTTTCCTCTGCTCGTGCCTGCCAGTCGCGACTGACTCTAGGGGGGGTGCTCATCTCCGTTTCTAAGCCGAAGAGCCAGTGTTGTCCAAAGACGGACATAGCCTGTGGTCACGTCCTTCTGTGATCATGTGGCCAGCAGGACTAGACGCTTTTGCACACAGAAGGCTGCGGTACCTATTTATCTGTTTGCATCTGCATGCTTTCAAACTCCCAGGTTTGGCAGAAACAGAAGTAATGGGAGCTCACTCTGCTACGAGGCTCTTGAAAGTTTAGAGGAGGCCAAATATTTTACTTCCACAATTATGGAAGGACATAAATTTCCTGTTTTAATAGAGACAGACCTCAAGGTTCAGTCTGCATGCCACTGAAGCCAGTGAGAAACCTCCCAATGAACTCATCGAGCCTGGAACACATTCTGTAACACACCCTAATCCAGTGGTAGCACACCTGTGCTTTGCTCCTGTGCATTGCTTCTGCCCATGAAGATACATTTTCCATGAAAAGCGCTGAAGTGCAGATGGTCAGAGCAGTGGTACCATGACACAATTTTAAAAATGCTTTTCTATTTACACATGATGCCACTGGGCCTTAGTCATCTCCGTGGCTCCCAAAAAGCAGTTCTGCTCCCGAGGTGATACCCAAAAACTTGTCACTGTAAGATTGATTGAATACATGAAATGAAAATCCCCATTAGATGTCATTGACAATTTCCAGCAAAATGAGTGAAACTGCATGTGGGCACGAGTTCTTTCTCGTAACAACTTGCCACGCAATGATAAGTTTAATTCACAACATCAACAGTAAGGGTTGCACAGTCATTCTGAGTGACGGGCAAATGAAAGGTGAAGTGTAATTGCAGTGAGTCATGCAGAAGGTCTGTTATTCGAAAGTTGACTTTTTCAGCTGAGCTCCCTCTTCAAGAAAGGATGTGAAACACCTCTCAGTTGGGCCCTCACCAAAGGGTGAGCCATTGACGTTGTTGCTGCATTGTTATCATCGCAGGCCATATGCACTGCACCTCTTTCTTCATGCAAGGAGACGAAGGTGGCCTCTGTGGCCCTCCTCACCATGCTGATCTCACAACAACCTTGTGAGGTAGGTTAGGCTGAGAGATAGTGACCGGCCTGAAGTCATCCAGTGAGCTTCATGGCTGAGAGAGGAATAGAACCGAGTTCACCCAAGTCCCCGTCCAACACACTAGCAAGTGTGCTGCACTGGCATTATGCCTTCATTTAAATGCGTTTGCCCTCTCTTGCCATTGGAGAAAGGAACAGAACGCCGTGGCATGAGAGGTAAACACTGCAAGGACACATGAGGAGCTTGAGGGGAGGTGTGTGGGATTCTCTGGAGTCCCAGATCTGCGGTCCTGCAGTCTCAGAACCGGGAGGCTTGTGGTCCTTGGCAGCACTGTAGGATGGTGTCCTGCACAGGTGAAAAGGGAAGTACGGCAGATAAAAATAGGATAAAAATGAAGCTCCGGGGAATCAGTTAAGACAGACTCTACTCAGGAGGCCAAGTACCTTCCAGAAAATTATTTATAGAATGGCAAAAGGTTAAACCAGAGAAGACAAGGCAGGGATTGTGAAAGCTCTACCCACGTCTCCACCGTGTGTAGACCTTGGTCAGAAGGGAAGGAGAGCCCTTCTCCACACTTTCGTAACAGAGGAAGAGCAGGACTTACTATGGGAAGGGTGGAAGAGCACGTGCCCTGCACACTGAAGACTGGGGCTTGGCTCCCTCATTGAGCTGGCGCTGCCTCCTGCCAGTGCTGGACCAGATGTTTCCAGGGTCTGACTTGGTGCAAGGCAGTTTCTTATGCTCCTATATGAAAGGAGGCCATCCTTTTGTGGTTGCAAAATGTTTAGGGCTTTTAAAGCAGTGGGGATGACCAGCTTTGAACTGGGCCTGGGAGCCAGGGCAACTCTCACAAAAGGAAATCGTACGCTTCCCAGAACCCTCCACCTCCAGCCTGGACCTTCACTGCCACTACACAATACTTTAAAGGCATCCTGAGCAGCTTCTTCTCCCCAACTTTAAAGTAAATGCTCATTGCTGAGTACTAATGTGGTATCACAGCCACATTCAGTGTCTCTAGGAAGCTGCAGCTGAGACACCAGCCCAAGGTGGACAAAAGCCACCTTAGCTGCCACCTGTATGTTGGAAAGCAAAACACAGAGCCGTGTTTATCTGTACAGGTGAATATAAGAGGAATGACCCCTTCGTCATCCAAAAAAGGATGACTCCCTGCTCCCATATTAATAATTTCACCAGCCAGAAGTACCTCTGGATTAAACTTCAATGTGTTTGATCCCGGTTAGTCATTATATCTTTCAGACACCAAGTCAACACTCAGTAGCATCCTTGGATTGAACTGAAAAAGAGAGAAAGACTGGGTATCTTCTGCATGCTGGTAGCACTGTGCTCCAGACGTCTGGGTGGCCTCTCCTGGAGTTTTCATGAAGATGTTAAATGGCATAGGAGGCCAGATGGGACCGCGTGGGACGTCACACACCAATAGTTAAGGCATCAAATGGGCATTCCCTGACACCTCCTTCTGAAGCTGTTCTTCCAGGGAGGGCCGGTTCATCTCAAAATGGGATCTTCCAGCCCTATCCCGTCCAAGCAGTCCATGATCAAGGTTATTGATAGCTACTGAGAGGTGTTCAGCAATTGCTAAGCCCCTTGGAACATTTGAAGCGGGAGGAAGGAAAGACTTCGCATCATGAGAAGGGCCATGTCTCAGATCAATCTGTTCAGCCGTTCTTGGAGTTTTACACATGACATGGTCCATCTGCCCCACCCCACCCATTGTTGGCTGTAACGAGCTCATCCAGCCCACCCATAAGGCATGTCTCACACACCTGTGGCCCTGTAATAGATGGATGCAATTGAAATGAATGGGAAAGGAAACAAATGAAGCTTAGACATGAACTGGAGTGGAAAAGCAAGACGCCCACCTGTGCATCCCCATGACTGTGTGTGAGGCAACATGAGCTGTTGGAACAATTCATCAGCTTAGACGGGTTGTTGATTTCCACGGGGTTAAGCATGAGGAGCTCCATCTTAGATGGTGGCCAGTGAACTTGGATCACGGAAGTGGAACTTTAATCGGGATCTCCAGCTCTAAAGGCTGATGAGCATGAGAGAGATTGGTCACTCTAAGGGCAGATGAAAGGCACAGAGCTAGCCAAGCAAAGGATTTCCCAGCACCAGTTCTTAAGATGCTAATGTGGAGGGCAGGGGGCATCTGTAGCAGAAACTCATGGGCAAGGGGGGTGCTTAGCCTTTCGTCCACCAAATCTCTCCCACAAGTGTTGCTTTTAAAAGCAAAGCCTACCCCCACCTGGGTTTTGAGACCAAAACAATCCTGGCGGAGAGGAAAGGTCATTTGCCCTCGGCTTGGGCAAGGGTTAAGGGCCCTTTGCATAAAATTGAGTCCATAGTCATTTTTCTGCCACCTCAGTAAACCTGGTTTGGGAATGCTCAAAGGAGCAGGGTGTTTTGCTCTGAGCAAGCCATCTGTCTACAGGTTATTCATGCTGGCTATTTCCCAAATGGCACTGAAGTCAGAATATTTTTCCACAACAACAAATCAATAAAATGTATAGGGGTGGGGCAATAATGAAATTCATTCTTAAACCTGAAATAATGCTAAACCATTGGCGTCTGTTGCTCATGCAATGGTCATTTTTAACCTGCCAGCTTGCACTTCCAATTAAAGCATGGGTTTTTGGATTGATCTCCTCAGGAACCTGCGCAGATTCTGAACTGGACACCAGCTTTGAGTGCATCACTCAGATGCCAGAATTCCAGGAGAACTACTTAATCTGCAATGCCACTGTGGCAGACATGAACCTGAATGAGGCCGACATTTTCTTTTCAGCGTAAGACCCTTTCCTGTGCATTACAGAATAGTTATTTTTTGCAACCTCGCCATGTTTCATGTATAGTTTGACACTCAGTCCTCTTCTTCCAGTTCCCTTATTTCAATACGCAGAATTGGATTTCAGATGGAAATGCCGCTCCTTGTCAGCAGCTGTGAAAGGGTGCACAATGGCGCAAAGATGCCAACTTCAAATATGCATCAATGGGATCTAATGGATCAAAAACGGGGCCCTGGATTTGTGAGAGGCAGCTTGATGAAAATGTCAGGCTAATGTGCAATTATTGCTAAGTAGGCAAACTTTTTGTTAGGCATTAGAACAGGACTTGAAATTAACACTCCCAGAAACATACCTCACTATACAAATCTATTGTGAATACTCTGTATTGTTCTGGTCACAGCACATAGAAAAGGATATGGTACAGTCGGAAAAAAGGGCAAGTGAAATGATCCAGTGGCTGGAGAAAAGGTTGCATGGACTGGGATTTGTTAAGCTTCAAAAATGATGAATAAGGGGCAACATGGCATAAGTGTACTCAATTAAGTGTGGTGTGGAGAAACTGGATAGGGAGTCAGTTTTCTCCTTTTCTTATAGTGCTGGAACCCAAAGGGGTCATTCCATGAAGCTGATTGCTGGGAGAGTCGAGATAGATAGACGGAAGCACGCAGTGTATTAAACTATGGGATTCATTGGCACGATATGTCATGGGAGAAACGCATGAAGGAGAAGGCTATCGATGGCGACATGCCGCCTCCAGGATAAGTGCCAACCTGCCTAAGCACCCCAGTGGCTGGGGGACATCGATGAAGAGCTGCTGCTGCCCCCACGTCCTGCCCGTGAGCGTCCTGGGGGCATTTGGCTGGCCATGGCGTGTACGCAGGGCTGGAACGGATGGACCTTGGGATGAGTTGCTACACTCTTGGTCGTGACCAGGGAAGGTTATAAGAACCATAATCCAGGAACAAAGCACACTATCACCCCAGTAAGGAAAAAGGAAGGTCCAGTCTACAGCATCATCATCCAGTGAAAAAAGTTGTCTGGTCCCATACCTAAGAGTTTTTCTATGCAAGAGTGTTAATTGCCATATCTGCTTTTGGTTTTGCAGCAGAATTGAGATCTGAGCTCTTTCTTTCTTTCCTTCGCTTCTGCTAAAACACCTCTTGGGGGCACTGTCCTATAGGGGAATATTAAAATTGCACAAGTAGGTCGAAAATCATACAAGTAGGAAAATACCCTCTCTTTAGCGCAATAGCCCACTTTCTCTGCTCTAACCCTCCCCACCTCCAGGAAAATACCCTTAAAAATGGACTCTCTGTTCAAGGATCATGATGTTGTTCAAAGGACCAGTCGGCAGCCGTAAGTAAAGAACTGCAGGCAGACGAATGCTGCATGTGGAAAAGCCCTGCATTGCAGCTGCTCAGCAATGTCCACACTCCAGATTAGGAGAGGCTGTTGCCTTTCCCAGAGAGTCCTCACCCCCTGCCACCCACCGAGGGCCCTCCATGACCCTTCTGCTCTCTTCATTTCTCAGAATTATTGGGGTGAAGGAACTGAGAGGAAGCAAGCAGGGATCCTTGGTCCGAACTCAGGATAAGACCTCAGGAACCATGGGAAATGTGTGCAGCAGCTGGATCGAGCAGAGTCAAACATCCTAAGAACTATATTTCCAGGGTCGAGGCGACCTTGGCCATCACTGCCCGTACTACTGCGGCATCTAAGGCCTCTTTCATTCAGGGCACTGAGCTGCGGAGACGGGGGAGGCGGAAGAAGAGGGCTAAGTGCCATTGAATTGATTATGGGAAAAGGATGCTAAGGATACAGTTGCACAGCATGCCAATTTCTTCGTATTTCAGGTGTTTAGGTCAAGTTTTGAGCAGCAGAATCTCAACTCTGAAATTATGCCAGATTTTTGGAGATTCCTTTTTCACATCAATATTCTCCCCACAGTTTTAACAAACAGTTCCGTAACTGCACCATGCTGAGCCAACTGGTGAGCAAATGTTTGCTACAGAACGGGGACCTTATTCCAGCCATAGAAGTTTGCTTGACGGTGACGTTGATGAAGCAGCCATGTAAAGTCTGCCAGAAGCTGAGGGCAGCTCATATCAGTAAGCTGCTTTACATTACTGTTCTTAGGTTACTTGTCCAGAATTGTCTGCAGTGTTCATGCCAGTTCAGAACTAGGGCTCCGGGTCGTTGCATAGGCACAGTGTATCCCAGTGGGACTAGGATGTATCTCAGTCATTGGTGGCCACCTGGGAGCTGCAATCCCAAATCTCTGGCCAAGCAAGGTCCCACCAGGATGCTTTTGCCGTGGGTTTCAGCCACTGGTCCACAGACTGGCACAGGTCCGTGGGAGCTTTCCTGCCGGTCCACGGGGGACGGGGGGCTGCATTCTGCTCACTATGGATTGGTGCAGGGGCTGGTTGTGCTCCCCCAGTCCTTCCTAGGCTGGCATCACATTCATGGGGGGGGGGGGGGCTGGTGCTACCGGAGGTGGGGGCAAGGAGGGGAGAGACAGTCGGCGGGAACCGGCCGGGAACCACACTGTGCCAATTCCAGCATTTTGTTCTTTTGTTGGCATTTTTTGTTGCTTGGTTTCTGGTTGTTTTGGAGAATTTTCCTTTTTTTGGTATTGTCTTTGGCAACTAATACACAGAATACTGTATTATGTGTATGGTGCCTTTTAGTTTCTGCCTCAGCAGTCCCCAAGGTGGTTTTCCCATTTTTACTAGTTCCCAGCTGTGGAAAGGTTGAAAACCACTGCTCTACGGGAAAAGAATCTGCTTACAGACACGTTGGCATGCCTCAGTATAGTTGGGCCAACAGACTCCCATGCTTAAATGTGGCGTACTTAACTATTTAGGTATATACATCAATGGATAATCAAGTTATAGAGGTGCTCTCCTGAAGAAAAGCTTGATTAATTTGTCATGCAAGCCTTAGAAATAAATATCTGGTGACAGCCAGGGGTCATTGGCTTCAATGGATCGTTCCTTGGCAGTATAACTTGCAGCTATGCCCCCCGCCCCCAACGCCATCAGACCTGGGTCTGTAGGAGAGTGGAAAGGGAAAGCCACCTACCCCTGCTTCACTAGGGTCCTGATCCAGAATGGATGCCTGTGCTTGCCCTGGAGTGAAAAAGCAAGGAACAGCTTTGCCTGCGCCTAGAAATAACGTCTGGCTTGGCTCTCAGTCCACGTTGTCCAGTGGGACATGCCTAGCCGTACAGCCTAATGGCATATGTGTGTGACGACAGGCGTTCTAACTTGTGCTGGAACCAGAAATACACTCTTGAAACACATTTTTCTTTGCTTTGGCTGGGTTGTTTGTCCAGTGAAATGCAAGGGAAATGGTTTGCAACCTGAATGTTCCCCCCTGAGCAGGGTGGCTCTGCTCTGAGTCAGGTGCAGAACCATTAAAGTCTGAGCCACTCCCTGGATCTGCTCAATGGCCACTTCTAGCCCCACCTTGGCAAGCAACAGCACTTTATTTTGATAAGGTAGGGGAGGGTGATCACAGCGCAGGTCTGCCTCACTTGAGGTGCAATCCAGTGGCGTTGTCCCCGGCCTCCCAAACTTAGATGGCTGGTTTTGCCTAAGCGTTTTTTCCCCTGCTTGCAAGAAGGACAGGTTGAGGCCCTGTCAGGATTCAGGCTTCATCCCTCTGGCTGCAAAGGTGGAGGAAAGGGACACCATATCTGGAGTCTCAGCTCCAAACTTGGAGTGCATTTCTGACAGTTGGGACTCTGAATTTTCCCACGGCTGGCCAGACAGTGTCTGCCAGTCATAGGACTGTGCCCTTATTTTCTGATTCAGGGTGGGGTGGCTGGACAACCTCTTTTACAGAGAGCAGTCCTCTGTTTGAAGGGCACCAGTGGACTGTCCTTGTTTTGAAGGTCTCCTCTATTTGAAAGACTGTCCAGTACAAGACCAGTTTAAAGATCAAGAACCATCAGTGTAGCTACAACAACTGGGACTGTTTAGCTTAGAAAAAGAGCAAGTAAGGAGATACATGGTAGAGATATTTACAAGTATTCATGGTGTGGGAAGAGTGTGGTATGACCCACAATACCTGAACCCAGGGTCATCTCATGAAGCTGATTGGTGGGAGGCTTAGGACAGACAAAAGGAAGTACTTCTTCACACCCTGTGCAGTTAAACTGTGGCATTCACTACCATGGAAGTGGCAACGGCTGCCAACCTGGATGGCTTTAAAGGGAGATTACTGAAATTAATGGAGCGTGAGGCGATCAAGGGCTACTAGCCCTGCTGGCTATGTGCTTCCCCCTTTACCTGAGGCAGCATGCGCACATGCAGAAGTTGCTGAGGAGCCTGGGCAGGAGGAGGCCTTGCACCCGCCCTGCTTGACAGTCTCTGTGGGCAACTGGTTTGCCACCCTGGGAATACAGGGCCGGACTGGAGTAGGCGCCATCCCCATTGCCTTCCCTACCCAAGCCCAGGTTCATGCTGAAGCTGAAGCAGCAAACCTGGAACCTCCTGGCCCTGCTGTCCCTTAAGGCAATGCATAGCTCTGACTCTCGCAGTGGACACTGTGTTTTGGTGAATTGATTTGTCTCAATATTGCTATTTCCAGTTAAACCTGAAGCACCATTTGCCTTAAACGTTACCTACCAAGACAAGGCAAATGAGTACTTTGTTCAGTTCTCCACTGCGCACTTGCCAGGCTCATACATCCATGATGACTTAATACATGAAATCGCTTACCGGCAGCAAAACAAGCCCTGGATGGTGAGTAAAGCTGGACCATTTTTAACTGATCATAAGGATGCTCTTTCCAGGTTTATTTAAATATGTAGACAAACAAGCAAGCAAGCAAAAAAGGTCTACCTGAAGATGATGGGATCAAGCAGAACTAAGGACCTCTCTACATGAGGCTTTTAATTCACCATGTTACTGAGGCTTCTGTTTTTGGGTTCTTTGCAGGATTAAGATGGACTTCTGCCATCTTCGTGCCAATGCTCAAAATCCTCTGAACTTGGAGGATTGCAAGCATCCTGTGCAAGGCGCAAGGAATGGCAGTAGCAATCTCTGCCACCACAGAACCTCAAGCCCAGGATTTTATCTAGCAAACTGTGTTATGGGTTGATTGTGGTTCTTTTTGAACCATGGGTTATTGTGCTGCCTGAACCCAACTGAGATTTCTAACCATAGTAAACAAGCCATAGTTCACAACACAACAACAAACCATAGGTTCTGTTCATGGGTTGTTTGTGATTAACAGGCCATAGCTTGTTAACACAGCTGGATTGGATCATGTGATAATGCACATTCCAAAAATAGTTTCACCACAGCCCAACTCAACCCATACTCAGCCCTCATTACTATGATATTAATACTAATATTGATAGTATGCCTTTGTCCTGCAAGGAACTCAAAGCAGCTTAACTAATCCCCCTCCTCACAAGGACCCTCACAGCTGGGCTGTGAGTCAGGGACTGGACCAAAGCTTTATGGCTGAGTGGGAACTAGAATCTGGACCTCCTGAGTCCCGGTCCAATATTTTCCAGTGTTATCCAAATCCAAGTTGTGAAACATGCCTGACAGAGTCTAAACATTCCTGTTGCAACACACTTAGGGATGGGTCCAGGCATACCTTGGCAACTAAGGCCAGGTGATTCACAGGCCATGATACATTTTGGCCATGCACACGAACATGCTGGGCTTGGATGCCAGATGGGAGCCTTGTGATTATGGGAAAGAGCCCTGCTGGGTCCGCCTGGCATCAACATGGTCATTCTTTTGGCATCAGGTTAAGACTTTTCTCTATTCCAAGGCATTCTGACAATATATATTGTGGTTTTAACTGGCCCTGGGATTTCTATTGTTAATAACTTGTAGCTGTTTTGTATATCAATTGTTCTACATTATGTTTCATATTTTATATTTAAGCCACTTCTTTACAAGAACCCTTTATTGTGAACTTGTACTCCCATATTCTTGGGAGTTTGTGGTTCCGTTTCATTATTCAGGGCCTCTCCTGAATTTTCTAGCCATTTTCATGGCTTTTTTAAGAGCAAAGAATTCAAACCAGAACAAGTATAAAAATCCAGCCCAGAAGAAGGCAGAACAAAAGATTAATATACAGTTACAATTTGACTAAATGACAGCTATTCCATAGCATCCCTTTGCAGCTGGTGAACCGAATATATAGAAAGGCAGAGAAATATAGACTCTGGGGTGGGGGGAAAGCCCTCTAAAGGAAGCATTTTTCCCAATGAAAACCAAAGAGGTCTTCGTAAAAGGCAGGTTAAACACCTCACATAAAGAAACGCCAAATGATTAATATTATTAGCATAGATATGTTACAATACCTAATTGCCTAATAGCCAAAGCACCCTGAGAAGTATAAAACCCTGGGCTGCTTTTCTTAGGCTTCTTCCATTTTCATTGAAGGAGGAAAAATGTGTCCGAATTTGCATGGGTTGTTTTACTGTGATTTGTATTTTCTGCTTTTTTATATATTCAATTAATCAACCACAAGGTGGCGCAGTGGTATAACTGCAATATAGCAGATTTGCCGCGATACAGGGTGGCTTTTGTTCCGGGTTTGCTATAATTTAAAATTGAACGACAGACTTTCCCCGCTGTAAAAATATGCCCATGAGAAAGTCTAGAAAAGAATAAATTCTTTGGAGGATGCTGCTCTCATGAAATGTCTCCACAAACTTCCATGAGTGAGAGATCACGAGTCCAGAATCAATGCTTCGTGTAGAGAAGCTCCTAATACAGGTTTGCTTTAACGCAAGCAGTATTCTCAGCCAAAGCTTTACGAGAATAAATGTGTCAATATTTTTATACAAATAAATATATGCAAATGTGTGTGTGTGTGCGCGTGCAAATACATGTATTTATAAGCCATTTTTATTCTCTGACTTTATTTCTCACCTCCCAATTATTATTATTTTTAGACCATGAAGTCTAACTATGTTACATTAAAGATTCTGGGACAGAGATTACAGCCAGAAACAACATATGAGATGAAAGTCCGGACAAAGCCCAATGACGATTACTTCAAAGGCACGTGGAGCGAATGGAGCTCATCTGCATATTTTAATACTTCCGCCAAAGTGCCAGTTGTGATAGGTGAGCATGGGCTTTATTCTGTTAGCATTACAAGTCAGTATACAAATAACAGAACACACCCATAATAACTAACAACTAGGACCACATGCTTGCAAAGGAAGAGATGCAGGCAGGAATTGGGATGAGTGGGACCTGTGGGGTGGTGGGGGGGAAAGGGCAGCATTTTGGGGATGCAGGGGGAAGGGCCTGGATGTTGGCTCTTGGAAGCCGTGGATGCTTGTGTGCAATGTCACATCCAGAGCAGCCTTTCACAAACAATCTAAACGTAAAATGTTAAGTGCTTTTTCCTTATTTTCTTAGACAATAACACAGTCGAGATGATCATATCCACTGGGGGCTTCATTGTGCTGTTCATTCTATTTTTTCTCATCTTCATCTTTTGGAAAAGCAGGTAATTGTGGATGCTTTCTTAGGAAGAGAGTGGCACCAAGTTTACAATGACCCTCTGGCAGGAGGGGTGGAGTCTCCTGGGGGCTTCTCCCTTGCAAGGCATCTGGATCTGAATGGGATCAGTGCAAAGGCTGCAAGACCTCGGGTGCCTTTTTCGCTGAGCCAGTATAACCTGCCAGTGATTTCAGATATGAGTTCCACCAGCTCAGTAAGTGCAGGGCAGAAGTGACATGGGGATTATCCTAGGAAAGGAGCGCTTGATGTCGTATGGAGCCATTGCTGGATCTGGGCACTGGTTGCTCTTCGCTTCCATGCCTGTCTCGCAACTTCAACTGGATGAGCCATAGACATGCCTAGGAGACAGGCTGGAGCTAGCATACTTGGGGGTGTCTGGTGTGACACACAGCAGGAGACCGTTCATCTGTATGCAAAAGGCTCCCATGGTCATTAGCAAGCATCCGAATGGCTGTAGGATTTTTCAGATTCCCTGCTATGATGCTGGAAAATCACTCCAAACTCTTAGCTGGGGATCTGCGCTCATGCCCTGCCCTACAACCAGTGCAGAATGAACTGCTGTAAGAGCAACCTGGGTGAAGGGCTTTTGGGGGTGTTCTGGGGGGCAAGAAGGGCAGAAGGCTGGCACTGCCAAGGTGGGGCATCTCCTGCTGGTGCCTCAGCATCCTGCTGTCCAGCTGCAAAGTGCGTCCTTGGAAAGCCAAAATAGGCAGTCTGAATGCTTTGCAGAGCAGGTGGAGCCCGGAGGCCTCCATGCTCCTTCCAGCCTGCGCAGGATGCCTGCAGCGCTCAGAGTTCAGAGAGCACTTTTCATGCACTCCTCGTTCCCTCCCCACGGATGCTCATGGGTTCTTTAGGCCGGTGGTTTTCAGCCACAGGTCCGTGGACCAGCACTGCTCCACCAGATATTTCCTGCCAGTCTGTGGGGTGGCTGCATCCAGCTCGCTGCAGACAGGCGTGGGGGCTGGCTGTGCTCTGCCACCTCTTCCTCGGTTGGCATCACATTGCAGGGCGTGCTGGTGCTGCCAGGGGGCTGCGGAGGGGAGAGGCAGCTCGGAGGGAGCCAGCTGGGAGCTACACTGCACCCATTTCGGTATTTTATTCATTTGTTGGCATTTTGTTTTGCTTGGTTTCTGGTTGTTTTAGAGAATTTTCTTTTCTTTTTCTTTTTGGCATTGTCTTTGGAAATTAACACACAGAATACTGTATTTCATGTATGGTGCTTTTTGTTTCTGCCTTACTGGGTCCTGAGGTGGTTTTCCTGTTTTTTGCTGGTCCCCAGCTGTGGAAGATAGAAAACCACTGCTTTAGACAATGTCATGAGCCTGTAGCACTTTCAGTGAGTTTTCTTAGAGCAGGAAAGGGGTAGCACCTAAGACAGAAACGAAAGAAAGCATGCTTTCCTTTTGGGTATTTGCTCTATTCTGCTTTATCACATTGCCACCTAGAGGTTATGTGGCAGAATAACAGGAAAGGAGATACTGGTCCAATGCTCAGAGCCTAATTCCATAATAAAATTGAAAGCAGATAAAGGGGTCTCAGTCGTGGGTAGGAAAGCTCTTTGAATGAACAGCCCTCAGTGGCTGCATCTCAGCAGTGTCCCCGTCTGCCGGTGCACTTAAAGCTTGCTCACAGACGATGCTGAAAGAAGGTTCCTTTTCACCCCTGTCATTGCTTTCTCTCCATTTCCAGGATCAAGCCTGTTGTGTGGCCCACTATCCCCAATCACAAGAAAGCTCTGCATCAGTTCTGCCACAAGCTACGCAAGGTTTGTGTTTTTGTTTTACGTGGAAGCAAGCAGCGGCAGGCCTCAGCACGTGATCATTTTGACCATGCTTCAAATTGCAAAGCCAATAAGCTTTGCCGAGTAAAGGTTGTGTATAAAACCTAGGGAGGAGATGGCAAAGCTTGTGCTAATAATTTGCCTTGCAAGCTGCAGGCATGGACGTGTGAGCACTCATGGTGACAGGTCCTATGGCCACGCCCCTGGTTAACCAAGGAGCAGGCAGAGGCTTCAGTCATATCCGTCTTAGTCATTTTCTTCTCCACCAAGAGCAGGTTAGTCACAACATTAATGGGGCTTAATTGCCATCAGAGCAGTGCTTCCTACCAAAAAGTTCTGACGTTCTCAGGACGAAAAATTTAAAAAGCACGATTTAGTATGTACTAATGCGCATGTGCTCTTCTCGCTCTCTTTGCGCATGCATGTGCATGCTCCTGTAAAGGATGCTGTCTCCTAAGACACCGCTATTTGTAAAAGGGGAAATAGGGACAGAAGAAGGAAGGACACTTGACTTCAGGGGGCAAAAAACCCACTCAGGCAGGAAGATTCAAGTGGGGGACACAAGAAGTGAAGCACATGCAAGCAAAAAGCCAGCCAATCCAGGGGAGTCAGGTGTGGCAGAGATCATCAGGCCCTTCACAGGATCATAGAACAGGAGAGCTGGAAGGGGCCATGAAGGCCATCAAGTCCAACCCCCTGCTGTTGCAGGACACCACGTTACACCTTCCCACTCAGATGGCCATCCAGTTTCGTTTTGAATGTCTCTAGTGTGGGAGAGCCCACCACCTCTCCAGGCAGCTGGTTCCACTGTTGTATTGCTCTGACAGTGAGGAAGCTTTTCCTGATGTCCAGCCTGAATCTGGGTTGCCGCAACTTGAATTAATTACTCTGTGTCCCACACTCAAGTATCAGTAAGAGATCTTGACCTTCCTCTTTGTGATAGCCTTTGAGGTACTAATAGAGGGATAACTTCTGGTGTGCAAGTTTCTATTTGCGCATTGGCACTGAGTTGCATCTTGCACCATGACCAGTGCAGCTCATTCTCTATGGCAAGCACCAACTTATGTGCTTCGCTAATATACGGTTATGCTGCCGGCTGATGACTAGTAATGCTAGAACAGAAAATCAGTGCATGTTTCTCTTCAGTGATTGTTCTGAGGGCCTGTAAAGAAAAGATGGGGCTGGAGAACAAAAGGCCACTCTGAAATGGCAGGTCCAGGCCAACTGTCTGGCAAGTGATGCCTTCAGCCCACGGGCAACTCCAGGACTGCCTTGCAGGGGTGGCCAGAGCCATTATTAGGGGGTGAAGGATTATGCCCTCCAGATGTGGTGGACTACAACTGCTATTATGCTAGTGGGGATGATGGGGATTAGACTCCAAAGGTTCTATTCCGTATTATTCCTATGCAAATTCACTGAAATGAATGGAACTTAAGTTAGTTGTGATCAAGTTTTATTAATTTCAGTGGGTTGATCTTATGTAGGACTAACATTAGGCAGCATCCCAATATTCCTGCATTGTATGTACCAGGCTGGGAGAAACTTAATCCATGCTGTACCAGGCCTTGATGCAGTGCACCTGAAAGATGAAAATGGAGTAAAATCAGGCAGCAGAAAAAAGCTTGGGGGATGCCAACAAATACTACTACTTCAAATCATCCTTGTTTTGACTCTATTTATTCTTTAAAGATACAACTAAGAAAGGTAGAATCGGAACCACGTCTCAACATTGCTTAAATATATATTTCTGTTGTTACCAATAAACAAGCATTAATCCTGCATTTCAGGCATGTCACCGTATCTTTGGAAATATGCTTCCATTCATTTCTCATGCTAATATCACCTTAATCTTGTAGAATTCTGATGCAAGTTTCTTCAATCCAGAGAGTTTCGGGTATGTTCATATCCATAAGGTGAACAGCATTCAGTGCAAAGCAGAAGTGGACCACTGTCAGCCATCACTGTCAGGGTCATCAGCATCCTGGCTTCCCCAGGATGTTGATGACCCAGAGAAGACTGGGAATGGGCTGGAACAGAACAACCTGATTCACATCAACCAAGGCTGGCTGAAGCTGCCTCTGGCATACGAAGGCATGTGGTCTGCTGAGACACGTTTGAACAGAAGGCCCAGTGCTTCTGATGGCAACACGTGCAGCAGTGCCAACTTGAACGATGACAGCAGCCATGCTCTGGGCAACGGTTCCACCCCATCTCTGGACCCCACCATTCTTTCTGGATTAGAGGCAGGCATCTGCCACTCACTCTGTGTCAACGTTCAGACCGGGACATCAAATATAGAAGAGGCCTATGTGACCATGGCAAGCTTTATTGGAAGAAAATGAAACTCTGGGAACCATCAATGCTGGCACATGGCAGGATGGATCCCTGTGAGTAGCTTTTCAGGGTGTCCCAAAGTCTCTCTTACACAAGCCTCTCTTAGCCTATGCTTTAAAAAGAAAAAAAATGGACTATTTGGACTCTGAAGATTGCTGCTCTGCTGCGAACTAATGCATGTCAAAAAGGACCTGCTTTTTACATAACTGTAGCAATACTGGAAGAAAATGCATCTCGAGAACCACTGTCCGGCTCTAAGAAAAGCTATAGATCAGCTGGAATCTGAAAAGCTTACATTTTAGAGCTCAGCCCTAATCTAGCCTGCATTTAGATTTCGCCATAAGGCCAGTAATCTGCTGCTATGTTGTTATGGACTGTGTATCACTGAAAACAATTATTTCCTCCCAAGTGCAACATAAAAGAATAGGAAAGAACAACTGCCTGCAATGGGACTTTAAGGTTTGTTTAAAATGAATACTTACCAAGATCAGCTGCAGTGTGGAAGAACAGTGTGCATCAAGCACCAAAATGTTTACAGTTTTTGCAGTGACTGAAGCAGGTTGCAGAAGTTTCCACTGAAATTTACAACGTCCGTTGGGTATATCCCCAATTGTCTTCTGTACAAAATCCATAGGGAAAAACTATGAGTTGCACTAGAGTGCATGAATTCAAATGCGGCTTCAATGGGAGAGGCTACCAATCACTTCTACACATTTAGTTTTCTTCTCTAGGATACCAGAATTCAGTTCTCAAAAGATCCCATAAATGGGCTATCTATGCACTATTCCAAATAATTTCAACATGCTGGAACTAAAGATGTTGGAGAATTATGTTCAGCTAACCTAACTTACACTTTCATAACTAATAGGCATATCAGAACATAGTTTTCAATCAAATAGAACACTTCTCCAAATTTTGCATTTCAAACCTTGGCTTCAAAATTGCATCCAAAAATATTTTAGGGGGAAACGCAGTGTTGGAATGCAAGTTTGTGCAATTTTAAAACCTGTTAGAAAACAGGATAGAATGGGCTTATAAGCATTTTTATATTCACCAGTTACTATACCAATTCACTGTAGCAAGTTAAAACTTGAATGATACCATGGATTGCTGCTCATTTTTTTTCACATGACATCCCTAAAACATTCATTCAGGAATCAAGCAGTATTGTTTTTTTCTCTGATGTGCACTCATTCTATGACTTTTATGTAGCTTTTTCAGGGTCAAACTATTCTCCAAAATCATGTTTACTGATTACTGATGTTTACTTACCGTGTGTGTGCAGCCTTGATTTGGATCAGGATCACAGTGCTCATGCAAAAGCGCAATTTGTTTTCACTCCCAAAATTCTACCACCCCCACCAGGGAGTAAAGAAAAATACTGCCACTGACTAATGGAGACTTCTTTCTTTTCTTGAATTCCAGGAAGCAAGCAGGTGAAGGGAAATTTGGCATGCATCCTTCCCTAGAGTACCATGATCACATAATCAATTGTGCCCACATATGCTTATGCAAGAGAAAATTTGACAGACATCGCAACATAATGTATGATAAAGGGAATATTTTGTTTGACCTCATACAATACTGTTTAGCTTTCAAAAACTTGCATGAAGTACTTTCATCTGGTAGATTTTGATGTGACATGTTTGTATGTTTAATATAATATCCTAGGCCTCTTTGATTAAGGAATGAAGTGGCATACAAGTTATGAAATAATTTTATATATTAAAAAAACTCATGGTTTCAGTATTAGCCAGCAGGTGCAATTTTAATTCACATCCATTTTACATTCACAAATGACTGCTACGGTTTTCTGCTCTTCAACCCACCTCCATGCAAGGCAGCAAAGTATTCCTAGTCCTGAATTATTTGCCAGCACAAGAATTTGGATTGGGCTATGAAAATCCTCCTAAATCTGGCCACTTTGCCTTATCAACTTGATCTTCAGCTTGAAAGTATACTTGTGACAGAGGTCTGAATAGGTAAAACTCAGAAAGATGTCTTTTCTCTCTAGCAAGGAATCCATCGTTTTTGTGGCTAAGCTAGTTCTGGCAGAACACCAGGCGACCTCAGCGATCTCCGTGTTCATGCAAGCTGGGGCACATTTTCGCTATTCCCGTCCCATTTTCGCTATTCCCAAATCATAGTCCCCACTGGTGGCCTCCACGAGCTGCAGGAGCAGCTTTTTGAGGAGATGGACGGCACAAGGAGGTAGGAAGGACTGACACGACCCTGCAAAGCATTGACTCCAGGCTTTTGATGGCCCTTGCGCAACCCTTAATCTCCGAGTCCACTGCTTCCCACTGCTGGCACCAGCTTCCTTTACTCCTCATTCTCTGTCCAGGCATTGATACCAGTTGCTTGCTGGACAGGCACGAGAGCCAGTTGGCAGGGGCACCTCCAGCGCCGCCTCCTCTCATCACTACTGTTGCCTGGGTCTGAGTGAGCGGCAGGCGAACACTCAGGTTTCAGTGTTGAAGAGGAGGAGCAACTCCAGGATGTCCTTGCCAGTGGTCTCCTGATGGGGAGAGGGCCCTTGGTAGGTGCCCTTCCACGCTGCAGTGAGTGAAGCTGAGTGCCACTCTTGGCAGGCATCCCAGGGTCATCATGGCCTGAGTTTGGGAAGAGGAGGAGATCTCGAAGACTCAGCCATGGAAGTTCTGGAACCTCAGGGAGTAGCAGAGACCCTTGAAGCGTCCTCCAGGTCACTTGCCCACCGGTTCCCAGAAGAGTAGGAATATTTTGGAAGGGGAGGAGGAATATCTGTTGCCTGATCCCATGACAAGGTGGTGGGAGAGACCAGCTGCCCAGTTAGAGGGCTTGTGTTGGTCTCACTGATTGGTGCTTCACAGAGGTTCTGAAAGGAAAGGATTTTGGGAAGAAGTTCTCAGTCTGCGTTCAACATTCTTGACATGAGCAGAGGCTAATCTTCCAACTCTCTAGAGAGTTTTCAGAATTGCTTTGTCTGGTAGCTGCTAAATGCCAATAATGATCTGCATTGCAAAGGGACTTTCTGGTGTTTTAGCACCTAAGGGCAGGAAGGAAAGGGCCAAGCCCATGAGAGGTGCCCACTGCTGACATCTGCCCTGGTCCTACACCTTAGGTGGAAATGACTTCTCACCAAAGACTCTTCTCTCCTAAAACACTTAGTAATTTGTGCAAGAAGTGTGTGTTTAATCTTTCCCCACCCACTACTTTTACTCCTGTGATTCCCCCCTCCAAAAGTTTATTTCCCTCAGCCCAGCCTTATTTCTGAACTCAGACCCTTCCTAGAGTAGGAGTGGAGGTGGTGGGGCAGGGAAGGGACAGCTGTGGAAGGAACTCAGTGAATACAGGAAGGGGGCAGCGCCCTGATCTGACCACCAATTTTCCCTCGGAAATGCCTCCCACCCCGATTTGAATCATTTATACTGGGAACGCCTGTTGCTGAATCCAGGTGCACATCTGCCTTAAGGCTGGTCTTGCAAAAACAAGAAGCGCCGTGATAACGTAACTACTTTTTCCTTCTATGAATGCTGCTTGGAATGTAATCACACTGTCCTGCATGCCAGGTTCAGAGATGCTTAAAACAACAAAGAGGAGGAGAAGCGGCCTTGTTTTCTGCCATCAGATTTTCCAAGCATTTTTCATCATCACAATGAAATAGACATCGGTGTCAATGGAAGCGCTGACGCCTGAGTAATAGTTCATGAATTCTTCTGTTGTAACCTAAGGTGGAGAAACATAAAGGGAAAAAGAGCAGGCCCAGTTATCTCATTTGAAGCCCGTACTTCTAATCACAAGCAATCAGGCCATTTCGGAGTCCTCTGCATCCTCCCATGTCCAGTCAAGTACCTCTAACAAGGAGTACCTGGCCATCCTTTCCTCACCTGGGGCCCTCAGGATGTTTCTGACTACAACTCACAGCACTCCTGACCATCGGTCATGCTGGCTGGGACTGAAAAGAGTCCAAGTCCATACCATCCAAAGGACACCAGACTGGGGGGAACGTCCTCACAGAAAAGTCCCAGCAAGCAATTCAGTTGCAGTACTCCTCCTTAGGATTGTGCCAAAGAGCCTACTCTTGCCAGAAATTTGAGGAAAACATATTCAAGGCTATAGGTGAAAAATACTATATACAAATTTTATTTATTTATTTAAAACTTTTCTATACTGTCCCTTCAAAGATGTCTCGGGATGGTTTACAACAGATTAATAAAATAGAAATAAGAATAGCAGTTTCAGCAGTTGCACAGCATTAAAACAGGTTAACAATTAAAATACTGGGAGAATAAAAAGGGTTTCGCCTGATGCTGACCTCTCTGGGCAGCATGTTCCACAATTGGGGTGCTACTGCACAGAAGGCCGTCCTCCTGATCTCTTTCAAGGGTGGCTCACGGAGGAGGGCCTCTGACTCAGGTCTCAAGAGGTGGGAGGGCACATAGGGGAGAAGGAACTTCTTCAAGTATCCAGGACCCAAGCCATTGAAGCAAAAGCTCTAGGCCGTATGCGGTTTGCAGTTGAAACTGCAGTGTTCCTAGTCCACCTTTCAGGTTTGTCCTGCAAAACCCACATGGAACTGGCATTCTTTCAACAATCCAACCAAAGCTCACCATTTTTCATTCAACTACTGTTAATGGCAGAATTATGCATGGTGCATCTAGAGAAGTTGTGTTCTCTAGAAATAAGGGTTTATCCATGAAGGTACAGGCATTCATTGTGTGATCACAGAGGGACTTACTTTTGTTAAGGACAAATGTGGTCAAGAACATGGGACTGGGACTCAGGCGACCTGGGTTCTAGTCTCCGCTTGGCCATGGAGCCAACTAGGTGACTTTGGGCCAGCCACAGACTCTCAGCCCAACCTACCTCACAGGGTTGTTGTTGTGGGGATAAGATGGAGGAGAATGATGTAAGCTGCTTTGAGCCCTTTGTAGGAAAAAGGCAGGATATAAATCGAAAAATAAATTAAATAAAAAATGCAGGGCATGATCCATCCTGGGGGTTGGGGGGGGGGAGCAACTTGCATCCTTTGAGCCCTGGGAAGGGGGAGGGACCCAAGTGCCCCTGGCCTCCCATATGGATAATGGTCCAAGGGCCAGCCAATAAGGCGATGGAAGAAAAAGAGCCCCAGGGGACACGACCATCTTCACAGGTGTGTGTGTGCAGGTAGGGTTCTCACCGTTAGCATCTTGCCTTCATTATTCTTGGTTTGGCATGATTTTCTAATTTTTCAGCTCTTGCATATTACAGCAGAGCCACCTGTCAATATATGCTATTTCACTTACCTGTCCGTCTTTATCATAGGGTGAGTCAAAGTTATCCAGAAAAGTCCTAAAAACTTGTTCTTCTGTCCATTCTCCATTCTGGTACTTGGGGTGATGCTTTGCGTTGTAGACACCCTGCAGATCTTGGATGGTGATGATACCATCCCCAGTCTTGTCTAGCTTTCGGAAGGCTTGCATAATGACTTCTTTCCTTGCATTAGACATAGGAGGCTTTAAAAAGAGGAATGGAGATACGTATCCCCTTTAGCACCTGCTGCCCAGCACTGTCAAATCCAAAGCAATACTTTTGCTTAAGACATTTCCAGATGGAGCTTTTAATAAGTTGGTCTGGATGATGGTATCTTCCCATATTAACGATGTTGATATTGATAATTTGCTACCTCACTCCATAGCTGAAGCTGTCTGAGCAAGTTACAGCAATGCAATTTCTAAGCACCTTGCATTTTCCCACCACTTCTTGACCTTTTTTCTTACCAAAGAAAACTCCACTAAGGCGGAAAAGCCAGAAAAGCTGCTAAGCATCTTTTGATTAGAAGCACCAGGGCCCCCTCAACTGGAAGCTCCTGAATGGCATATGCATCCTCAATGAGTATTTCCTTTTAACATGTTTACAGCACTGAAGAAAAAGATGTGGACGTGGTTTGCCCAAAGGAAGACTGCAGAAGTCATTGTGTCACAGTATTGTGAGCAAGCCAGCCAAGGAGTGAGACCTCAAACCAGGCAGCGCTCACTGTTATGCGTCAATACACTGGGCTCCCTGCTATAGCCAACCAACTGCTGAATTATCTGGAGCGTGCACAGTATGGTACCTTGAGCTCCTTGGAGGAAGGGCAAGATGCAGTGAAAGGAACAAGGAAGAAGACAGGAATGCGAGATTGCCACTGAAAGCTCTACAAACGAAGTGTTCGCACAGACAGGGGGTAGTTGTGTTAGCTTGTCACAGCAACAGCAACGAGTGCTTATGCTCCCTTAAAGACCCATAGATCTATGATGTCATGAAGGTTCATGGTGCCATAGACTCTAGTTCACAAAAGCTTCTGCTATAATCAGTGCATTATCACTTAAGATGATCTTCCTCTTAAAATCATGAGCTATTGTGTTGCCCCTGCCACTGGATAATGACCTGTTTGCAGACAAACTGGGCAGTGAATATAAACCTGATCTAAGGCACAATCCAGGCCTGGATCTGGGGGTGGGGAGGAGGGGGCACACAAGGCAATTTACACACTCAGCAGCTGTAAAAAAACGCATGACTGCTGAGGTGGACAACTGCTCCTGCTCCCTAGTCTAGGCCTGGCACAATCCTATGCAAGTTTGAACAGAAAAAAAGGACTACAATTCCCAGCATGCCCCAGTCTGTCAGGGCATGCTGGGAGACGCATCCTTTTTTTCTGTCTAAACTTGCATAGGATGCATCCTTAGTCATCAGTCATGGCTTTTCCTTCCTTCATGCATCAGGTTGTATGACTGCATTTCTTAAATGTCCAATATTCTTAAATACATCCATTCACTCAATTATCCATTTTTTAAGTTTGAAAAGGTTTCTCTGAGGAGAAGGGCAGAAGTGGGTTAAGAATTTCACCTGTGCATGGTCAAGGGAGACATACAGAATCCGTTCCTCCCAAATCATGTTTCTGGGGAGAGGAGTGTAAATCTGACTCAACTACAGTGAGGTCTCTTCCACAGCACTTTGACTGAAAAAACTCTCTGGTGCACTCAGAGCGGCTCCAGTATTCAGACCCACCAGCAGCACATGGCCCACTTGAGCACAGGGTCAGCAGGGCGCATTCAGGCTGCCACCCACCCTGCCTAAGTGGCGGCTGCCATCTTTTTCCCAGCTTGCACTGCTGCTGCCCTCGCCTGCAGCCACGCAAGGCTGCCAGTGCTTGATTTCTTCCCCCTCCAGGTAGGGGTATCCAGCGGTGCCAGTGCTGTGGGAACTGGACTGGCAGGAACTAAATTTATCAAACATTTCCCAAATACTACTGCCCAGAGAGCTCTGGCTATCGGATGGCAAGGAAGTGTAATGCACAGGAATAAATAAATACCAAAAATGCAATGACCACTTGTCATTGAAAGATCTATGAACTGTGCATTGCCTTGGCATCGGACATTGCATTCTGGGAGAAATGGCATGGCAGCCACCTGGTGCCCATCTGCACTCCTACCCCACTTCCTGGTGGTGCCAGGGAAGTCCTCCAGGGCAGGGAGGAAGAATAACTAGCAGTGCAGGTTGCCAGGCAAGGACGCAAGAAAGGATGCAGTCAGCATATGGGGGATTCAGGGGGAACAAGGAAGGAAAACATTCTGGCTTGAGGTGGGGGTCACTGGTGCTTTGCCATCAGGTCTTCCCTGTCCCCCACTACCTGTTTTTTTGCAAATTTATACCTCATAAAGAGGTTTTGGAGATCTTGAATGCCTGATCTTTTGGTTGGCCTAATAGAAATATTACACTGATAGGGATTCTGCCATTCTATTCAACTTACAAATCACCTGCACAGGAAAATGTCAACCCAAAGTGATAACGTCTGGTTATTCTTCCATATTTTTTATGACAGTGAACTCATCTGAGCCTATTCTCTTATGTAGGCTTTAATATTCTTATTTTACAACCTAGAGTTTACCCAACTCAGATCAAGGGTAGTCACTGGGTTAATTATGGGGTGTTTCTGAGTTTGTATATCATGAAACTACCCAAGAATGGTGTGTTCCTGGATTGTTAACTGAAAACACAAATGGCACGTCCATAGCTTGTACAATCTGCTTTTCCTGAAATTCTTAAGTTAAACAATTGCTTAGTTATTAAGCCTTAGTACAACATGCAAACCATGTTGGTGGAACTTACTTCTGAGTAACTACATTAAGGATTACAATGTGAAAACTTAATTTGTATTTCCTGTGTCAATTTAATTTTACAACATGAAGTTGGTTTTTTTAAAACCAAAAACCACAAGAAAAATGGAGTATCTTTTCCCCTGAAGATAATGTATAAGCTAATATGGGGATTTTTTCTGTGAAGTGTGTGTTAAACTACATTTAAAACTACATTTATCAAATAAAATAACCTTAAATAACCCTTAAACAGTAACATAAAATTACCAATACTATGTTAATACGACATGGAGAAGCATTTTGTTGGGACTTTAAAAAATGCTTACTCTTAACGTTATGAGAAATTCATCAAAATCTATTATTCCATTCCCGTCTTTATCAAAGGTTTTGAAAATCTTTTCAGCTTCTTCTCTTTCGATCATCACTGCATAGTCATGGAGGCCTTTCAAGAACTCTTTGAAATCAAGAGTCTTGCTATTGTCATCATCCATGATGTGGAAGACCCTAAAGAAAAGAAGGGCAACTGTGAAGAAAAGTAATAAGATCACTGAAAGGGGAAAAGGGGGTTGTGAGAGAGAATACAGAATTTAGGATGAGGATGCTTAAGAAACAGGAAAAAATCCTCATTGCTCAGAAATGTCAGGAAACCAACTGTAAAGCAGTTACCATATCAAGAATTATCATGCAGATATTCAGGAACTAAAGGACTTGAGGCTACAAATTTAAGTTGCAAAATCTGGAGATGCAGCACAAGTAAAACCTGCAAATTATTGGGCAAGGTGTAGAATGGTGCAACTAAGAGTACAATGCTATGTGTGTTTAGTAAAAAACAGTCCTATAACTTCCAGCAAGCACCAGCATGCCGAGCTGCAGGGCTTTCTTCTATCAAAACATGCACAGAATTATGCTCTAAAATTGAAGGCAATGGTGTACAGCTCTGCACTTTCAAACAAGTTGCAGGCCTTTCTCCTGCCTCAACACACATCAGATTGTGTCTAAAATGTCTGATCAGCTGGGTCAACTCTCCTATGAGGAAAGGTTAATGTTCCCAGCTGATTAACACAGAACATTCGGTGACTTAAGTGGCAAGGTTTACAAAATTATGCTCAGCGTGGAGAAAATAGACAGACTCCCCCCCCCCACCCTCCGCCTCCGCTCTTTTATAATATTAGATTGCTTCATGAAGCTGGTTGGTGGGAGACTCAGGACAGGTAAAAGAAAATATTTCTTCACACAGTGAAATTAAAATATGGAATTAGCTGCCATAAGATGAACTGATGGCCAACAATCTGAATGATTCTAAACGGGAATAAACAAATTCATGGTGGTAAGGCTGTTCCTGCAAACCAGACAGAGTGTCTGCTTGCTACTGCAAGCATCAGAGGGCACATATACACCTCTGAACTCCAGTTGTTAAGGAAAGTGAGTGGGAAAGGCACTGCCCTTTTTGGTATTTTGTCTGAATAGATGTAACAGAAGGTTACTGTTCTCTCCCACCCCTCCCTGCAATCTAATAATTCTAAATTATTATACTATAACATAATTAAAATATGATGGTGATGATGCCCTGCAGCTGGTGCTTAGGGCCATTCTGATATTTATTTCTGTATTTATATCACAATCCCTTTGATGAAAGGGATTCTGAGCCCCTGTACCTTTGTTTTATGTCTGCTTATAATAAGGTTAGCTTATGAGTCTGTCAGAAGCTCAGATAAGGAGCAATACTGTGCCTTCAGGACAGTGCCTAAGGATAGTCTGGACTGCAGGATCTGGAGTCATACTCTGGCCTTGATGCGGGACATCAGAACTCTACAGACCCTTCTCCCCGGCAGCTGGTGCAGAAACAGCTGTGCTGGCTCTCACTGAGGTTGGGAGGTGACTCTGAGGGGGGAGGGCATTCTGGGGGATGGGGAGGGGATGAGCCAGGGAGGCCAGGGTGCAAGCTATCCTGGCATCTCTGTCTCCTCCCAGACAAAAAAGTCCCTCTAGGCAAAAATTCAGGGTGGGAGGAGTGTGGGAGGGATGGCTCTGGACTGGGTGCCTGTAAATCTCGGGGGCTTACAGCCATCCCAGCAAGATTGCACCTTAAGAATACAGACTTCCTTAGGTAAGGGAGGCAGCCTGACATTGGAGTGCTCCTTGAAACCATGCAAGGACACTGAAATCCCTGGTGCAGCTTGCAAGTAATGCTGGTTGTGCTTCAGTCATTTCCAGGCCCACAGAAAGTCATAGGCTGCTTGTGCTGTGATGCTTCCTTCAGCATTTATAAACTGCTTGCCAGCAGGGGTGACAAGTATTTCAGCAGGGAAATGCTTTAGGTCTGGTATTTCTGGATATGACTCAGTGTTTGTGCCTGTTGTGTTCTGGAAGGATGAATAAATCTGTCTGCAGCAGAATAGCCTTCACCATTAGTGAAACAGCACCATAGAAATGTTGAGAAACACACGTTACACAGCATCAGAAGCTGGGGCAGATTTTTTATCCTTCCCTTTTTGCAGGTGACAGTGGAAAGTTTGTTGTTGCACATAGTTACTGGCTCAATAGTTGTCAACATGAATTCCTTGGTTTTACAGGGCAACTTGGCTGAGTAGAGGAAACAGCAATGAGCAGCTTTTCAGTAGCTTCTCACTGTAGCTGCAGCAGACAAAGTCTCCAAGAAACAGCTGGCACTCTGTCGCACGGTGCGCTTGCGGAAGTATTCGCAGCTTAAAACACTTTGTTCTTTTCTGATGAGATATAGCTGAAATCCTTGAATGATGTAGGACACACTGCACACCTCTTCAAAGCATAATTTTCTTTTTTGGAATCATTTGCAGAGTCATGAAAATACCACTGAACAGTTTGTCAAGGGCTTAAACTTCAGACTAGCAACTGCGAACATGCCTCTGCAGGCAGTGGTACTATGAGGGAGAAGACTGCTCACAAAGTGAGGTTGGAGAAAGACTTCTGTGGAACCCTGGTCTTACCCTGGAGCAAGCAACTGACATACGTGGTGTAGCTGAAGTAAGGCGAGCACAGCTACAGCCCATGGTGACTTCCTCAACATATGCTAAGGGGCCTGAGGAGTCACAAATGAAAGGTGGAGATGCCCAGTAGGTGCCCTTAATATAAGCCCAGGAACTGCCCAGCATTTGGAAAGACTCGCCAAGAGTGTGGCATAAAAGCACATGATGCAGGGCAGGTCAAGTAAACCCAGCGAGTTTCAACAAGGAGCAACAAGGACATTGCACTGCTTAAGTGCCTCATTTTACCTGGCGAGGCCCTTGATCCCTGCAGAGCCCCTGGACAGGCACTGAAGCCGAAGTTTCTCAATTGGGTCAGTGGTTTTGGCCAGGTTTTTTCTGGCCTGGAGCGCCATCTCTCGGTCGTGTCTTGCTGTGCCAGGCATCTGGGAGAAGAAACGTTAAGGAACTGGTGAAGGATTACTGGCAGAGTTACCAAATAGGCTCCAGGCAGGGAGAAGAATGCTCCATGCCTGCCAATGTTTGAAAAAGGCCAGAGAGGCAGATTTAGGACTACAGATTTTTCAGTGTGTGATATACATTTCCTCTTTCTGCATAGCCTCCTAGGAACTGGTCCTGAGAGGATGGATGCATGGGGGGTCACATCTTACCAGTAAAAAAATACTCCTGACCCTTGTGCAACACAGCACAGCAAATACACACCCCAACTTTGTTTGCAAAAGAGGTTACTTTGGATCCTGGGACAAAAGTGCCTCAGGCCAGGCAAATGCTGCAAGTGAGAAGGCTTTTGTCTGGCTGAATGGTTTCCCTTGCAGGTTTGAATCAGCATATGGATGATTTCAGGTTTCAGCCAGTACAGGCAGCTATGCATAACCATACAATCTGCAAAATAATGCTTGGCCTGTTGAGCTTGACTTTGCATAACAATAGTTTGGCTTATAAATTTAAATAATCATAAAACAGCTTTTCCTCAATGGATTTTTAATTCTGTTTGTTGCAGGTTTTAGCTCTGCCTCTTGGTTTTCAAATGAGATTAAAAAGACCTGTAGTTAACCTCATTTTGAATCTTTGTTTGGGGCCTTGGAGGTGGAGGGAAGTACTGCACACAACTAGCCTTATGCAAATTTTGTGACTTTTTTTTTAACCCCAAGTATATTTCATTTTAGAGAAAAACACCTGTGAAAAGCAGGAGGCTGCAGTTTGAGGAGGCTTTTTACTAGGCAGAGAGTGAACATTTTCCTACAAGCCTAACATTTAAAACACATTTTCCACATTTTACTTATGGATAAGTTAAACAACAGAAAGTGAGCCTGGGGCAGGCCAGTTACCACAACATGCAGGTTGAAGTTAAGGTCCTTCCCCAATTCACAGATTAATATTTTACTTGAGGGCACGGATATGTATTTCTTTATTTAATTCTTCATTGCCCAATAAGTGGAAGCTCAGTCAGTGCTTCATAAGAACAAGACAAACACTAAATGCGATCTGCAGATCAAGCTGCTGTTAAAAACATAGCAGACGCTGGCAAAAAAGCTGTCAACCTTTTTCACAGAAAAGAGTCACCTTTACATGGATAGACATATATGAATCTCAGGCTGGCTTTGCGGGGGGGTGGGATTTTTTAAAAGCGAATGAGTAAAATACAGCGAACAAATGGGTAAATATTGGATGAATGAATGCTGAGACGTGCCTGAATCTAGTGTTCATCAGATTCAACCAGGCATCCCAGAATGTGAAACATACTTAAAATGTTTATAAGGGTAGGCTTCCATGAAGTGCTGAGAAACACTGAAACAGCTAAATACCCGTTTCTAGACAGCTATTAAAGACACATGATTCGTGTTGCATGACTTGCCTACAATTTGCAGCATAACTACAGGGTTGGAAGAAAAATAATTGAGTAAGTGCGCAACCAGATCCTATGCAGGTTTATTTGGAAGCATTTCCATCCTTCCTATTTTTACTTCCAAGTCACTGGGCCTAGAATTGCATCCAGGGGAGCAAAGGAGTGGTTGGATCTTGGCTCGGTCCACAGGCATGGAGGAGGACTACTGCTGCATTGATGGATCCCAAATATGACATCAAAAAGGTGGCCTCTTCCATGATATAAAATAACCTTATTAAACACTGTGGCAGGCACTTACTATTCCAGTTGCTTTATCCATAGACTGATTAAAAGTAAGAACAGGCACCTCTATACCCAAACTCGGCAATTCTGCGTGTGCCACTATGAGCCTAGCTGGGCTTCACCCAGTCTGTAGGAGGCACAATGTGGGGCAGAGGTCTGGCTGAGGTCAGGCACGCATGGTCTCACAGCAGCAGCGCCAGGCCTCCCTTGCGGTGGGAGAATCCTTCGCCTGAAACAGGGGTGCTCACGCACCCTTGCCAGGAGCTGCCACTGCCTTGTTCCAGCAATGCAGCCCCACTAAGGCATGCAAACCAAGGTGAAAAATAGGCAGTGTCAGAAAACAGTGCTTCTCCAGAGAGGAAGCTCTAGCTTTTAATTTCAGCCTTGACACAGGCCATCATTTTCAGAAAAGAAAAGGATGTTTCGGGTGGAATTATTTAACAGTCAGCTTTTACATCTCCTGAGCAAATTGGGATATTTGGCAATAACTCCTCTTTGCATTGAGATTGGCTTTAGTTTTTTCTTTAATCGGCACCTATGTTTTACTGCCATCTTGGATGAATTAGTTCTTCCTAAGAGAGCGGTCTAATTGGACTGGGACCAGTTCTTCCTAAGCAGAAGCAAAGAGTTCTTCAGACCTGGATCTCTGCTGCTGTCCTAGAAGGCTTGGCCTTGCAATGCTCTTCCATCTTAAACATCTCATTTCTTTTATTTCAGTCTGGCTCAACTTCCTCTCCTCCTTCTCCACTGTGTCCATTCATGGTTAGCTGTTCAAGTTCAATTATCGATATATCTGATATTGACTGATGACTGATTTAAATGAAATCATATATCTGATGACTGATTTAAATGAAAGTGTGGATTGGATATGAATTTAGCTTCCTGGTTAGATATATAGCCCAACATGTGTTGAGCCCAAAACAATGGGCTCTGAGGAGGTCCTCAAAGGCATCAAGATCCCTTTGTGTTAAATAATAACTTGTATTAAACACAAGTATATGTGTAGCATACAGCTCCAACAGCCAACAGGAGTAAAAAAAAAAAAAATAAGAAAAAAGAAATATTTCTTTAAAGGGTTGTACTTATTACAATTCCAAAATGTATGCAAAGCATTACAGCTGCATTGCTATTACTCCTCTAGTCAGCAATGAAAGTTATTCTTCAAACTATCTTATTAATGAATTATTAGAAAGGGTTTTGCAACCATCTGATAACATTGTCCAAAACTGGAATTTCATCTTTCCCTCAAGAGGAAATACAAACGCTTGCCAAAAAGGCAATACAATTACGTCAGATATTAAATGAGGCATACTGTTCACTAAGAATTACCATTGGACATGGATGGCTATTTTCCTATCAAGGCAAATACCCTAACCCCTGCTCCACCCTTTACACCCACCAGACTGTAGGGAACATGACAGGGAATATGTATCTTATGACCAGGATCTGCCTTCTGCAAAGATCTGCTCGAGCAAAGCCCCTTTCTCTGATCTGGAGGGATCCCTTCCCTCAGGCATCACAGTTCTGCAACATCTGCTGAGTGCCTGTTTATTATATTGGCAGGGAATTGAGGGGCGGAGGGGGGGTCCACCCAGTCGCTAAAACCTAAATCTGGATGCAGCCTCATAAGTTAAAGAATTTAAGCAGCTGCCTCTAACAGGGCCAAAGCCTGCAGTAGATGTTAGTACTTTGTTGCATGATGTGTAATGATGTTCCAGGATTCTGAATATGTGTAGCCTTGTCACTGCAGAGTTTCCCAATGAAAAGCACCACCTTCTGACTTTGTAACATTATTTGTACTCAAGTTTCACTGACACAGGAACATGTTTTGCCCTAGACACTGCATGACCCCAAATCAGCAAGTCTGTCCTGTTATGATCCAAAGAAACAGAATCAGATCGAGCTTCCCATGTCTTGAACTCTGAGGTTAGGGTCATATAGACATGATTCACCAGCTTCATAGAAGGCTTCTGCCAGGAGGCAAAAGTGTTTTTGTACAAAAACCATCTGCAAAGCTATTTAGTCCGTACTGATGCAAAAAAAAATTGCAAAAGCTATTTAGTCTGTATCTCCCTTTTTCCTGCTACCATTTTTATTATAATATATCTCTTTTTGCAGGTGACCTCACCAACACGGTGAGTATCTTCACAGTCAGGTGCAATCTTCCTCAAGAAAACTCTTTCTTATGCAGAGGACTTTAACTCATGCTGGCTCTTCAGTCAGGCTTTCAATCAGCTCCTATGCTACACATCCCAAGTCTTTCTAACCTGGCGCCTTCTAAATGTTTTAGATTACAACTCCCAGGATTTCTAGAAATTGGCTAGGACTAATGGGAACGCGTTCAGAGTAACTGAAGGACATCAGGTGGAGAAGGCAATGAAAAGCCAGAGTGAAAACCTGTCCTGTGTTCGTTTTTCTCCTGTAAGTATAGATCAGTGAGAGTGTTCAAAGATAGGCTGGACATGCACATGGTGGGCATGTCGTGAGCGGAGCCGGCTGGAGCCAGGGGTCAGACCAGATGGCCCGGGAGACCCCTTCCGACTCGCTCTGTTTCTATGAACATAAATGAGGATGCAAGGATGGGCAAAGGAGAAAGGGCTTTCTTTATTTATAATATTCTTGTGTGCTTATGCACTAGTTTCCAAAAATAGATCCTCTTGCTCTCATCATCCTGCAGTTTTATATTGTGGATTGGACTGATGGACTGTTGTTTTGATTTTTGTTTGGGTATTTGATTGCATTTTTATCCCATTGTATTTTAATCTTCTGTTCCCCCTTGTAAGAAAAAGGAGAAACAAACTCTCGCAGTAATTAAATTATAACCATTAGAAAAACACATTTACAGATTCCAGACACAACACAAGCAGGCCCCTTTCAACCAAGCTTTTCTTAACAAGGAAAGAATAAATAAATGGGCACACTCAGTGTTTGCCATCATTCCCTGAGATTTTACTGTGAATAACCTACAGCCAGAAAAGGTTTTGCCCCCGCGCCCCCCCCGCAAAGCATACCCTGCCGCCTTACCGGCGATTTTCTAAATTCACCAACTTTTAAAAATTGTCTTTGTCTTTAAAGCAAAAAAGCTGAATGATGCTGACATACAGGTGGCAGCCCCCCTGAGCCAAACGAAAGAAGAATGCGGTAAACAAAAATAAAATCTTTACCTTTAATCTGTTACCTGTTGCGTCTACCTGAAACTATGGGCGCTGCCTTGCACACTTTGGGAAAGTGGTGCGGCCCCTCCGCCCGCCCACGGGCCTGCACCTCCCTCCTCCGATTGGGCTGCTTGTGATGCTTCGTCCCAAACCGTGGAAAGCGGTGCAGGCTGACTGGAGGACTTCTCTGCCCGTCCAGCGCGGACGCTTTCTTGGCGGGTCCCGCCCTGCCTGGAGTTTACTACCTTGTTTCCAGGGAGACGCGGGTGCGTGCGAAAGGCCAGGCAAAACCTGCCAGGCCTTTAATTGTTTCTGTAGTGCGGGATGCTTGTTCGTGCCCCTTTTCTTTGCTTAAGATTTGCAGCATGGAGGTGGAAAGCTGGCAAAAGAGAAACCCACATGAAACACCTGTAAAATCCTTTTTTGTACAAGGGAAGGATTTCAGTATTTGGATGCCAAGGATCAAAAAAAAAAAAAAAAAGAAAAAAAAGAAAGAAAGAAAGAAAGAAAGTGGTGCACCTGTGACTGGATTGTGCCATTTTAATCTGCAGGTGTGGTGTTCTTATTAACAACTGTTCCTCCATTAAAAAAAGTAAAAGCCATGCATTTGGAAAACTAGGTATCAGGGAATCAGGTTCTAGCCTAGGCTTTCACTTAGTTATAATGTGCAGAAGTGCTTTCTTGTGAATAGCGTTCTACCTGATACAGGTTTACCACTTCATTTGTTGTTTATTAAAATGCTGCTTCAGAAAGAAAAGTTTTAAGCAGTTTGGTACCTCTTTGGAAGACTTGGGTAACCAAGAAAGGCCAGTGATGCCTGTATCGGTGGGGCTCCTCATCCTTTGCAGCCATACCCTTGTTTTTTATAGGATGTATATGCAGTGCTGAATGCCACCCCCAAAGCAGGTTTACCACCATGCAGCACTATAGATAGCTCCAGTAAATTCAGAATAAAAGCTGCAATGGATAAGGAGCCCCCCTGGCATGGCATCACAAGCTTCCTTTGCAGATATACACTCTTAAAGAAACTACCTAAGCTAAACAAATATATTTGCATCAGGCAAACAAGTTCACATGTTCACTCCCCCGCTTGGTTTGTTTCGCAGTTACCCACTCAAAAAATTCATTTAAGTAGTAACAAGCATCAAAATCTTTGGAAAAAGTGCTCTCATTAAGAGCTGTTTTGAAGGAGCAGACTTTTCCCTTGTTTTTGAAATAACATGAAAAACTAAATAAAAAGAATGTTTTAATAACTGTAGTTTTGTGTCTGCAATCATTCCAGCTGTTTTACTGGTTCCGCTTCCTTTGGTAGGAAGAGCACGAGAAACTTAAACAGACTCCTGCAGTATCAGTATAATTACAGCATGGGGCACGCTTTACTGCTGGGGGTGAGAAATGAGAGTAGATTCTGTATTGGCTGGCAGTAGCTCTCCAGTTGTTGTTAGTCGCGAAGTTGTGTCTGACCCATTGCTACCCCATGGACAACATTCCTCCAGGCCTTCGTCCTCCACCATCCCCTGGAGTCCACTTAAACTCACACCAACTGCTTCAGTGACCCCATCCAGCCACCTCACCCTCTACCACCCTCTTCTCCTTTTGCCATCTATTGTTCCCAGCATTAGGCTCTTCTCCAGGGAGTCCTTCCTTCTCATTAGGTGGCCAAAGTATTTGAGTTTCATCGTCAGTATCTGGCCTTCTAAAGAACAGTCAGGGTTGATCTCCTCTAGGACTGACCGGTTTGATTGCCTAGCAATCCAAGGGACTCGCAGGGGCCACTACAGAATTGTGAGGCCACAATTCAAAGGCCTCAGTTCTTCAGCGCTCAGTCTTCCTTATGGTCCAGCTTTCACAGCCATACATTGCAACTGGGAAAACCATAGCCTTGACTTATGCACTTTTGTTGGCAGGGTGATGTCTCTGCTTTTTAGTATGCTCTCAGGGACACAGGCAAAACCAGAACTTCAGCATCACTGCTCCCCGCTGCTTTTAACTGGAAATGCAAAGGACTGAAGTGAGGGCTTTCTGGGTGCAAGCATAGCTCTGTGGCAGAGCAGTTGCCCAAGTGGAATTAATCCAGTATCCCAGATCCTAAAAAGTAGGTCCAGCTTAGGTATTTGCACTCTCTCAAGCAAAAGAAAGCTTCCACTCCTTTTGTCTTGGTCTGCTGGTTCTCAGAATAGGTGTGGTAATTTGGCAAACCTGCTGGAAGTGTGAGGCCTGATGCAGCCTCCAGAGTCCCTTGTGTTAGGCTTCTTTGCAACCCACTTGTGTGTCTGGACAACACAGCTAGATTGCAGCATGACCCGAAAGCATGGCCTGTTCTGATGAAATCAGGGCAAAATATTCTTTAGGATAGAAATACATAACGAGGAAAAGATCAGTCAGATCCAAATCATACAACAAGCAATTCAAATTGGTCAATCCGTGCAAAAGAAACAAAAAGGGAAAATACTAACTAGCACAGCCCTGCACAAGCGGCCTGCATGGTTCCTTGAAGAGCCGCTATGTCCATAGTAAGGTTCTGCTGGTGCCTGTATCATGTCTTCTCCCCTTTCTTGAGGAAAAACTAGCCTGTACTGCAGAAAACTAGGGGCAATCTTCCTTTGCGTAGGAAGAGAAAGACCTCAACTTCCTTTTTCAGTACAGTGTATTTCCTCTGGTCCTGCACTTCTTGCCTGGCTGGAGATTCCATCTTTTCATCTGTTGACTGCCCCCACCCCCCACCACATAAAGGTTCAACTCTGGCTCTGCAGTGGATTCTCAAAGATTCTTCATTGTTTAGGTAGTTAGAGAGTTTACAATAGGTTGGCTAAGCAGCAATGCTTGGCCTAGAGATGACCTAAGCCAAGGTCAGGCAACCTGGCCTTTCAAGTACATGATTCTTCACTTGTGGAAGTTGGAGGGGCCTCTTCATGTCAGCATTTTCTTCTAGAATAATGCAGTGTTTTCTTTGATCTCACATGAAAAGTCCAGTCTTTTTCTGAAGTTCCACTGTGCACCACAGCACCACCTTGTGTTCTGTTGTGTACTGGAACATATAGAACAAAGGAGAGGAACATGCCTGGAGGATGGTCTTGACTGTACTTTTAGGCATGACTTAATAGCCCACCCTGACAATAAGCCACAGTGGTTATTTTGTGAATTACTCACAAAGAGTGGCTGCCAGAATCATTATTGTGCAAACAGGGCTCATGCCCTGAAAAGCTAAGGAGAGGATGGGGCATCCTTGCTCCACTCCATGATGGTGTCCAGAGCATGGAGCAGAAACGTGGACCAGATCCATGTAACCAGCAAAGATGGTTAGAATTTGCCTCTTCTTGCCTGGCGGATGTGTGCTGCCTTGGCAAGGAGAGCATCCCAGCAACCACTGGCAGAGTCTTGTGAGGTATACTCTTGAGTTGCCAGCAAGGATAGCTGCTTTGATTAGGGGGAAAGCTCCTGATAGTAGCCAACTGCTGCTTGAGCACTGTAGAGGCTGCTGTCAGCAGGGCTCAGCTGGAAGCTGCTTGTCCAAAGGAGCACCAGGGGACTTTTGCTGCTCTTCCCTAGCTCACTAGCTGTTGGGGCTCATTGGTGGCAGATTGTCATGTTGTCCAAACCTGGGCAACATGACCCACCATGAATGATCACAACAGGCCATGGATTCTCAGGGTGTTATGGAGGGAGGGGGGAGAGTGTATAAAGACATAACATATTTAACACCTACTAAAAGTGTAATTCAATTCAGTTGTCTTATTGTCCTTCCCTTTCATATTTAGGTGAAAAGGAAGCAAGAAAGATGAATGTCAATGCCATAATTAAACAGATGCCATTTCAGCTGCTTCTTTTCATCCTATTCAGGTTTTGTTCCAAAGCTGCTATTCATTTGTTAGATGAGATGCTTGCCTGAGCCCACAGGACTACAAGGCATTTTGATGTTACATGAAGTGGGGTTATAAATTTCTGTAGATGTGCACAAATGCTAATATTTATCCAAGATGTTGACAAAGTACAACACTATTGTAGAAACAACTGTTTCATGCAAACTTTATTCTGAGATGTGCAGTTCCACTCCAGCCCCATAATTAGTACATCAGTATTTTACAGACAGAAATCTACCAGACCTGTGGCAAAGGACGCTTATCTACTCACATGCAGCAACATTTTTACAGCCCATCTGAAATTGTGTTTGCAAAGGTGTTTTATGAGCTCAAGCTTTGCCAATCCCAAAGAAAATGACATATGAAAGCAAAAGCATATTGTTTTCAGGTATACAATTTAGCTCTCTTGTACAAAGACCTAGTAGACAGACATACTAAAGTGTTGCTGATTACATACTCATGTACTTAGAGGTATATACACTTTCAAAGAGTGTGGCACCCCATGGTTTCTTGGTTTCCTTTGGCCAGCAGTCATGTCAGCCCACATGCTCAAAACAGTAAATGTGCAGCAAGGTAACACAACTACCAGTGTTAACACATTCCTTGGCTTCAGCGCATGCAATGTTCTGCTTTCCTTACCATGGGAAATCTGTAATGTGTGAACAAATCCTGATTTACTATTCTTTACAGCAAAATAAAACACTATTTCACCAATGGAGGTAAGGAATGAGCTCATTCATGACATTTGAGAGGGGAACAGTGATGATGGTTGCAATTTTTCCTAGTCTAGCCAATTCAAGGATTGCTGAAGTATTCCTGAGAAGCAACAGGTCACAGAGAATGGGGGAGGAAGAAGACTGGAAAATCTCAATATCATAGGTAAACATTTTAATGATAATTTTTGCATTTTAGAAAGAATTAACTCCTGGGAGAAAATTAGCATCCGAATGGCTAAACTAAATTCAAGCATTGATTTTTACCTGCATTGTTCATTAGATTTCACAGAAATCATTATTCCATAAAATAGTGTTCATTTTAATATTCTGTACACTTCCATCTCTCAAAATAAATGTTATTTGTTTTACAACATTTGCAACACTTCAACTCAACCTGCAAATTTACTTCATGAGATTCAGTTTGCCAATTAGATCCTATTAGATATTCTACAGTAATATGAAGTACAGCAGTTGAAGTCTCAATTTTTAAGTGTCTGTCTCAGCATTTCAAGAGATATGGAAAATAAAAAACTCCATCCATTCACTGGTAATAAGAGTAACATAACAGTTGATATACAAGGGAAATCCTATTCTTTGAACACTGACAGCTATACCTCAAATGGAGAAAACATGATCCTCGAAAGCAACCTTGAAATTAGCAGTAGAGGTACACCTGAGCTGCATTAACCAGCTTTTCAAAGAAGCAGAGATTGAATCGGTACAGTGGTTATTTTACTCTTATTCCCTTTAAAAAACAATTTATTTAACAATAGTGGATCTTTCCATGCTTTTTAATAAAAACAAACAAAGAAAACAAGCATATTCTGTTCAGAAATACCCTCAGTCTTAGTATGCTGTATTGATTTAACAGGCAGGACAATCCTTGCCCTCTAGATATAGTTTCTAAATGCCCAAGAATTGTTCCAATTCCCAGATACAAGCCTGGAAACTTGCTCCAACCTCATAGCTGGAGCTCTGTAGGCAGATTCCTCCCCACAACAGATGGCATGCAGGGAGCCACACCACTTGCTTCTCTGAGCAAACTGCCAGAAAAGTTTGGTGGGTAAAGAGGGGAGGGGATCAGAACAACCAAGATACAACGTATCCTGGCAGTGCCTCACTTGCTTCTCTCCTCTTCTAAAGTGCTGCACTTAGTTGAACTTGGTCATCTAACTGCTTTGCAGGCAGGAGATGGCCTCTGCCGCCATGATCCTCCTGACTTGCATAGGATGCAAGTCTTCCAAGTTCAGAGGGTTGTGGACATCGCAACTGCATTGTACCCCGAGTTGTCCACTTTCAGTCTTGACAATCCTTCTGGCACAATTACAGAGAAAACACTTCTGATCAGAGAACCATAATGTAATAAAGTTAATTTTAATTCCAACTAATATACAGCATTACATTTTAAATTATGACAGTAATTCCTATATCCCTTGTTAGATATATAAATAACAATTATACAGTGGCAGCAAATATACATCCCAATATCCAAGATTCCGAAACCCAATGCAGTTTACAAAGCAACTGCTTCTGCTGTTCCCTTTGGGAGAGCAACAAGTACCTTAGCACATGACTTTAACAGGGAAAGAAATCAGTGACAAATACAAGTTTTGCATGATTGCAACTGCTAAGAAAACTGCATCCCTCAGATTTGTACTGAAACAAGGAATCTAAAATTCTTGTAAAACACACAATTGTAAGTCAGCAGAAAATTCTTACAAATTCAAAAAACTGGTCAGCATCACCAACGTTTACAACACGAAATAACCTCAACACTGTTGCATCCTAGTACTGCTAATATCTTAGACAAGGATAATGAATAAAAAAACTAGTTTCCTGTACATTATCCACTTTAGGGGTACATCATCCACTTTATGCTACCCTAAGCAAAAACAAAAATGTTTTCAATACTTTTATTTTGCCTTGAAGTTCCACAGTAATGTGTAAAGAGCAAGACACTGAAATCTTAGCAAAATCATGCAATGCAAGCTTCTGGAACTGAATCCCATACATACTTACATCTAAGCAACTTGGCCTCACTTTGAAAGTGACCACAAAGTCCCTCAAAGGCTGCTGGACAGAGTATTATTCACACAAACACATTGCCTTTCCAAAGGCAAGTCTAATGAGGCACAGTTTTGTTTTGAGATCACACTGAGCTACTTCCACTTACACTGCAAAATTACCCTAGAACATTTTATAGCAGCCAGTTTTACCAGGGCCAGGTTTACCTTCCATAATAGGTGGTGAGCTGCTGGTCTGCAATGCAGCACCTGAGTAATCAGCAACATCTTATCAAGTCCTTAGCAAGCTTCCAGAAGTCTCACTGAAAGCTTAAACAAACTACTAAAACATTAATCAGACCTCCTGCTGGGGTTTTTAAAAACCCACAAACGATGTATTTGTTCTGAATGGATTTGATATTTCTGAAGTAATAGTTCTTACCTGTTTGAAGAACAGTAATGGCAAGTTTAAATCTCCCTATAATGAGTAAAATATTTCTTAAGCACAGGTTTAATATTGAAACTAAACTAGTACTAATGCTGATGAGAAGTTTAATTAATCCCCACAAATGTTAACTAGTTAGCTACATTATTTTTTAAAAATCACAGCATTTTCAGCATGTGAAAATCTTTTCCAAAGTCATAATTTCACAATGTTTCTTCTTCAGTTAGTGTTTTCCAGAGATTTAAAAAAACTCTAGGTTATTTGAAAAAAACTTTTAAAAACTACATTCTGTGTCATATTTGAGGGATTTTCATCTGGCTTTCCAAAGATGCGTATGTGCTGGGATTCAGCATAAGACCCACTTTTTAAGTCTCATGTAAACTATATGAACTTGGGCAAAAAGCCAACATGCATATAAGTGAAATCACAAATCATTGTGAAGAGAGAACATGCTTTCAAGAGCCATTCACTTTTAGCATATGCATTAAAGAGATTTCACTGAAGCTACTATGAAGCATATCAATGCTAGTTTTCCCCTAAAAAGAAAGTCAAAGATTTAACTAAACTTTTTAAGAAACACGGATGAGCACCCTTCTGTGCCTCTTTGCTTCCACATCTCCCTTATCTGTATGTGATGACCTAACCTGCATTTCCCTGCCCTCCTGAGTGATGATGGGGAGATGCACGGTACATCATGTATTATTTAGGGCTGATTAAGTATACATCAGCAGAAGAAGAGGGAGGAGATAATTCCCCCACAGCCCTCCCCTAGCCTCTCAACCTCTGCTTTAGTGGGTTGAGGCATCCTCCACAGCAGATTTGCAGAGGGATTTAGGAACAGGGAAAAGAGGAGACAATCCCATCAAGCAACTGGAATGTTGGATTTCATCCCCAGATTTTCTTCAGTAGTGGCAGAAAGCAATTGCTGTTCCATATGTCTAGTATTATCTAGACAAACGCCAAACACAGCATGCTATTAGGACCCTTACATTTCATCAAAATCAATGGAATTTGAATAGCTGTATACACTATAGCCGTAATATTCAGTATACAATATACCACAATGCTTTGCTTCCCTAAAATACCCCCAAAATCCTATATTATGTTAAACAACTCATCCTCAGATATGAAATACACTATCTGGAGAAATAAATAATTAGGTCTTCATAGGCATTCATTGACTGCTCAGACCTAACCACTGAACTTAGTTTTAAGAAAGCAAACAGTATTGACTGCATAACAGAAGTATGCTTTCCTTCCATTCATACCGCACTCGCTGTTGATTTACTTTGGGCCCTTACACTGTAAAGGGCCACCCAAGTTTCACAAAGGCCGTTACGCACATTATTAGCAATGTTGTTTCCCAGCTGACACTTTTTGAAAGGACCCAGCTTGAAAGAGCACACATTTACTATTCTAAGGCGCAAAAGCACATTATTTCTTAAAAATGTACGCAAGGTAATACAATTGGGATATCACTACTCCTGTTTGCCAATAATGAATCATACCATATTAAATTCATTTCTTCAAAAGTAATAGTCCATTTTCACACCCTGCAAGAATTATGTGAACTATATGTTACTTTTGACATGATGAACTTGCTTGAAGTGAAGATTAAACATTTCTACATTCAGAGTCATTAAACATGTGTTAGCTGGAAGGGATTTTCAGATGTATAGATGAAATTCCTAAAGAGAAACTTCTGATGGATTTTCTTTCATTGAGCACATTGTAATATATATGATGTTAAATCAGTACATATGAACATTTACGGTTCTGTTTGGTCTTATCTATCACACATGCCAATGCCATTTGTACGTATTTAATACTGACAGAAATAATTTTCTCTTCTGGTGCAGGCTTTCCTGATGATAACTATTATTTTTTTACAGTTATGTTATTAATACCTCTCCAGCTCTTTAACTGGAGTTGAAGGTCCAGGCACCCTATGAGCTGCCCAGAGCGGCTCTTTCAATCATGCCCAAGGCTTGAATGGAAGGTAGTCTATGAGCTTGCATCAGACAATGCTGGTGAGCTCACTTGGGATGACCCAATTGCATTAGACCTTAGGATACCTACTCGAAAACTAAGATCCTTCCAGAAAGGAATAAAGGAAAAAGAAAATTCAAATAACTTTCAACATGAATGACAATTCCACTTGACCCTATATTTATTAAAACTGAATCAACCTATAACAAACTGAAATTACCTTGTTGATCCAAATCTAAAGACAAAATCATATACCATTATGTATCAATGACCATCAACTTAAAAGTAAATTCTAGAAAAAAGGCTTCTAAATGTTTATAATATAAAGTTTTCAGGTCAGATGAGATCATATCCACTATGAGAGCAACTCCTGTCTAGCATCAAATTCTGACCCCAAATCCTTTCTTTCCCCACTCTGTTCGGTGTCGAACTGTTTCTCTCACCCTTCCACTATCTGCCTATAGTTCACAATTCTCACATTATGGCAAGAGCAGTGGAGTGGTTTCGAAGGAGTGAGGGTAAAGATGGGAAAGGCACTGCTGAGGTGGTCCCAGTTGCAGGAGCCATGCTTTTGCTTGTCACAAATTGGGCAAGTAATTATACAAAGTGCATTTTAAGGGGAAAGGCTCATTATTTCCAACATTCAAGTTTCTTTTTATAAAGTGAGGTTGTTTTGGTTACAGAACATATTACCGAAAGAGCAATTCCCAAAGCAATGGATGTGAGAGTTCTGTGGGTTTAGACATCATCAAATATTCTGCTTCTTGACATTGACAAGTATCTTCCACCTGGCTGATACCTGTAGGATATATAAAGAACACACATAAAAACTATATGTAGTGTAAGGTTAAAAAGGAATGAAATACATGAGATCAGCAACTAACAGAATCACGAGTCTTTTAGCGCCAACCTTTTATTCAGCCACTTTGCCATATAAAATATAGAAGAACTAAGGGTATAATTTGTATTTAGAATTTGACCCTAATGTATGACCTATATTCCAAAATAGGCCAGGAATGGGATTTACACAATACATATATTTAAATAAAGTCATCTGCGTAACAACATTGGATGACCATTTTTCCCATAATGCTAAAATACCTAAAATATGAACTGTAATTAGTTATCTGAAATTAAAAATGGAAACAATCATGTAATGTAACCCAGGACTGTCAACATGAAATGGCAAAGGCTCCCCAGAGTTTCAGACAGGAGCTTTTCCCCCAACCCTACCTGGAGAAGCCAGAGAGTGAACCTGGGACCTTTTGCATGCAAAACAAGGTGTTCCACCACAGTGTTATGGCACCACTATCATAACCATGATTATCTTTAAGTAAGGAGTGTGCATCACACATATATGCATCCATGTATCTTGATCAACAAGGCAGAGAAACCTGTTCTGTTGAGATGTTAAGATCTGAGTGAGGTGCTCCTTATGTTTGCTCTATCAAGGGGAGAGCTGTGAGCACATCTGGTTTGCTTTTAAAAGATAAAAGAAGCCACACTTTCCCATAATTTGGATTGGGGCATGTTATTTCTCTTAAATACTTTCCACCAGTATTGGTTTTCTGATTCAGATGGCCCTCTACAAGACAAAATTATACTCTTAGCACAAGAAAGAAGGGGCAACTTCCCCTTTCCAGAACCAAAGACAAGGTTTCTACTTATTCAGGGGATTCACTAGGCATATAGAAAATATAGAAGATTGTAAATTCAAACTGTTTTAAAAACCAAAAGAGTCCTGAGATAATGTGAGATGGCAATTCAGCTATGGATGAAAGAAGCTGAACCAGTCTGTTGAATGTGTCAGATGAAAATGAAAAAATAAACAATGATGTGATGGATGAACGGCCTCACGTAACTTAGAAAGAAACACGGGGTCACTAGGATGCACTGTATGAGTGTCAAAAAACATCCACTGCACACCATACACTCTTGCATGAGTTCTCAGCAGCTGTTTGCTCAGAATCAAGCTACCAGCCCGAATCCTGAGTTCATATGGATACCTGTGTTTCATCCTATGAAGAAAATAAGTGTGCGTAAGGAGGAGAGTTAATTTGGAAAGTCGTACAGGATTTAAACTTCCTCTGTTTTGTGGTCCAAAGTTATTGCTTTCTCACAAGCAGATAAACCATGGAAGATTTGACCATGGATTTCCTGGGGTCACAGTTGGTTTTAAAGAATGCTCACAGTGATAGAGATCCAAAGTGCTACTGATTTTTAAAAAAACTTTTCCTCTTTGAACAGCTGAACCCCCCGCCCCAACCCATTCAACAAGCTTTAATTGATCCTTGTGAAATGGTTGTGTGATGCTTCACCCATGAGCTAACCGACTTACAGATTTCTTACTCATTCAACAGGCTAGCCTATGGATATTCACTGTGATGACGGGCGAGGTATGCAGCAGGAGGGTGAGACTCATATGTCCTTCCTTTTATTACAGCTTTTGCCTCCCACTCCCAAGGGTGAGAAATAAACCTCAAATGTTCCCCACCTTCCTAAATCCGAGTCAAGAGGATCTTCACTAATTGAGTCAGCATTGAAATCCATAGGTTCTGCATCCTGGAGAAGTTCAACTCTGTCCCTTTCATTCCTTCCATTTGATCTGGTATATTTAGAGGCTACTGCTGCAGGAAAAACATTAAAACATTACAACCCAGTAATGCTTTCTTCTGATACTAGATCATGTGCAAAGATGACATATTATTAATACTCAAGTAAAAATATAGACTTGAGCTGTACTTTCAGGGTCAATTTAACAAACTGAACTTTATGTGACATGCTATGGTCACAGACTATTTAAAACACAAATAACTAAGATAAAGGACATGATACAAGGAACAACAGTACAACAGCTGTTTGACTTAGTTAAAATATAAGCAGAATAACATACTTAAACATTATCAATAAATTATTAATAAAGCTGTCATAGTTTGGGCACGTTAGGAGAAAGCAAGACTCACTGGATAAGACAATAATGCAAGGGAAAGTAGAAGGAAGAAGAACATTCACTGCATATTATTGTTGGAATGGAGTTTCAACAGTTACCACTGCGTGAAGCAATCTCCAAGCAGCCCCCACTTGTTAGACGTTAGTCCAAGGTGTACTTTCTCTGCCTGCTGCTCTTTAACTGAGCTTTCTCCTCAATTATTCTAGCCTAGAGATCATATTTGTGCATTCTTAGTTGTGGAAGTGAACCATTCAGTCCACAGTTCAGTATCAGGAAGTATCAGTTCCTATGACATAACTCCCATACATTACTCAAAGAATGCTGCAGCCCAACTGGTAAGGCTTTAGCTATTGATTTTCTTTTTGGATAGCATCCCAGTCTTCTTGATAATTATTTTTATGCAAGTTACCCAGGATTCAATTTAAGTCAGTGTTTGGGCTAGAACCCCCAAATGCTATTTTGGTAGCGTAAAGTTATCTTAGGTAGAAGTTTGCAATTTCACACAGAGAGCTGCAGGATTCTCTTCTACTGGCTCTAGATTCTAATGTGATCGCTTCTTTCTTAATGCATAGAGGTTCAAGAAAAGTAAGCGTCCAGAGATGACTCATATTAGATGGGATAAAAATATCCTAAATAAATAAGTAAGAAAGTAAGTAAGTTAAAGCTTCTTCACAAAGCCTTCAGAAGCAGCAGGCACAACATTTTCCCAAACAGTTTCAGGAAGAAAAATGTTTTAGGTAGTTGATTCTGCCTAAAAACAATGACTCAGATGTTTGAAGGAAATGTTTGAAGGAAAAGTGGGATATTTGTTATCATATGAAGTCACTGCACCACACCAGTTCAAAGACTTCCCTACTGCAGAGTGGCTTTCTGAAACTGATTTTACAGTTGAGGTGTATATGACACTGCAACCAGAAACTGAAAAGTTCTCTGTCTACAATAGAATAAAGTTTAGTGTAGAGTTATTTTTAAACATTTATAGAGTGTCAAACTTCTACACAGTGCACCAGCAGGTTAAAATCTAGTAAAAATGGCACAAAAGGAAAGCATGGATGCAGTGAGAAGAGAAAAAACAAACAAATTGATTATTAATATGATATAATTGTTCTTATAAATGACTAGCTGCAGTGAAGACAGATCAGGGAGAAGAGAGGTCAGATGACATCCTGTTCTTTCTCTCCCTCTCCTGCAGCTAGCTGGGATTACAGCTATAAGTGTTTGCTTACTTGAAGGCAATTCAAGCTTCAAAAATACATGTTGGACTACTTCTCACAACATATTGCTTTCTGAATAACCATTCCAAGGTGTTTGCAAAAAGTTCTACTGCAGCAAAAAACATTCACACTCTTTACCCTTATGGTCCTTTTAATGAGTGGCACCTGATGCATTAACAAAAGTCTTCATTCATGAGTCTTAGATGGAAGCACATCCCCACTAATGCTTGGATCTTCTTTTCTTTTTGATATTTGAAAAGGTTTGCCCTCCCCTGAAGAGCCCCACCCAAAGTGGAAGGATTTTCTGTTAGTACATTTTGTGAGTGACAGGATAATTCTCAAAATATTTTTTAAAATTTTTTGAAATATTCAGTTTGTTAAAAGAAGCAAGAAGGTTTTAAACACTGAAAAAGATTCTAGAGTGCCAAACTAAAGGTGCAAGGAAACACCTGAATTACAATTTTCCAAAGCACATGGCCTTGAGGAGGTAACCAAGAATTGTATCCAATGTTAGACTAAGTTTTCATTCATTTTACTGGGTTTACACTAGATAGAACATGCATTGGATACAACACAGTTATTTTTCCTTCTTCAAATGAGAATGCTAACTTCCACAGTCAATAAACTGAAACTCAACCCAGACAAGACGGAGGTCCTGTTGGTTGGCGGATCGGGTTTCGGAGAGGGTGGATTTGACCTGGTCCTGAATGGTGCAACACTCCCTCTTAGGGATAAGGTCCGCAGCTTAGGAGTACTCCTTGACCCGGAGCTTTCTTTGGAAGCTCAGGTGACAGCGGTAGCGAGGAACGCCTTCCTTCAGCTTCGGCTGATTAATCAGCTGCGTCCCTACCTGGAGTACGACTGCCTGGCGACAGTGACACACGCGCTGGTGACTTCCCGCCTAGACTTCTGTAACGCGCTTTACGTGGGGCTTCCCCTGAAGACAGTCCGAACACTTCAATTGGTGCAAAATAGAGCTGCCAGGTTGCTGACGGGGATGGGGTGTTATGCTCACATGACTCCAGTCCTCCATCAGCTTCACTGGCTTCCCATTGAAGCCCGGGCCCAATTCAAGGTGTTGATTATGACCTACAAAGCCCTAAACGGCTTGGGTCCTGGCTACCTGAACGAGCGCTTACGTCCGTATATGCCCGACCGCCCTTTGAGATCTGCGGGAGAGTCCCTTCTCCGGGAACCCTCCATGAAAGAAATTAGGAGAGTAAGTACCCGGAGGAGGGCTTTCTCTACGGTGGCGCCCAACCTATGGAATTCACTCCCCAAAGAGGTCCGCCTGGCACCGTCTTTACTGGTTTTTCGGCGCCAGGTAAAGACCTTTTTATTTAAACATCATTTCAATTGTTAAAACATATGATCTGGCCAGGGCAACTTCTTCTTCCTTCTCTTTCTCCTCCTATATTTTTATTTTATACTGATAATTTTAATTTTATTTTTGTAAATCAATGTATTCTTTGTATTTTTATATTTAATGGTAATTTATTATGTACTATTGTATTTCAATGTATTTTATCATGTTGTAAGCCGCCCCGAGGTTTCGGCAAGGGGCGGCATAGAAATGCTATAATAATAATAATAATAATAATAATAATAATAATAATAATAATAATAATGCAACATGTCCCCTGGCTGTAGCTCCGCAACCACTAGATTTAAGTAGGCCAGGCCATTCATAACTGACAGAAATATTGCAATGAAAATATGAAAACTAGCTGTGATTGTCAGATAAGAAGATGCCCTTTGTGCTGGGCTAGAAGACCATTCTTAACTTAAGGGAATATGTTGCTTGACAGATAAGAATGTTATATGTTCTACCTCAATAACATGAAACTAAGCCTGAACAGATCTGTACTTGAGAGAGAAAATTCCTCAGGAAAAAGTGTTGGAAGATACTCAAACCTGAAATTAGGAGCAGGATTATGCAATACTACATCTGTGAATTAAGAATCGTGACAAAGATGCCAAGATCTTACATCTGCTTGTGTTAGTCTCTGAAAAGCTGGACTCCTTCTGGTCTGCTTGAACACTTCTGTTTCGAGCTGAATCTTCACGGTTGCTTCCATACCGTTCTTTCCATTCCTGACCAAAACCACACAAAAATTATGACACATATGTATAAACTACATATTAAATAGCTACTAATGTTTAACAGGAGAAAACTATATTATTCTTATTAAATCATCCCATTTCATATAAGCCACTCTTATGAATTCTGGTGAAAAACCTGGATTTCCAGCTTAGTGGAACAACACCTAGAAAGACTGCCTGATGTAATAAAAGAGAAAGAAGTTTCTGGTACATGCTGTAACCACCCCCCACCCCGCCCCTTGAGTACGCCTATGGTTGACCTTTAAGTATATCATAAAGTTCATGTAAAAGAATACTTTCTTAAAGTCACAGAAACAGTAAACAACCAGAACTGTGTAAAAGTCAGTCTAGTTTTTCAAACTGTGCAGTAACTATATTATTTGGATGCCACAGCCAGATAATTAAAATAGCAATTCAATGACTTCTAGGTGGGCCTAACTTTGGGCAGGACAGGGCTTTGCATTACAGAAATACCACACCCTCCAAATTAACACTAGTTTCATTCTGATATTTGTCTCTGACTGAAAAAAATACACATACCCTCCTCCTATTTTCACCATCTTCCTGCCTTTGCCTTTTTCTTTTTTCTAAAGAGAAAACAATGTTTACATTAAATTTGAAGTAGGATGAAACAATAAACTTAATATACACTTCTATTCCTTTCAAAAGAGTAAACATCAGCATGACTGGAAGAAAGCAGGGGTGTGCAATGGCTACATTACTACCATTATTAGACATTACTAAACACCCAGAGAACTTCAGTTGCAGGACTTTTATTTTATAAATAAAACAATAACATTTTGGTCCAAGTTTGGATTGTGTGAAACCCATAGCAGAAGACTTCTTTCCTTAGAAGCAAGTCAATGGGCCTTGAACTGGATTTTGTTTTGAATTTGTTCAGGATTGACTTTGCCTGAGTTGTGTTTTAAGTGACTGGGGAAGAGGCAGGAACCACTGGATAATTTAATTAAATGAATCGAGGTGACCATGTGTGTAGAGGGACAATCACAGAAAGCTGCTTTTCTTCTGTTTTGGAGGAGGGTGTAATCAGTACAATACTGTGATTTCAAAAAACTTCATCTAAAAACTTGGATCTGTGGCAAAATCAAGCCTGAAATCTGATTGACACGGACTAAAAAAAATCAGGCTGGCTGCAGAATGAACGCTAGATGTAGTTGTGTTCTCATGCCGTGTTTGCATTTTTTAATGCTATAAAAGCCATCTATGTTGTCTTTTCCTTGAAAAATATGCCTCAGGTTTTTCTGCTGAAATCTTTATATAGTCACATAAATTTAAGTGATAATTTGTCAAGTAAAAATCTGATCAAGCAGCATTCCTTTTGTAGAACATACCTGGCTGGCTGGCATTAAACAAGGCTAGGCTGGTTATGTACTCAAGTCTTATCAGAGCCTCCAAGCAGCCAGGGATTTAGAGGAATCCCTCTCCAGAGCCCCAGCCTAAAAACCTTGGGCAGCCCAGCCCAGATGTGCACATAAGCAACCGGAATTCAAATGTGCCAATCAGTACTCATGGCAGGAATTAGTATCTGTCATTGCAAGCTGGTCATCCAGGGTATAAAAGGGGAATGCCACTTGCCTTCTGGGTTGATTTTTTCTTTGCTTGTGATCAAACTTATTCTGGAGAATAAAAACTAAGATTCTTTCCTTCTCACCCTTGTAGTCCTTAATTGTAATATTTGCTATTATGTGTATATATTTATAATGCAATAAAAACTGAACATTGGGAAGTGTGGAAGTAGCAAGAATTAGAAGCCCAAGTTTCTTAGTAACATGACAGAAGAATATTTCCAAATTATAATCTATATAATATCAGCACTGTAGTTTGATAGCTGCAAACTTCATTGGATGAGCTTACTGCACTCCTGTATACTTATGGTACACACAACTAGGGCAGAAACAGAGACAAATTTAAAAGAGGTAGGAATGCAGAGATAGGATTTTCAGAAGGGCCTGGTCTCCTCTCTATAGGCAAAATACAACCAGTCCTTTAAAAAAAATGGATCAAATAAATTTATTGAGGGCAACTCTCTGATAAGCAATCCAATGGGAATGCTCATGGCTGTCTGAACTCAGATGATTATGAGCATCCTATTGAAGATGGAAGTGCAGAGGCAGAGGCTGCCTTCAATAGTTCTTCTGTCCTGTAAATCATTAGATGACTGCTTTTGGCCACCTAAGTGTTTTGTGAGGAGGACAGGCTGATGCCGCCCGGAATACACAGTGAGTTCAGACTACACAACAAGCTATGGTGGCTCTTTACCTTTGCTGATCTGCCATGTTGTCTCGATACAGTCGCGTTACTTCACCAAGGTAAGTTTGTTCTTTAAAAATGATAAGCAACAATGGTTTGTTCTATGGTCTATCTGTACCACTATGGCTTGCTGTGTTATCTGAACCCAGGATCCTGGTTTCTACATTCCTGGTATGCAATTATCACAGAGCACTCTGGAAAGAATGGCAACTGCAGGAGCCATTCCAGCCATCCAACCTCGTTGTGTGGACCAATGAGGAAGAAGCAGGTGACATAGGCAGGGAGTTGAATTTCAGGCACAGTAGCTAATGTGACACATGTCCATAGTGGGATGCCCAAGCGGGGAGGATGGAAACCATGATAAAGTAGAAACCACTTGATTATCTGTCAGGTAGGTCATGCTAAAAACTATAAACTATGCTAACCATGCAGAGCTGCTTGTCAAGTTGTGAGAACAAAGCCACTACCTCAACAGAATTTCATACCTCCCCTCCTGGTTCCCACAACACCATTCCAGAGACTGGATTTCTGTTTGTGGAGCTGTAGCTACAGTGGAAAGAACTGTTATGCTGCAAGAGTGGAGGTTGGACACTTCAAGGTAGGATTCCAAGTCCAACAATGGAGCATGTTTTTGAAGTCAGAGCCAGAATTCCAACTTTTGCTATGAATGTCTAGACAACATTTAGCAGCCATAGCATGGCATCTTAAATAGTTATCGACAATTTTTTGTGATCTTTTTGTGGTTACAGACATATTTTTTTATTAATAGCTACTGTTGTAAATCAATGGAATATCAGAGTCCATCACGCCCTGCTTAGAAACCCTCTACAGGAATCTAGTTTATGCCTGTTTGGCAATGCAGTGCAGTATCAGATGCACCTTTGATATTTGCCAGGATAGCAATGCTTAGTAGAACATGTAAAAATACTTGGGGATGTCTATAGTCTGTGAAGTTAAGTGAAAATATGCCTTCCTTACCTCTTCTAATTAACTCTTTTCCTTCATCTACTAAGTCTGAGGTCATCTCATTGTCTCCCATGAACTGCTGGAATCCCAGAAGATTCAAACACCGAGTTCCTAAACTGATAAAAATCAAAGATATTTTTTTTCCTATCACCAAAAATAAACCAAAGATACATTGGTATTAGCTGTGATTACTCAAATGAATCTTGGCCTCATGAATTCCCTTTTCCACCTCTCCTATTTATTTATTTGTTTATTTTTCGATTTATATCCTGCCTTTTTCCTACAAAGGGCTCAAGGCAGCTTACATCATTCTCCTCCTCCATCTTATCCCCACAACAACAACCCTGTGAGGTAGGTTGGGCTGAGAGTCTGTGACTGGCCCAAAGTCACCCAGTTGGCTCCATGGCTGAGCGGGGACTAGAACCCAGATCACCCGAGTCCCAGTCCCATGCCCTTAAGCACTACACCACACTGGCTCTCTGTATGAAGGAAAGAAAATAATGGATCCCTGTATCCAAAGAAATTAGTCTTTCCCTATAACTGGTTATCCAAGTTGGAAAGAACATGAAAGAAGAATTGGCCTGATCTCCCTTTTTTGGCCCTTCCTGTTTCACAGTGTCTCTTCTCCCATCCAACGCAGAGGTGGTCCCATTATCACCAACTGCTTGGTTTATCTTAATGCTTGCTGAATTTCAGCTAAGAATTTCAAACTTGTCTCTCCTTCTAGTTCAGATTCAGAGTCTAAAGTATCCACATCTTGGAAGTATATTTTTTGGAGAAGCAGACCCAAGTGCTTAAACCTTGGCTCACTGTGTCACCTAAAAGGGGGAATCAGAGCATGGAAACTTGCTTACTCCAGCCCCGCTGTATGAGCCTAAATCTTGATTTATTCTGGTGTACTTTCAAGTTTTCACTTTAATTTACATGTGAGGAAGCTGCTGTTCTCAATGAAGTCATTAAAATTAACAACTAAAATAGGGAAGTTTAAAGGCTCTTTTTAGAATATTAACAATGGACAAGGCAGAACTGACATATCTGCACCAATAATCGAACAATGAGGACTATGGTTTTGTAGTGACTATCTGCCATAAAATACAACTTCTTGGACAGAGCTCACAACGTATGAATTCAGTAAAATAAGGGACAATTTACTAATTATGTGGTGAACATGGAAGCGTACTCTAAACATTTGTAATACAGCTTCATCCTAGCTCTTACTACCTAACACAGGTAGCTTATTAATTAATGATGCTTATTAAGGCCTACAATTGCAAATACATATAACTGAAAACTAAACAAAGAAGCAAAGATGACCCCAAATATCAACATTATTTCCAGCATCAAACTTGACACTTCCATTCTTCCACAAGGGTAGTTGTGTCTGAACATTTTAAATGGTTTTTCCAGTTCTACCAAGAATGGTTCAGATATATTCTTAGACTTTTTATAAGTCTATCAATATCCAAGTAAAAAAAGCAAACCTGAGAAACTTGTAGCCTACCTGAAGTAAGTAGCAATGCAAAGAATAACAACCAGCATGGGGTAATAGATATAAAATCCATCTGCAATGAAGGACAACACTTTCATGGATCCCATAATCTAGGAAGAAAAATCATCAGAGGTTAGCACAACCTTGTTTTTTCACTCTGTTAACCAATTATCCACTGTGTTCTGTGAGAGAAAAGGCTCCATTCATGTGGACTGCCAGTGCGGTATAGTGGTCAAAGGTGTGGGACTGGGCCTCAGGAGATCATGGAACTCACTGGGTGACTTTGGGTCAGTCACAAGCTCTCAGTCCAACCTCCTTCACAGGGTTGCTGTTGTGAGGGTAAATTTGAAAGGACGAGAATTGTGTAAGCCACCTTAAATCCCTTGAAAGGAAAAAAAGCAGGATATAAATATAAATGCTCATAAGAGGTTCTTCCGTCTGACTTTTGGAGATCCCACTTTCCCTCATATCGTGCTCATCCCATTCAGCAGGGTCTCCTGTGCAGCAGTTTTAGGTGGCTGCAAGGGCTGCCATAGGAAAGTGGGGTCACAGATGACCCCCCAGTAGTACAAGCTATTCAACTTAAATCTGGATTGAAGCCTTTCTATTGCAATTGATGATTACAACATACATTCTAGCAATATTCATTTGTATAAACATCACCACAGTTGCTTATACCAGACACAAGTTGATTATAATTTCACAGCTGACAACCAAATAAGATGCTGCATTTATCATTTTCTACTTGATGAGTTTTCAGCAACACAATCAAGGAGAATGGAATGCTATTCCATGTCTGAGATTAATCTGAAACCCAAAATTAATTCAAAACAATTTTTATGGACAGATATGCATCACTGTGTTCTATGCTACCACCCGTGATTAGAAAATAGAATGCTAGCTCTGCAAACTTGTTAGATGCAACTCAAGGTGCTGTTTCTAACCTGCTAATAATCAAGATGGTTTGGAAGTGTGTATTTCGTTACAGTGACTCTGTTCTACTGCAACTGCCTTTGTATTACTCAGTTTAGTTTTAAACTACAAACTGCTGTTAGTGATTCCCAAACTGTAGAACTCTTTGCCCCTTCAGAGCCCAAGTCTTAGACAAACCATATTCTAACACTGCTAAAATGTTCTGCTTTTGAGAGTGGAGACTTATATTTTGTATGCAAGTAAATTGATATGAGGGAATTTTGCCTATGCAGTAGATTTTTTTTCTACTGGTTTTATTTTTAAGTGTTATCATGTTAGAAATCTGTGTCCAACCTAGATAATTAAATAATATGGGTACACTAATGAGGAAAGTTAAGATCTTTACAGTCCCATTACTTTCAATCAGACAGTAAAACAGAGGCTTAGAATAATGAGACTGAAGAGATTCACTCCAAATGAATTATATTTAAAAATGTAATGCAATGCAAAGTCACCACTAGCAGAAATGTATTGACCCAGTTTGCACATGTGAATAGGATACCATGTTCATTAACCAATGACATCATGCAATGCACAAGTAGGAAAGCTGCTGCAGTGCTTTGGCACTTTTGCTTTTAATCAGTAATCTACAATTGCCACAGTTGTAAGTTGAGTGTGATGTGCAACCCTAGAATACTAGATTGTTCAACACCTAACTCATGGTTTGCTGTTCACTCAACCACTAGGCTGTTTAGATTTTAAATAAGCTGGGACTCTGGGTTTTCATGTCAACGTTTGATGCAGCTAATCATATGCTGCAGAAATAAAAGTGGAAGTAAGGAATGTGTGGGAGGCAGTGCACTTGCTCACTCTCACTTAGTACCATTGATAGGCGAAAGGGCACAAACACCTAACTGAAAACAGATTCTATACAGCCAAGAAAGGAATCTGATAGGACATAGCTGGTTTGAAACCCTGAACTGAAATGAAGCAAAATGAACATTTCATTTTGGCAAGAAAACTTTTTTACAAACTGTTCTCTGAAATCCATTTAGCATCTACAATTAAGTTATACTAAGAAAATAAGAACATAAGAAAAATTATGCTCGATAAGGTCAATATAGTATAGCACTCAGTTCAAATGATGGCGAACCAGCTGTCCACAGGCTCTCACCAGGAGGAAAAGTACACGTTTCATCTGCCTAAGCTCCTCAGCAACTTGAGTATACAGACATGCCATTTCTGATAATGGACAGCAAGGCTAGTAGCCACTGACAGCCTCCTCCTCCATGAATTTGTTCAATCCCCCTTTTAAAGCTATCCAGATAGGTGGTTATCACCACTTCCGGTGACAGTGAATTCCATAGTTAAACTGTATGAAGAAGTACTTCCTTTTCTCTGTCCTGATTCTTCCACCAATAAGTTTCATGGGATCCAGCGTTACGGGGGAGAAAGAAAAATGTCTTTCTCCATACCCTGCTTAATTTTAAACGCCTCTTATCATTGCTTTCCTCTCTGAAAAGCAAGGGAGGCTGAGGGTGAATTCCTGGACTGCCCTACCTTCCACAGATGGGAAACGTATGTAAATTGTTAGTTGTTCCTTCAGGGAAGAGCACATTAGCGAAAGGTTGTTGACAGCGTCATTGTGAAGGTCTGGCATTTGGAAGGCTGAGTTACTTTGTGTGCAATCTAAGTCATAGCCTGGACTCTCAAATTTGGAATTTCTTTGTTTCTAAGCTTTAGTTTATGAGCTTCTCTGTAGCCTTAAAATCTAGAGCCTACACTGGGCCCAAACTGATGCCAGCCTTCTCTTTATGTTTATAAGCAGTCTCTGCTTATAGTCCTGCTCAGTGGCTCTTGAGAGTACAGGGATATGCATTGCCTTTCCTCCCACTTTCTAAGCCTCGGTTTAGTTTAAATGTGGACTCTCTACCTGAGCTTCTCTGCAGTTTCCTGCTAGGATTTCCCTCTGGGATTTAGCTTTCAAGTATAAGTTGGCAAAGGGTTATTCTTTCGGAAATGTTGCCCTCTTGTGGTGCCCCTGTCCTACTATATCAAGACAAGTTCTTTTCGCTTACAGATGTATACGCAGTTTGCTGATCAGCGGGTCTTTGAGAAAATGCCGAATCCATATGAGTCAAGCCCAAGAAATTCAGACACAGGGGAGGGGTCAAACGGCAGAACAGCCTGCATGATAAAGGATAAAATGGTAATATACTGAGGATAAGGAAGAGGACCATGTAAACTGCCTTGAGTTCCTTGCAAGAGGAAAAAAGGAAATATATAAGTACATTAATAAAATGTGCAATGAAAATAGTCAGCAATTTTGAAAGCAGTTTTTGCTGCATTTGACATTCCCCTTCTATCTCATATGACTGAAAACAGTACCAGCTGCTCACATGCTAACCTAAAAAAATGACAAGGAAAGAGGAAGGGAGGCTGTAAGGGTGCAGAAAGCGATAGATAGATATGCTGAGAGTAGAGTATTCTACATGTAGGATAATCTGGATGCTTAGAAGAAAGCAAGTTGGCCAATACACAAAGCTGTTCTCCATGTAACTGTTATAATCAGCATTCTAAATATCCTTCTCTAGAAGTGGACATGCAGGAGTGGAATTACTTACTTCCTACTCCGCCTGCCTGCATTCAGAACCCCCTCAGAACACTCCCTCAAGGGCTAGGGAACCCTGCGGAGTAGAGTGGGCTATGGGACAGGAGGCCAAGAGGTTGTAACCTCCTGCTCTATGCCTGAACGCGCACAGGTACGCCTTGTAGGCCACAGCCCACCCCACTCTGAGGGTTCCCTGGCTCTGTGAAGGACAATCTGGAGGCTCTGGGGCTGGTGAAGAGAGTAGGTTTGGGAGGTTTGGTTTCTGCTAACCTTCTGTGGACAGGTATCTGGGTACAAATCCACTGTATCCAAGCAAGAACCAGATCAAGGCCTGTAATAGTCTTTAGATGAATGCAGGTTAAAAATAAGATCCAGCTACATTACAGCAAATTCCTTCTGTGCAACACCTTTAATTATTCAGAACTATACATGTAACAAAATAACAATCTACTTACATGCCACTGAAAAGCAAACTATATGCATCTGTTTGATGGTGCGAAGCTAAATAGTAATAGTTGAACACACGAATTCTGAAGACAGTAGAATAGACACAGATACTGAGGAAAAAGATGGTAAAGAAGCAGGCGATCTGTAAAACAGAGATTTCATTCAAAATTAGGTAAAATATAGACTTATATTTTATTAATATTTTATGGCATTATTTAGTGAACTAGGTGCTTTGTAAATTATTTAAGCATTTTTACATAAAATAACTCTAGCAGCAAAACAGAGTATAGAAATACAAGGGTGAGGGTACTACTGGACAAAACAAGGATCAGAATCTTGAATATGATCATAACCCTTCCTATTGCTATATTAATGACGACATACTCTTAAGGCTGGTTCAAATTCCTAAAATTTCTGTGAGGTCATATACATAATAAACTCAAGCAATTTCTGTTACTTAAGTTGTACACAAAACTTAAGATATACCACTATATAACTATCAAATTACAGGATTAAATAATTCTAGAGTACAAGCCCTAAATGTCAATAAGGTTTGGAAAACTAACCTCTATATAGAAATAGTTGTAATTGTCTCTTGCTAGTTGAATGAAGACTGCAAACAAGGACAAAACTGGCTTCGGGCTGAAAAATGTGCATTCCGACCATACAACAATGATAGAAAATGTGGCCAAAATAATGGCAAGAATCCTGTGAAACCATGGTCGCAGAAGACACTCCCAATACCATTCTAGAAAAGAAATATTTGGAGATTAGGAAAAGAGTAATTAAATAAGGAATCAGAAAGGGAAAGACATGCAAAGAACATTGCAATACTGCTCATTCCTTCAAAGGGGTGCTCTAGACATGAATTAGGAATACCAAGGGGGAAGGGCTGGAAACAAACAAGGAAGAAAGACAGAGATGCTACTCCCCAAACAGTTTGCTGCTCTGAATGTGTCCACAGGCCAGAATGCGGAAGGGATAAAGGGAGAAAAGGAACAAGGCTCCACTGAGTCTATGGATTTATTCACACATGGACACTGCATCTATACTGATCTGCACTGACATCCTTGTTATACTATGCTTTTGCCAAAAACGCTGTACTCAGTTATCTGCATAATAGCGCATACCTACAGTTGGTGTGTAAAGATACTGGATAATTTTGTTTTCAGGTTCTTGAGACTGAAAAGTATGGACAAACTGATGAGTAGCACTGGTTTCATTTTTTGCCACATCCTCCAAATAAAAAGCTTGTTCTAGAAGAATTTGCCACTGGACCTGTGTACGACGATGCCTTTGAACTGAATAAATTACCTAACAAAACAAAACCAGTGTTCTTTTTATAGCAATAATAGGGTATGGTAGGAAGATAAGTTAAGCACACACATACAAACATTTAGCAAATAATCTATGGGTTATAATATAAAATGGGAATAATTTCCCATGGGTAGCAACAACCTAGGCTACAATTACTATTCTCACAGCCAGGTATTATGTCATATTTTTATTAAATTTGTGCACTGTTCATTAGCTAATAAGCTATGGATTATATCCCCCGTTAGTTCTATTAAGGACATATCATTAAACAAACAGGGATCTGTTATCCACTATCACTTTTACGCATTCCTTATTACCTTGTAATATAAATATAATGTTCTCTTGCTTTCCTTGGAGTATTTGGGTTGAGTATTGTCATGCTTTGCGCAACATCACATTTTGCAATAGTAGTCAAGTTTTGATTTTTAGGACACCCTTGGAAATGCTACATAGTTATTGGTTCAGACACTCAAGTATTGTTGTATAGTGCACAGAAACTGCCTTTGAAAGACTACAGAAGCCACATTCATTGGGCTTCTTCGCATGCTGAACTTAGAAAAAGAACAACTCAAAATACATCTACGTCTATTCTTGTTAAATCACTGAGTTACCTGCTTATGAAGTTTGGCCAGGCTTTTTTCTGTTGGGTAAGTATTAGGCCTTTCTTCAAAATCTTCATAGTCATCCATGTTTCTACCCATTCTTTCCTGATACTCAGGAGGGCACTAAGATTAAAAGAACAGATGCCTCACCACATGTGCCTGACACAACACCACACTGAAGCCAGAAGAGTTGAGGGGGAACAGAAGGCTTACCGAGAGAGCCAGAAGGACTCTTGCTTCCCTCTCATTGCCTCCTAGGCCCTTCTTCCATTTTCTGTCCAAATATTCTCCCAGATGTTACCAGGACAAAATTCTATTTTCACATTTTTCATACCTATTTGTAGCGACTGTTCCCCTGGATTCACTGCTACTTCCGCACTTTTTAAAGGGAATTTACGATTGTATGATCTAGCCAACTGAAAATCAACTGGCTATTATTCCCTCACTTTTCAGACAATCATTTTCTAAAATGGGTCACATCAATAAAAACAGGGAGAGACCTAGACATCAGGCTTAGACATTAAAACGGAAAATGTAAGATACACAAGGGAAAACGAGTGGAAAAAATGGAAGCTGGAGGCACTTCTTTGTTTCAGGCCAAAACAGGGCAGTAAGCTGTAAGGGGACATTTGTATTCCTTTCAGGTCAAGAAAATCTTCCCTTGCTGATATTCTGGCTTGAAAAGCAATTGGTGGCTATTTAGACAACGCATGGGAACGGAGCACTTTCCCCTTACTTTTGCAGACTGAGGACTGCAGGTAGCTAGGGCCAATCTTTCTTTTTGGCAAAGAGGGTGATATGAACTCCCGGTGGCTGTTTCTTCTTTGGCCACAATACAGCAGTATCCAGTCAAAAACTAGTGCTAAGAGCATTAGCTGGTGTGATGGAATTTCCTGGTCACACTTGCTACTGCTGTTGTATGCACATATGGGGCACTTGTGTTAGTGCTTCTGTCTAACCTTTGTCTTGATGTCATTCTTAGGAAAGGAGGGGGTGCAGCCTCTTGTGGCAATGACGGGGCACAATGTACCATTGTCAGAACTGGCTGAGAAATATTACTGGGCAAACATAAGCTTCCTATTGTGTAGGTAAGGAAAGAGCAACATATCATGTTGCCCAGGCAATATTGCTGACACTCCTTTTGCTGCAGTTTTAGAATCTTAACCCATAACCCTTATGTGGAAATATATATTACAAAGATTAGTTACCTTCTTTAATACTGTATCCACACATTTCCTCAAAGGATGATTGTATTTAATACTTTCATTTACTTTGCGGACTTCCTGTTTGAGTAAGAGAAAGAAATAAGAAACACTTTTTTCTCTATAGTTGTGGTTGAGTCCCCTGCCTTCAGTTTGTGACAATGCTAAGCTTAAAATATTTTAGAAAATATCCAAGTAGGATTTCTAACAAGTTAACAGCAAGTCATTTGTGACTTTATTTGAAAACCGATCATATTTGTTTTTAATACAACATAGAGCAGCAAACTTAGAAAGTAACTTAGTCTGCACTGAGGCCCTCTCCATACTTTACCATTTTATTTATTTGATATGAAGGCTTAGAAAATTATGTTTAAAAAACAATGGCCAAAATTTTCAGAATTCTAATACAGGGTCTAACTGGGATTAGACCCAGTTCAAGTGACCACTTAAATTCCTTGTCTAGATCAGCGGTGGATAGAAAGTAGAACTCCAAAGGTTTTGGACTTGAACTCCCAGTGTTTGTACACTTGCAGTGCTGGCAAGGACTTCTGGGGGCTGAAGTTCTAACCATCTTGAGATATACTTTCTATCCACCCCTAGTCTAGATGACTGCAAATGAAATGCAGTGAGTTTCACAACTGTGCATTCCCCTTCTTTTTTCTTCCTTAACATGTGAAATTTCAACTTTTACCTTTTCCTTTAACTAAACCACAGTTTTCAATTACATCTGAAGTCAGTGATTATACTAACTCTAATTGGTTAAGCAAACTAGCATATCAAACCATGGTCAAGTCCCCTTGCCTGAGAATGCTTAACTTAGCACTGCTTTGGCTAAGATGGTGACTTAAGTTGTCTAGTGTCCCTTGCCATTTCCTAATGTTCAGCTTTTAAAATACCATAAAGATCTTTTTGTCTTCTACTTATTTTATAATCTCTATTTTTTGTTTTATCTTTCATTAGACTAATAATATGTAGCAGTGCTTTACTTGTTTTATTTTTGTTAACTGCTGTTTTGCATTTAGTGATTTTAACTTTTTTCCTCTTTTGGATAGATTTTTTTTTCACAATACAGTTTTTTAGTTTTATTTCACTGCAAGGATATAGAGCACAGTGATGCCATCATGAAAGGTATAATTCATAACTTATACCTTTAATTACTCTGAAAAAAGATTTTAAAAACCACTTTAAAAAAGGAGCTACTGTGGGTTCTAAGCTGAAAACTTTTATAAGTCAGTTTGCTCAAAATACTAAACTTTATGAAGAGGTGCAATACACTAAATATGAATTAGATTTAAAAATCACAACAGGTAGAATTTGCACTATCTTGTTTCATATGGTCATATTGGAAGAATACTGAACAGGCAGTAAGATAATGGCAAATTGAAAATATAAGCATCAAAACACTATTTTGATAAGACGATAGAGGTAAGATACTTATTCGTCCTAAAGACACACATTTTCATTTTTAAAAACTGCATTCAGAATGTATAGTAGTGCTCTGAAATATCACAGCAGGATACTGATTTCTTTTCCACAATTTGAATTTCCCTGTCTAAATATGTTACAAAAGCACCTTTGTGGACTGATGTAATTATGAAAACTGCAATTAACATGAAACCAGGGGAAATGCCTGGTCTGTGTGTCTTTCCAACTGACTGGTATAAAACATTTTTCCAGCTTTCTGGAGCTAATTACTGACCTATTTCATTGACTGTTGATATTAAAATGCTAACTACAATTTTTGCTAACAAAGAATAAGTTATCAAGACATTAATACAGCTGCAATTGCATCATCTCTGCATATATTTTGGTAATGCCAAGTGACAGCTTTGTTTTGGAAAGAGGTGATTATGCTGAGGAATCTTCTTTTTAATATTTAAGGATACACATTTTCTTTTGAATTATCTACCCATCTCTTGGATTTTTTTGTACCTTAAAAGGCTAATAGTTCAGCATTAGTAGAATAAATGGCCACCTGCGATAATGCACAGGTTAGAAGACTTGATTAAACTTACAATTATTGAATAGGTGGCTTATAAGTGTAACCTACAACCATAATTGGAGTACCTCTGTTTAATTATATGCATATTTTTAACAATGGTAATTTGTTCTGTTATATAATGGAATATAGAAATACATAATATATAGAGAACTAGTTCCATGGTTTTTTTTCCCCAAAAAATTGTTGTCTTCATTTATCTTACTCTTTATTCTTCTTTTTCTTCTTTAATGGTGTGGCTTGGTTGTTTTTGTATTGCACAATACAACTAACTAGCTAATTATGTTTTGTGACTTTCTTGCTGCCATAAATATTAAGAAATTGATTTGCACCTTGAGGATGTTATCTCTTATAATCGCCAAATGAGTTCTTCTAGAACTACTTCCAGTGTACCGGCAAACCTGGGTGACAGTATACTTACCTCCATGATATCCTCCAAGTTTTCTTCTGCATCTGCCTTCTCAGTCATCAGTTTAGCAACTTTGAAATATGTCTTCATGAGAAGATAACCTTTCTTTGCTCCATTCCAGTGAGAACGTGGAATTTCAACTAGGCCATACCCTAACAGCAACACTAGGAGGAAGAGGCCCCAGGTGTTGGCAGCAGCTATTCCAATTGTCTGAAGTTGATTCCTAAAACAGAAAGTGTGGCCAATAAAGTAACATTCAGTAATTAGTATGTATCTCGGAACAAAGAGAGACAAAATTAATTAATATTTCATATGAAACACAGAAATCTGTTTTCTCCCTTACTTTTTCACTCTCTGTTTCCTAAAATCCTTTCACAGACTATCTTCCTCATGCATGAAGCATTAAATGAAACATGGAACTATTTATATGATTGTCCCATTCTTTCCTCATGTAGTTCTAATTCAGGGATCCCCAACACAGCACCTTGTGGCAATAATAACACCTGTGCGCGACCCTTAATGTTGTCATTTAAAGGGGTCCCCAGTGGAGCACCTATGCGTATCAACAAAATATAGGCAAGAGACCCTGCTGTTCAAAATGTAAAATTCCCACTCTATAAGCCATCTAGGCAGACTTACAGTACTGCATTAACATCCAGCTGGATTATTTTGGCCAACAAAGAAAATCCAAGTTATGGCAGTACTACAAGTAACTAAAAATGGAATTCATACAGAAGTAATTCCTTAAAATCTAGACCAATAGTATAGATTTAAAGAAACTGTACAACATTATAATTACTAACTAAAAATCACAGTCTTTAAAGATTTAATGTTCTGACATCTAGCAATCTTACCATTGCAGGCTGATGTTTGGATTTATAGCCACATATATTAAGAAAGCTCCAAAAATCAGTAGGTACGTCCCATAATAGATAGCATTCTCAATTAGTGCAGTTTTAATCTTTCCAGCAATGGAAAAGCCTCCTGACCTAGCATACGACTGCATAAAAGGTAACAGAATCCTATGAAAGAACAACAAAAGTAATGAAGCAAAACAGGTTCATTTTATCTGCATTTCTGCTGACAAGTATTCTTCATATAACATGACTGTGCCATTGTATATCTTTGAAAATTGAGGCTGTAAGTCCTGAGATTACTTATTCTATAGCAAAAAGAATTAAATCACAAGGAAAGAGGCTACCTCATATAACTAGTTTCAAGACTATAACTGTAGCATTTCACACTGTTTAGGAACCATATTGCTCTTAGCAGGCAGCATGTTCAATTGACTGTCTGTACCTGGACAATCACCCTTAGAATCCCTGGTGCATATAGCACATAGTTTGCAGCAGACGGGTTCCTTCCTCAAATCAAACCATTTCCCAGTTTACACAAGATTATTCTATTTAAACAGAACCGAGGAGGAGCAGGCCTAGGGTGTATGTGACTATATCTGCCTATATTTAGGTTAAGCCACCAAAAGTTTTCACGTTAATAGTAAACACCCAAGTGCTATATATGAAGCCATTAACAGATTGTTTTTGTCTGAGCTCTTTCAAGTATTCTGGAAGTTCTGCTAATTCCTTACCATGTCAAGAACTGTGATGTCCAGTATACTACTCGCCAAAAGATGGGCATGATTCCATCAGGAATATAACTCCATGGCTTGAAGCATTCCTGTTTTCTGTAAGGATGATCAGATACATAATTAATAATTAAGAAAAAATAGAAAACTAATTGTTCAAAACTAACTAATGGAGGCTGTATGTTATTACAAGGTCTGCAAAATATTACACCTGTCTACATAGTCCAAGCTAGAGCTTCACAAATTGCAGATAAAGTGAAAAGGATATACAATAGCATAAAGAGCATAAAGCTGCCAGCTTATCATTAATCTCTAGACTGCTCCACAAAAAACATAACATGCATGTTTATCATTAACATACATACCATAGAAGAATAAATATTAAGGACAGGCTTCAGTCCCCAGTACTCTGTACAAGTTTGCTACTAGCTCAGCAAGTTTACAGTCTCTATCTAGAAATTCTGCATATACAAACAAGTATTGGGGTACAAGCACACTGTCCACTGTGAACACCATATAATATGACAAAATACGTAGGCACATCACCTGTATATGTATGAATACCCAATATCTATTTGAACAGCCTGGCCATGCCACACATTCACTAGCTTCTCACATACAATAAGTTAAGCCAAAGAAAAGGGTGAGTGTGTGTTGTCACTAAACTGGGTGCTGTTGCTGCATTATAGGTTGCTGTAACACAGCTGCAAGAACAAATGCTAATGATTACTAGTAACACACAATTCACAACCCAATAATAAATCATGAATTCTCTTTATGGGTTGTTTGCAATTGACAAACCATGGTCTGTTAGGGTGGATTAGTTCATTCAATGCAAAAACCACATTCTGGCTTGTCATGATGTGCAAATGCGCACTGGTGCATCATGCTAAGTCATCCTGCCAATGAGCTGTGCATCCAACAGTGCACTGACAATAAGATAAGGACTCATTGCGGCTTGTTCTCCTCTCACTCCCAGTCCCCAGTCAGTACTTCACTACCCTTCGTGGAAGAATCCATCTTGTCATCCCCTCCCTGGTCTTACTACTATTTTTTTTTCTTTAGTGCTGGGCATTTTTAGTGTGGGAGAAGGGAAACCTCAAAAATGCACAATTAGGATTGTATGTTTAAGAATATTTTGGCCTCAGGTAATCATACATTTGTAATTGTATGTCTTTTGTAAGTGTGCTTATAGTTGTCCAACATGTGTTGCATTGCCGGTTCAACTTCCTTCTTCGTTTCAGCTGTCAATGGGAACAAGTAAAGTAGTAGTACACATGGAAAAGGACAAAGTGAGATTGTATCTAGGTAAATTCGTGCTCAGGTGCTGTGGTTCAACTGACAATTGAAAAGCACCAAAATAGGGGGAGAAAGTGACAAAACTAGGTGCACCAAAAGAAAGCGGGACAGTATTGCCCACATAACATTGTACTGCTCTTGCTTTTAAGTGTTGAACTGACACTTCTCAATGCCTTCTCTGGCTCTCTAGCCACTCCGGAAATGGGAGATATAAAGCCTGCCATTCTAGGAGTACTGGCTGCTGCAGTTAATGAGTATTCAAACAAATACAATACAGAAATTATGCAAATTTAATGTATGGAAAAGTAAAGGGGAAATATGAGCCAATTTAAGGGCAGAAGACTAAGTGGAAGGTAGATTTGTGCACCAGTGGTGACTGCTCCAAATTCTTTAAGCAGTAACTGTTCCCAAAGAAGACATGGAAACAAAGGAAGCAAATGTTCCCCACCCCCTTTTTGGACTAGCTGATGATTAAGATACGTAAGTGTTAAAATGCAGCAGATACTGATAATGGTTAGTTCTGCACTTAAAAGCACAAGGATTACAGCAATGACTGGTCCTCTGGCCCTTCTGATGCATCTTTTTGGGCAAATCAGCCTACCATCAGTTTCCATCTAGGATACCTATTCCACTGCTACCTTGGACAGCTTATACATACAAGGGAATTGACCAAAGACACACATTGGCCACTGGGCCCCATCAAAATAAACAAACAAATACCTTGAAAACAGGCACATTTGCACAATTTTCTGGGACCAATAAATAAATAAACATAGCAAACATGTAGTGCTTGCTCCAAAGTACTGCTTGAGCATTGGTGGAGAGGCAGCGCTATCACCCAGTGGCTGCAAGGGTGAGATCACAAAGAATGAAAAGAGCTTTTGCCATTCTTGTTGAGAAGTTCACTAGCCGATCCCTACAACCCATGATGAAACTGTTCTCCCAGGTTTGAATGACATAACAGCCGATTATGGATTTAAGAACAAGCCATGTGTTGTGACGGTGGCTTGCTGCCAAAATAGAAGCTACCCTACGGGAAGAAATCGGGGTTTGGAAGACACAATAACCAGTAATGGCTAGTTACTCACAATGGACTCTTGCAAACCCAGTCACTATGTTGTGCATGCAATGGGAGTACAGTGCTCCACATTAGACATAGTGTACCCAAAAGACCTTTACTGAGAAGAAAGCTTTACCAAAGCCAAATCAGTTCTGAGACTGAGATAAACCTCATCTGTTACAAGGCAAGCTTTCTCAGAGTACACTTAATGAAACATATAACCACAGCTACAGCATCACCTTATGCTCAGAGAAAGGATCTGTAAGATTGTAATACCATAGGGAAAAAGAATCTTCTTTGTTCCAGTGGAACATAAATGAAGGGGAAAAACCCATAAAATATACTGCATAAGCTATGTATTCTTGCCTTGAAGCCACTGAAGCTCTTTGCTCCTACATAAAAAATGGGGAGCTTATTTATAAATAAATAGTTTAATGCTCTGTATCTCAAAGTCATGAAAGCAAATCAAATTGGTTACATAATGTTAAAATGATGGCTTGGAATAGCAGGATGATATCCAAACACAAATTGCCATCCTTCTAGAAGTGCATTATAAAGCATAACTTCTGAATTGTTCTGACTTTACAAAGATGCTACATTTCCAGTCTTGTAAAGTCATGGGAGTAAAATTTTTACACAAAATCACAGTCATTGGTAATGACAAAAGAATTCCTGATAGAGGGCTTGTTCACATTTAATGACAGCAAATCATGGATTGACTAACTCCCAAATTACTACAGCTTTGCCTGTTGGCCCAATAGTAGCTTGGTGCATGATGTATAAATTTCGACACTTTGAGTTGCTTGTGCACTAAACTACCCAAAGTTAATTTAACTACTAATTATAGGTTAGCTTTGGGTTATTTACCTCACAAACAAACCAAGATATACAGATTCACATAACACACAAAAACCTCAAATTAGGAGCTTGCATATACAAAAGTGGCTGCTATTTGATACACAATATTTATTATTAATTTATGTAAACTTATATTCACTAAATTGGCTTGAGGCAGATTACAGTCAAATGCCAAAACATAATTAACCCACATGAACTGGATCTTTATCTCAGGAAAAAACAAGGGGAAAAACCAACTATGAATCAAGAAATAAATTATCCTGCCAGCCTACTTAGACATTTCCTAGAACATATATTATCATCTTACAGCTCAAACGAGCCAAGGTCTGCTCTGGTTTCTCAACAATCAAATGGTATGAGCAAGTAATATAAATGAGCTTCAATGATCCAGTCTGCACATAACAGTAACAAATCATGGCGCTAATTAAATAATAAATTAATTAACAATGACTGCTTACTATGAGCAGATTACTGTGCAGCCTCCAATCAGCTCTATCACAGATTCTCTTTTGCTGTGCAAATCAAAAACTTTGAATTGTTCATGCATTACACTACCCAATGGCAAGATTCAGTGGTGACTGTGCATGAGCAGGCTTCTTATGCAACAGAATCAGCAGGGCAGCAGCAGGCCATACTCATTGACCAACTATGAATCACCCAAAGTTAACATGTAATTAATTTTTAGGTTAACTCTGGGTTCTTTTAACCCACATAATCCAAGGGTTAAATGCAATCATCTGTGGGCAGACTGGAAGCTGTGTATTGAAAGTGGATCACACCAGAGCAAAATGTAGTGTAATTAACTCAGGATCTGCCAATGTTCTATGCAAACTGGCCCAATGTGTCCAAGGCCTTGCATACTGTGAAGACAATGACGTGGTTCACATGATCACTGCGTCCCACTGTCACTTATTTAATAACCCATACATTGTTCAAGGATTATGTAAAGGTTGTTTAACACCCCCCATATAACCCACACTGTCTGGGTTCATACTGCACAAGATGTTGTGTCCCATATATTCAGAATGGCAGCTGGCACATGCTTAGTATTTATTATTATTTAAAACTTTTCTAGACTGTCCCTTACTGTGGTCTTGGAACAGTTTAACAATAAGACAAAATAAAATAAAACATAGCATCCTAATAAAAAATTCCAATCAATAGTAAACCTGTATTAAATCAATCAAATCTTAAAACATTAGGAAAATAAAAAGGGTTTACAGGGCATTTGTGATAGAAAGAACTTAAATAGCCTATTTGGGATAAACATTTGCTAGATGAACAAGTAGAAAGAGCACATACCTTTGTTTTCTCTCAGTTTTTAAACATGTAAACTGTCCAACTCCTCCCATTAGAGATGCACAGTACCTAAATGTATCCTTTTAAATTTAATATTCATTTTTTTGTTATTCTTAGATTGCTGTGGGCTTTCAACTTCCACAACTCACTGAGAATGCACTGTTTAGAAAGAAGACTAATCATACCTTGGAGTGGAACTTGCATATTGTTGGTATTGTGGTGATCCATTATTGGTGGGGGGGGCAGCATATGATTCATTTATATCGTGTTTACATTGATTGTATATAGTCTAAAAAAGGCAGCAATTAGAAAAAAGTAACATAGTTTTAGAGAACAAAATAAAGGCACCTATCAATTTATTGACTTCAATATATATTTTAATCATAAATTCAAGTAAATTAATGTCTTTACCATAACACATAATTTTTGCTACTTATGTATAGATACATTGGTGATAAATAAATAAATAACTGGATAGAGCATTAGCTCTTGAGATAAGATGCTCAGAGCTGGCCTTGTCTGGTCCAAATAAGCAGCAGCCATGCTGTGGAAAACCCCTACATGGCAAGGAGGTTGCAAACAATCAAAATGGAATTAATGGAATTCTCACTTTTCTTTTAGGCAAAACAATGGCATGCGGTGAAGGTCTGAATTTATTATTATTATTTAAACCATTTCTGATATTTCTGGCTTACACCAGGCTATTACGAATATCAAAATTTTGATGCAACTTTTCCATTGTTTAATAAGATACTCTTCACTGCTTATTTAATAAAAAAAGAAAAAAACCCACCCTAACCACTCCTGTCTGAGGCATTTATGCACAATTAACTGCTACAAAAAAGGAAAAACATAAAAATGAAATTCCTTACCGTTGTGACATCCAAAGGCAATATAAAGATTATGAGAAAACAAAGATGCCAAGCTAGTAGTGTTGCTACAAGCACAAGCTTGTGTTGTTTTTTGAAGTCTCCATACCGATGTAGTATGATTAATGCCAGAAAGAAGACAACAATTATCTCAATGCCCAAAGCTGCACCACTCATAATTGTTTACTGACTCCAACCAGGATGTATAGCTCATTTAGAAGAGAGTCATAGCTATAATAAATAGAAAGATTTAATTGAATCCTGTAGTGTCATTTGTAATAGACATATTGACTATAATTCTAAGAGCATCTAGATACATGTAGCAAGGGTTTTCTTCCCCGTAACAGAATAGCAGCTCTTTCCCCTAAGAGCTCATGACACTTGGCCCAGTTCCAATGAAGCAAGCTTTCTGTGAATGTTATGGGGCTTTTTGTGAATGTTAAGGCAGTTTATCAAACAGCCAGTCTGTCACATTTGAAACTGAGTGGAATGAAGAGCATCACAGAGGTCTGCAGTTCAATTTTAAAACCTTTTAAAAATTCAACTAGTTTTTCTAAACTAGATAGTTCATTGGTCCTCAGTCCATGCCAGCCTACTATGCACTTTCTGCCTTTATTTCCCATATAGCAAAAATACAGTTCTCAAATGTTACTTTGAATGCCAGTCATAAAATATAAAGCAACTCAGGTGCTTTAGATAAGGAGTATTAAAAGCCATGGCAAAATATTACGCAAGTCTTGCATTACAAATCACAGCAAGCCAATAACAGCACAAAAATATGCACTTCTCTCTCATTATTGAGAAGTTAAAAAGTTATTTACTTAGTTTGGTATTTGTCTTCCCATGAAATTACCATATTTTTCGCTCTGTAAGACGCACTTTTTTCCCCCTCAAAAGTAAGGGGAAATGTCTGTGAGTCTTATAGAGCAAATGTGTGTGCCCGACACCCAGGACGCTGCCAGCCACCTGCACCACGTGGCACCACCTGGCCGGCACGCACTCGGCACGCCCTGCTCTGCCCCCCTCTTCCAGCACAGGTGAGAGCTGTTAATCACATGTCGGTGTGTGTTTTCAAATGGCAACCCATCTTTTAATGAAGCCCATGGGGAAGTGATGGGGAATGTGCCTGTGATTATCAGGAAGCTTTCCATGGGTCAGTTATCAGTTAGTTAATGAGACACTTTTTTTTTAGGATCAGTGGATATTTGAACAGCATTACTTTCGTGTATGAAGTTCATTCTTCAAAGGCTACTTGGTCCGCTGTGTGTTTGATTTACCGTACAATATCTCATTTTTTGTCAGAAGTTTTTTTCTATTATTTACTAGTAGGGCAGTGTGGACATTACTGGCTTTTTTAGATTTGTTATTGAATTGTCTGCAGCAGCGCTTGTATAACTGATGTAGATTGTGGATTCCTTCAATAATTCCACTACTGACTAAGAAAGTGATGTCAGTGATTGTGAGCAACAGAGCTTCATAAATTCTGACTCTAGTGATGATGAGTTCTATGGGTTCAACGAAAACTAGAAGAGTACTCGAACTTTAAAGTCTCTCTTTTGTTAATGACAGTGATGATGGTTCTTAATGCCACTGTTGACTGCTGTTCACTTTACAAAGTTGAAATACGGTATTACTGTATTCTGTTACAGTTTATTAAATAGTTTAGTGAACCATTTGATTCAGAATATTTTCTTGTTTTCCTCCTCTAAAAACTAGGTGCGTCTTATGGTCAGGTGTGTCTTATAGAGCGAAAAATACAGTACTGAATTCTATTTACGGTTCTTCTAGGGAAAAATACTTTTTTCAGCAGAAATTATATTGACTGAATTTTATTGTTTTTCATGAATACTAGAAATGTTTTATGTTTTTCAGTTCATTTCTACCACATTTGTCATGCTCTTCTTCCAAGTAACTTAGAGCAAGGTATAAGTGTGCTAAATAAAAAATATATATTTCAAATCCATTTCTGGTCCTGCCCCCAGTTTACCTTTTGGAAGATGCTCTTCAAATTCCCTTGATCTTCAGCAAAGTATTAAAAAGTGTGAAGAATAGATGCCACTGTTGAACATTTATAATTCACCAGTTCCACTATTCCTCTTCACACTCTGTACCAGAATCTCTTCTTTTCAAATCCAAATGCATTTATCTATTTATTTAAACACTTTAAAAAAAACACCCTTTATCTACAGGACCCCATTTAGAGCATTTCTTCCTTGATATACTAGTTTACTAGTCAGGAATAGTGTGAGACAACAGTGGTTTTTACCTGGGAAGAAACAATCCCATTCCATGTCTTCCCACCTCATCCCTAGAATCTGCAGTGGTAGAGGCCAGAATTTCACCTAAGGATGTTGCACACCTCCCTCAAGCAAATCGTTGAATGAAGCGGTGGAATCCCGTGGTGGCTCCGTAGACTGTACCAGCTCCAAGGATGCCAGTGTAAGGACACAATTCTATGCATGTTTAGACAGAAAAAAGTCCTACAACTTCCCGCATTTTGAAGCCAGCATGTCTAAATATGCATAGAGTGTTCATCAGTGGCTATCATGCTTAATCCCTCCTCTTAAAGACGTAGTACACCAGCGGGGGAAAACCAAGCGCTCATCGTGGGAGTTTGTTCGCTTTCTAAAATCAAGCGGCGCCTTCAAAACCGTGCCCACCGTCGCCCCTAACTCTGCTGCCTGTGCGGACCGTGCCCTGAAGCGAAGCAGGGGGCAACAGCTGCGATTCTCCCCTCGGAACTTACTCAGCGCTGACGCGGCCAGGCCTCTGCTCGCTCCATCCTCTCTCGGTCCGCCTGCTTGCCTGGCTGCCCGCCCGCCTCTCTCGGCTAGAACCGCTGCAGGGCCCGGCGCCCTTCCGCGCCCCCAAGCAACGACGCCGCGCCTCAGCGGGACCCCCTCAAGCGCCGTCCCACGGTCCTCCACGGCTCAGGCAGCGGCCCGGCTCTCGACAAGGAAGGAACGAAGCCGGCTGCCAACACGGCCGCGGGCGCGCCGGACATTTCCTGCTTCGCCCAATCACGCGCCGTCGTCACCCAGACCCGGCTCCGGCTCGGCTCCGGCTCCTCCTCCTCTGGAGCGTGAGGGACTGTGGGTAAAAAGAAGTCAACCGACCTCCGCCAGGCTAGTACAACCCGCAAAACCTCATCCTTCTGCCTTCATACAGGACTGCAATATCCAGAAGCCATTGCGTTAGCGGCTTTCGCCTCCTGCGTGTGCGTCCTCCTCTGCACTACAACACCCAGAAGTCATTGCCAAAGACTGGTCAATCGTTTGCTTTGGGCTAAGAATCTCTCTTGGCTAGTGCAGTGTTAAAACTAAGATCCTAAAGAGGGCGCAGGAGATTGTTAATCGCCAGGGGGACTTTTACTGTTGGGCAAAATAGAGAAGATAATAAACGTTAGGCCTTCCAAAGTGTTGATGGATTCCAGTTCCCATCACCGTGCACACACTGGTCAGGGATTTTAAAATTATGGATTATTAGTATTATCATTATTATATTCTGTTTCTTGTAAGGAAGAAACAAGGTGGCCCACATGATCTTTCTGCTCTCCATTTTATCCTCCCTTGTGAGTTAGGTTAGTCTGAGAATCAGTGAAATTCACGGCTGAGTAGACCAAGGTGCAGTCCAGCACCTAATCACTACACCAGACTCTCTGGGACAAGGATCGGAGTCCCAACAACTTCTGGAGGGTTCTGTGTTCTCTATCCTGGGGATCAACCCTTCCCTGGGAGTAATTCCCATTGTGTTGTATTAGTTGTATTGCATTTTGGGATGTATTATAACAAAAAACAAATAATATATTTTGGGTGCCATCTATGCAACTTTAACAGAAAAAAAGTCTTACAAATACTAGCATTCTAGCAGTTGAGCTTTTTCTGTGTAGACTTGCATCAGATAGTGCCTTTTGTTAACAATATTAAATATTAAACTTAGTGTAACTTTGAAGTAGGTATGCATGGAATTGTTCTCTTAGTTCTTATTTTAAACTGAATAGAATTAAAGTTGCCAAAATTAAAAAAAAATCTATATAGCAGATCAATTTTTATGGACGACATGCCTTGTTGGGGAAAAGGGATGCATTTTTTTACATTTCTAATCCGCCCCAGAAACGAATGTTCTTGGGACAGACTACAAACATTTAAACTAAAATCTCATAAAATGATTAAAAATGTAAAATGCAATACAAAAATAGAATGTAATATAAAGCTGAACATTAAACTGCACGGGAATCGATGAACCAGCCATAATAACCTAGAATTAGTATATGAGAAATCATTGGTATTAATATTTGCTAATGGTTCTTCAAACCTCCAATAAAACTGTTAAGAGGAAAATTAAATTAAGGATGAGACACTGTGCATACTTAGAAAAAAAGCCCTGCAATTTCCAACTTTCCCAAACCAGCATGGCCGGCTGGAGAATGCTGGGAATTGCAGGATTTTTTTCCCCCTCCGGCTAGCTAAGTGTAGGATTGCGCCTTGAAAAAAAGAACAAAACTTTTCCGACCTTAACTACAGCTCCCAGAAACCCTTGCGAGAGCTGAGAGAACGTTAGCCCGGGCTGATTGAGCGCGCGAGCCTCTCTTGTTGAGTGCGCGGAGGCGCGGTGGCGACTTTCGTTGGGTTTGCTCCTGCGGGGAGGCAAGGCGAGACGTGGGAGCCGGGAAAGCCGAGAGATCGGGGGTCCCAGCTCTCAATGCATCATCTTGTTCGACAGCCATGCACAGGTAAAAACAGAGCCAAGGCGATGTGGTTGGGAAAAAATACTGGCGGAAAGCGGATCCCGCCTAAAGCGTGCTCCGGGATTGCCGCGCGCATTTACTTGTACTAAGGTTCTTCTCATTAAAGGCTTCAGGCGGGGGCAGCAGTTCAGCTGAAAAGAGAGAAGGCTGCAACCCTGTGCACGCGCTTACCCCCTCCAAAGTCATTTGCCATGCATTCATACTAGTGATGTTTCCAGGCTTGTCACCTGCACCATCAAGCAAATGCATACATGTTGAAACGGGTGGGCAGCTGCCGGGCGCTCTGCAGAATTCCTCCTCTTTGTGAGCTTGCACCTACTGAGAGGGGGAGCCACAGCATGGCAAACTGAGCAAATTTGCAGTTGTACCAAAAGTCAGCTTCATGTGCGGCTGTTCTGTGTGTGTTTCTTGTTTGCATTCTTTCAGACCGGTTGAAAATGCACATGTGGCAAACTGATCAGTGGATTCATTCATCTGGTTTGTGTATGCTTGTACCGCATTAGAACATACTGTGGTGGAATGCAAAAACCCTTTGTCCTTGTGGGTTTAGAGCATCCATTTTCTGAATAAAGCAAGATGTCATTTAGCTGCACACATGGACAACATCGTGGAGACATGTTGAATGTTGTTATGTTACCTCCAGCATGGAAGGAAATAGACTGACTCATCCATGTGTCCTTACACATACACATCCAGACCTACTGCCCAACATGAACAAGTTTCTAGGTTCAATTCATGGCATCTGCAGGCAGGGCTGGAAAATTACTCCCTAAGTCCCTGGAGAGCCACTGTCAGCCAGTGTCAGTGATGGGCTGGATGGACCAGTTGTCTGGTTCAGTATAATGCTAATATTCCTTTTTCCAGAGCCAAACTATTGGTCTGTCTAGCAGTCCATTAGGGATGTGTTGGGCTTCAGCTCCCATCATCCCCAGCCAGCATGGCCAGTGTTCAACAATGCTAGGAGTTGTAGTCCAAAGCATCTGTAGGACCCCAAGTTGGGAAAAGTTGCTCCAGTGTAGCCAGCATCCCTGCTATGTGATGCTAGGGATTGGCTGGTCCGGAGGCAAAGCCTGTAGTCTTGCCTCTGCACCCTGCCATCTGGCAGGTCTGTGAAACCAGACTGGTTACCAGAGGACAGGAGGGCATTTTCCCCCTCGAAAGCCAGTATAGCAGTTTGAATCATCATCTTGTCCCATATTCATTCTGTGTGTGGCAAGGCACTGGTGAGCAGGTTGTCTGATAGGGCTTTGCCTTTTTAGGCTGCCTGGGACCCATGGAAGAAATTAACAATCCTGTTTCTTTGCTTCCCCCACTAGCAAAATGGTCTGGATTTGTCCATGCTGGGGCAGTGCTCGGCATACTAAGGTGGGCAATGGACTTAGCCATGTAGCAGCTTTCTGGAAGGGTCTGATTCAAGGGTGTACTAATGAAGGTGTGAGTACAACCAGGCTTCCAGCAAGGAGGTCCAGCATAGTCATGTATGCTCATGGCTGGAAAGAGTGACCACTGGCCTTCAGTTATTTTCTGGAGAACACCACATCTCTCTTCTGAGTCATTTTTAGAACTGCCACTTCAGACTATATGTTTATGGCCACTTCTTTTATTGTTCTTCTATAAAAGAAATAGTTCCTCTATGCTCCTCACTAGTCAGACCTCATCTGGAATACTGTGTCACCAAGATTTAAGAAAGATGCAGAAAAATCAGAAAGGGTCCAGAGGAGAGCAACAAAAATGATCCAGGGTCTGGAAACACTGCCCTATGAGGAAAAACTGAGAGAACTGTGCATGCTCAGCCTTGAGAAGAAAAGGCTGAGGGGGGACATGATATCCCTCTGTAAGTACCTCAAAGGCTGTCACAATGAGGAAGGTCAAGATCTCTTCTTGCTGATACTAGAGTGCAGGACACAAAATAATCAATTCAAGTTGTGGCAACCCAGATTCAGGCTAGATATCAGGAAAAGCTTCCTCACTGTCAGAGCAATACGATATGTGCAACCAGCTGCCCAGAGAAGTGGTGAATTCTGCCACACTGGAGACATTCAAAAAGAAACTGGACAGTCATCTGAGTGGGATGGTGTAACATGGTGTCCGGCAACAACAGGGGGGTTGGAACCTATGGCCTTCATGGCCCCTTTCCAACTCTGGTATTCTATGATTCTTCTGTCTCTTGACATGTTTGCTGAAGAGCGACCATGGATAGCATATTAAAACTGCAACTGTTGGGCTTTTCTTTCTTTGCAGGAAACATCTCCAGGAAATCCCAGATTCAGGCAGCAATGTCAGCGTGGGTTTCACATGGGGATGGCATCCCAGCAAGACTTCAGAATTGCTCTCTGGCATGGGGGTGTCTGCCCTTAAAGATAAGCTAGGCAGTGAAAACACCCCTCAGGAGCAGCTAACGTGTGTGGGCCCACCTCTGAAACAAGCAAAAGTGAAGGATGCAGAGTTTGTGATTGCCCGCCGACCCAGGTCCCTTCGAGAGACAGCAACAGGTAAAAGCTGCAAACCACATTCAAAATTGCATCCTGAAGCCAACTAGTAATTACAAAGATATTACTGATGGTGTTTGGCTTGCTATTGCAATAGCAGGAACTAACTTAATGGTGCAGAGTGAGTGTTTCTGCTGATAGTTCAATCATGTTTTCATGCAGAAGTGCAAATCCTCACTTAGGGTAAGTCGAAAGTTTGCTAGATAAATTCATTAATTTTGATAAATTCATTAATTTATGAATTATGAATGAGAGCCAGTGTGGTGTAGTGGTTAAGAGCATGGGACTGGGACTCAGACGATCTGGGTTCTAGTCCCCGCTCAGCCATGGAGCCAGCTGGGTGAGTTTGGGCCAGTCACAGACTCTCAGCCCAACCTACCTCACAGGGTTGTTGTGGGGATAAGATGGAGGAGGAGATGTAAGCTGCCTTGAGCCCTTTGTAGGAAAAAGCAGGATATAAATGGAAAAATAAATAACATAATTTTTCAACTTTTCAGCTTGGGCTTCTTTACTCTCTGTAGAAGGCTTTGTGTCCATTTCTAGCTTATCCCCTCTCTTCGAAGATAGCCTGAACATAATCAGTCCCACTCCCTCTACATACACAGATGTATTCTAGTTACTATGGCCAGTGTATGCCATTTGTCCAGGCTAAACTTTCCTCCCTTAAGCTCAGTGAAAGCCTACTTTCAGCTGCAGTCCTGTACCCACTTACCTGAATATGAACCTCTTTAAACTCCCCAAAACTTCATTTAGTAGACACGTCTACAGTATTGTGGTGTCAGTGCTTGCTGGAATAGACTGCTGCTCTACCTCCAAAATACATGGGATCCAAAGTAAAGTCTTGGTGCTTGTATTGCTGCTTATTTCATCAATACAGGTCCTAAGGGCACAATAGTAAAACAATTGCAAATGCAATAGCAACAAAAGACTAGAACTATTATTCGGAATTAAACAAGCTGCATGGTAAAAAGTAGCTTAGGGAGCACCCTACATATTTCGAGAGAATAGAAGTTTTATTAACTTGCAGCCTTCCACATCCAGCTATGCTGCCTGGGGGATTCGGGGAGTTGTAGGGCTTGCTTTGGTCTAAACATGCATAGGATTTTGCCCTTCATAACTACTGATGAGAAGTCAGGCAAACCTTTCTGGGAAAGCCATGCCCTAGCTGGTAATGTCTGCACTGAAAAGACTGCCACCCTCATGCCTGAATGAGTGGACAGAGACCATTTTGGAGAAAAGCTCTTAAAATGGCAACCTGATGTCATGGTTTGAAAAGTGTGGGTACAATTTCTCCTCTGGGAACAGAAGCACTCCAAACCTTCGCTGAACAAGTACTGCTGTGTCCCCTTTAAGAAGATGAACAGGGGAAACCCAGTTGCCTGGCTTTTGAGTGCTCCAATTGCCTTTTCAGACAACCAGCACCTGAAAAAGGAGTGTTGCAAGACCTCTCAGTAGGATTCAAGATGATGGTAGCCGTACTTGTAAAGCTTGGGATTGTGTATTTGGAAGATACCTGTATGCTGCTACTTCTCATTGTTTATAAGGGAGAAATGATTCTTTTTAATTCATAAAAACTGGAAACTTAGATATCCATTGTTCTGTTGTATAAACTCAAGTCTTATTGATGTCCTATTTTTCTATTTTAAGAATGTTTATATTTTTATAAGCAGGCAGGAGTTTAGTGACCTATTATCATTATCTGTTCTTTGTTTACCTACGGTAAAAACCATTCTTAAAGTGGTTTACAACAATTTTTAAAATAAAAAGGCAACATTTCCAAATAATTATTTAAGGGTGCAATAGTTTGGTCTTCCAGTGTTATGTCGGGGGGGGGGGTGGATTTTTCAGAGCTCCAGCTCTGAGGTCCTGCAGTCTTAATGCCAAGTCCCTGCCCTGTCCCTTTGCAGCTGGTGTGAATAGAATTGCGCCAAACTGAAGCGGCAAGCTGAGGTGCAAGGGGAGAGGAGGCTGGGGCTCCTGTGCGGATTCCTTTTGGGGCCCCAAGCTTCTGCCCGGCCTAGTGCTAAATCTAGACAGCAGATTTAAATCGAGGCGGCGGCTGATGATGGAGGACAGTGTCTAAAATGTGTCCAGTCTGTGAATAATGTTTGTTTGCCCCGTTGCTTTTTGGTGGCCTAATTATAAGGTTCCCATTTTGTTGGATTATGCATCTATGTAAACACAACACTTTACAACAATCTGGGGGAAATAATTAAAAATTACAATTTCCTATTAAGAAACTGCTTTAAATGTTTATAAAAAATAGTAAATGAGGAATTAGATGTTTCAGAGCTTGTGTAGTTTGAAACTGAAATGTCTCAGTTGAAAAGTTGTCATAACAGTAATATACACTATTCACAAGGGAACGGAATGAAGTTAATACTTTACACATAGAGTAAAGCTCTGCTTCTTTTCCAGGTATATCTTGGGATGCCTTGCCTGATGAACTGCTGCTTGGAATCTTTTCATATCTGCCCCTGATTGATCTGCTAAAAGTTTCGCAGGTTTGCCGGAGATGGCATCGACTTTCGTAAGACTGTTCATTTCTAAAATGGATTTATATATAGATGATCTAGGACCAGCTTTTCTGCTTAATGGTGGCTTGATAGTTTGGGTCTTATTTAGCATTTGTGCAGGTTTTGTAATGTTCCATCCACACAGATTTGCTTTGTTGGGTGTGTTATGGTGAGGCTTCAAAGATAAGTCTTGCAAATCTTGATTCACAGGTTATAGCAGGATGCCTAGTTCATCATGAATGGAGTTAGCATCATCGCTCCATTCTGCCCTTAAACTGGATGATAGATAAGCAAGCGAACACGCATCCCACAAAGAGATTTTTCCATTTCTCAGCCAGAGTTATGGTCATCATGAACAAGATATGATCTATTTCCCTGAGAACAATTGTCTTCCCTAATTTCCCATGGACAGTTGTATCTGCAACCAAGATTAGGTTGCAGCCCCAGTGAGTTGTGTCCATTATGCTTGTGAGCTTCCTCTGTAATTGAAGGAAGTGACAGAGGTGATCTCTGCTTTCCTGAGCCTCCCACTCTGCCAGTCTCTCAATTTTGGCTATCCAGCTGCAGTGCTTTGGAGGCAGAGGGAAGGAGGCTGGTGCTCACAGGATACCTCATACCCTTCCATTGCAATCATAGAATGCCCCCTTTCCAGAAGTCACTTTTTCTACCTTGAAGAAATAGGCGGTATGGTTCTTTCCAAGCCAGCTGTAGGTGGATCTAAGTGTGGGTGCCCAGGCCCATAAGCTGGGACTCTGATTCTGCCCCCGGACCTGGGAATGTGAAGATCCCTGTAGCCCTGTAGACTCTGTGTGGGGGTCACACTCTCTAAGCAGGCCTACTAGGCAGCAGTACATGATGGAACTTCTGCCTGTATAAGCGTGCATTGGATTGCTTTGTAAAAACCAGCCAGCCAACAGTCTCATTTCTGCTTCAGCTTTTGGTGTATTTGCTAACCACATGACTGATTTTCTCCTTTTAGGGTTGACGAGTCACTCTGGCAGACTCTTGATCTTGCAGGGAAAATTCTTCTTCCTGGAGTGATTGGCCAGTTGTTACCCTTGGGTATAATTGCCTTCCGTTGTCCAAGGTCCTCCATTGGGAATCCTTTGTTTAAAACAAACAGGTAATTCTGTTCTGCAATGAAGGTCCCTTCCCTTTCTTTCCAGTATCATTCCTACTTTCATCCAGGCCCATGCTACTTTTGGGTAAGCTGCAAAGAAAGAAGAAAGAAAGGCAATGCAGCACCTTACAGAAGTTATTGTCCCTGCTTTGACTTTTTTGCATTTTGTTGTGTCACAACCTGAAATGGAAACCCATTTAATTGGCTTTTGCTATGTATATACAGGATACTCAATGCTGCGAAGCTGCAAAATATTTTTATTAAGACACAAAAGTTAGGTAAACCAAAACAAACTGGCACTTGTTGGTTGCATAAGTATTCATCTCCCTTTGTTGCATGGGGGTGGTAGCATTATGGTATGGAGATGCTTTTCCTTGGCAGGGACTGGGAAGCTGGTCAGGACTGACAACAGGATGGATGAGGGCAAATACAGGGACGTTCCAGTGGAAACCCTGTTTCGGGATACAAGGGACCTGGGAGCTTTCAGCAGGAGAGTGACTCTAAACACACAGTAGTTTAGAAACCAAACCTATATGTCTGAGTGGAGCCGGGGGGTCAGACTAGATGGCCCAGAAGGCCTGCTCTGACTCAGTCTGTTGCTAAGGCCCAGTCAAAGACCTCAGTCTGACTGAGAATCTGCGACAAGCCTCAAAAGTTGCCGTTCACCAGAAGTTGGTCCCCATCCAACCTGACATTGCTGGAGCAGTTTTGCCAGGACAGAGGGGCAAACGCTGCAGGATAAAGGTGCACAAAGCTGACAGACTCTTACTCAAGAAGACTTCCATTTGTAATTGCAGCCAAAGGTTCTTTTATGAAGCATTGACTTGCAGGGAATACTTACATAACCAGCAAATGCCAGGTTTTTTTTTTTTGTTAGCTTTCTGCCACAATAAAAATAATTTGCACTTTCACTGTGCTGAGTATCCTGCATGCATCAAGTGGTAACAATGCAAATTAAATCCATTTCAGTTCCAGGTTGTAACACAACAAAAAGTGAAAAGTGGGTGAATTCTTCTTCAAGGCACTGAATGTACCAGTGGACTGGGAACTGAGCTCATTTTAGATGGAAACACTAAATACTATTACTATTTCAATGTATTTTATCATGTTGTAAGCCGCCCCGAGGTTTCGGCAAGGGGCGGCATAGAAATGTAATAATAATAATAATAATAATAATAATAATAATAATAATAATAAACATTGGGAATTGCACTTGCAATGCATAAGTTGGAACATCTGGCCTGAGCTCCCTCTCTGGCCTTCCCAGGATAACCACACCCCCTGCCCTTGACCATTTGCTGGTTTCCTGGCAACTTCAGGTGGGGATCACATTTGGCTCAGCCAGAACCTCTGAGTGTATCACTTTTTATTTGCAGGAAGTTTTTCTCTGCAGGGAAAGCGTTTAAAATATGGTGCACATCCAAAGAGATGAAGGCCTGGGAAAATTCAGAAAGGAAAAATGTTTTTATTTCTCAAGTTAATATACTAATAACATTTCACATATGCAATGCATTCCAAAGTGGATTTGCTCACTCTGCTGTTGCCGGAAGGACGTTGCCACCTTCCTCTGTTGCATATGTAGCCTGGACCTCAGTAAGTAAATGAAGCCACTTTAGGGCACAGTCCCGTGTGGCTGCCCATAACCCTGAACTCAGGATTGTGGGCATCCTGTGTTCTCTTCCTGTCCATTTAACTGGGTGATGTCGACAAGTTAAGTGTGGTGCCCTGGAGTGTGAGGAGAGGCAGCTGAGGTGCTGCCAGGGAACCACATGTCCTAGCAAAGACTCTCTCCTCCTCTCCCTGCCCAAAAAAGACCTTCTCCAAGGTTGCTATTGTGACTCTGGGTTGGCAGCTGGTGCAGGTCTTTTCTCATCAGCTGTGAGAGCTGGGAAGGGAGTTCCGGGTTGGAGTTCCAGCAATGATCTTGGAGCATGTTTTCAAGGATAGGGCTGGGGCTCTGAAGTATTCTATGGGTTGCATTGTTAGCATATTAAATGCTAACACAGATGCTTTCTACATGATCTTTATCATGTTTGTTTTTATCAACTGCTGTACAGTATACCCCTGTGAAGTCACGGTTCAGCGTTTGCGGCCTCAGTCTTTTGTGGAATTTTTCTCGTGCGGCAGCTTGCTTGCAAGGAGATCGATTTGGACTTGCTCAGAGAAAATGATCTCTGTGTGCACCTGCCCCTGCCTCGCTGCGTGTGCCCGCCCACCCGTACCACCTTGGCGGCCTGCGCCCATCGCTGGCACATTTCAGCTGTCCCCCTGTTCAAAAAGTTGAAGACCCCTGTTCTAAGGCTTCTGGCAATGAACCTGTACCACATTCAAAATTCGCGGTTTTTCACAATTCGCGGGTGCTCTAGAAACACAACCCCCACGAATTTCAGGGGACTACTGTAGTTATCTATCAGAATATATTGTATTTTACTTTATGAATTTTTATTATGTGCATTTTTATCATATGTTAATATTTGTTTTGGATTGTAGATCACTCAGAGAGCCCTGAAGAGCTAAAGCAATAGTTTACATATGTTAAAATAATAATAAATAATAAATCTTGATGTGTTCCAATTTAAGATAGGTTTCTTGAATGTTTAAACATTTTTACTGTTTTTTATTGTATTCTTACTTAAATTTCCCTTTCTTTATCTTCCTTTTTCTTTGTAGACCTCTTCAGGTGCAACATATGGATCTGTCCAATTGTACAATAAAAGTTGCAGATCTTCAGTGTATTCTTGGCAGGTGCCAGCAACTGCAGAACCTCAGCTTGGAAGGACTTGTGCTTTCTGATGACATAATTAAGTGAGTTGCTCCAGATTCTGTAATATTCTACACAAGACCTCACCAAATTTAAATCTGTGCTTTCAGAATTTGAGGGCAGTTCAGGGATGCAAGGATTAACAGATGCCTTGACAAGACTGCAGACAAACCCACAGGACATAAATTAATGAATCTATTCCATCATCTATCTCTTACGCTGCCACTGGAGGAATTCTCTTCCACCAAGGAGGTGGAGCTCCTAGAAATGACCAACAGCAAGTTCTGCCTCTGTCACAGAGTCTGAGAGACTACGTTGTCCCCAAGAGCATCATCATCTTGAATGGCAGGCCAGTAGGGTTCCTTTAAGGAGAAGTGTTCAAATGGAGGGCATCTGCTTGGGAGCAAGGCCTGTAATGACCTGCAGCTGAGGTCAGGGAGGGCTCTGGGAATACAAACCTGCAATAACAGTCTTGTCATTATTACAGACATAACATTCTGTACCGGCTTCAGTGTCCTGTACTGCTGAGCTTCCTCTGTGATTAAACCTCTCTGCTCCTGACCTTGCATCCTTGCTTGGCTTTGTTTCTTGACCTGCATGTTGTGTCTCTTTCTCTGTGCTGGACTCAGCTCTCTTCAGATCATTCTTTTAGAACTCCCCCTCTTGCCTGATAAAACTACTTTTGACCATTGCTTGTGTACTAACTGGCTCTTCGATTATATTAGTTTAATCTAGCACTGAGCCTGAGCCAGCCATAGCAAGATACCATGTATCTATTACTTATTTATTAGATTTATATTCCACCATTTTTCTTTTTTAACAAACTCAAAGTGACTTATATCATTCTCCCTGCTCTCCATCTTATCCCTGCAACAACAACCCTGTGAGGTAGGTTGGGCTGAGAGTATATGACTGACCCAAAGTTACTCAGATGGCTCCATGGCTGAGTGGGAACTAGAACCCAGATTACCCGAGTCCCAGTCATGTCCTCTTAACCACTCTGTTAGTTGGGCCAGTGTGGCATGAGAGTTAGAGTGTTGGACTGGGATTTAACAGAACTGGGTTCTAGTCCCCACTCACCAGGAAGTTCACTGGGTGATTTTGGGCTAGTCATAGATTCTCAGCCTAACCTACTTCACAGGGTTGTTCTGAGGATAAAATGGAGAAGAGGAGAATCTTGTAAGTCACCCTTGGTTTTTCATAAGAGGAAGTATGGCAGGAAAACTATAAAGTAGTATATAGTGTAATTTAACTTGCCATTTAGACCACTGCAATGTGATTTACATGGAACTTCCCATAAAAATGGTTTAAAAACTGCAGTTGGTCTGAAATTGGGCTGCATGGTTATTAATTGTAACGGTGCCCTTTCATCATATTACGCCTCTCACAAAGCAGTTGACACCATGGGCCAGGAGTATGTGGTCCTCCAGATGTTGCTGAATTCCAGTTCTCATCAACCACCATGGACAATGGCCAGGATTGGAAGGTGCTGTAGTCCAACAACATACGGAGGGGCGCAGGGGCACAGGTTTCCTCACTCTGGTTTAAACTAACAAGACTTTGCACACATTCAGATAACTGCTTTATGCCCAGGCATTTTAACCTGGAAGTGTTTGGATGCTTTATGTCTGTTCCACCCCACCCCCTACCCCTTTCAGAAATACAGCGCAGAACTCCAGATTAGTGCGACTAAACCTCTCAGGCTGTTCTGGGTTCTCTGCAGAATCTTTGGAGATGATGCTGGACAGCTGTTCCAGGTAATGAAATCTCATGCGAATGGGGCGGCATAGAAATGGTCTAAATAAATAAATAAAAAATAAATGTAGGGGAGGGAGCAACTTTGAATTTGGCACTGGTGCTGTATCTGAAAGCAGAAATGCTAAGCAGGTACAGAGATTTCTGTGAGAGACAGGTGTGCCACTTGGGGTATGTTTAGACAGAAAAAATGTCCTTCGACTCCTAGCATTCCCCAGTTAGACACACATACAACTGTAGGCCTTTTTTCCTGTCTAAACATGCATAGGTTTGAACACTTGGTGTGTTCTGTTTCTATTTTCACTCTAGCATAGTCCTGCTGAACCATAAACTGAATATTATGCACCAAAAGGAATTCCCAGTGAATGTGTACCAGACTGGGACACAGGTGCCTGCAGGAATGAAAAGAACAAAAAACATCACCAGGCAGACAGAATTGATGGAGACTTGGGGTTAATTTGAAAGTTTTATGCACTGACTGGTACCTATGCGGTATTTCTTCAAATACAGATTGCTGTTCCTTCAGCTTCTTCATTCCTAGTCAGCTGTTACAGACATTCCACTCCAACTAAGACTACAAGATCACATCACTCTAATCCAGATCCCATTCTCTTTTCCCTGTAGGCTAAAACCGGGGTGGGACTTCTGACATTTGGAATACCTGGGTCAATCATCTTCTGATTTGCCCTATCAAGGAATCCTTTCGATCCTGATTCGGTTTTTGCACACCGGCTAGCCAAGAGCTTTGGGGGACCCGGTGAGGAGGGCATGAACGCAGCAGCTGCCCCTACCTGTTGCCCTGTGGCAGCTGTTACTGACAGGCATATATCTGTCATCTCTACATGCAGAGACAATTGTTGATAAATCCACCCTGCATGCATTTATGAAATCTCCTTTTGGTTCCCCAGTGGGCAGCATCACAGCTTGTGGCAACAAACCCCACCAATTAATTGCATACTGTGTAGGGAACTCTTTCTTGCCAGGTCTGAATGTCCAGCTCTATGGCTGGCCCCAGGTGTTGTTGTTTTAACTGGGTTACACCCGGTGTTCCGTGAGGGCAGTCCGCCCCAGCCTGGTGCCCTCGCATGTCTTGCATCGCAGTGGCCACGCTGGCTGGGAGTTAGGAGAACTGCAGTCAAACGCATTTGGAGGGCTTTAGGTCGGGAAAGCCTGTACCAGCAGGAAGATGACAGACGCTGACATGGTTCCTTTGCAGTGGTTCAGCAGTTGCTGTCAGAGCAATTAGCATAACAACTCCAAGCAGCTCCTGACCTGAAGAAGGTTTATTTATTTATTTAAAACTTTTCTAGACCGTCCTTTACTGTGGTCTTGGGATGGTTTAAGAATAAGACAATATAAAATAAAACACAACATCCTAATAAAGTTTCCAAACAGCAATAAAACCCCCATTAAAACAATCAGATCTTAAAGCATTGGGAAAAGAAAAAGGTTTTAGTCTGGCGCCAAAAAGAATCAAGTGACAGCGCCAGGCAAACCTCTCTTGGGAGCGAATTCCACAATCGGGGCACAACCGCAGAGAAGGCCCTTCTCCAGGTAGTCACCGTCCTAATCTCCTTCAGGGAGGGCTCCCGGGGAAGGGCTCTGCCCCAGATCTTAAGGCACATATGGAAGGAGACGCTCCTTCAGGTAACCAGGCCCTAAGCTCTTTAGGGCTTTATAGATCATCACCAGCACCTTAAATTGGGCCCAGACTTCAAGAAGTTGTGATGCATTGTGCAACAGTTTGCACAAACAGAATCAGAGTGTGGAATTCGACACATGAAAGAATGAAAATGATGTTTCCACAAGCTCTTTGCTGCTGGAATGACAGTGGTAGATTGAACCAAAAGTATACTAAACAAAAAATGCCATAACTTTAAGATTAGATTGTAAAGCCTTCTGGCAAGACATTTTCAATTTTGCACCACATCTAGAGATTTCAGATGCTTTCTAAATAGTAAGCCAGTCAAGAAATAAATTGAATTGTTTTTTAAAAAACTGCATACAGGCTAGAAGAGTTGAACTTGGCCTGGTGTGACTTCACAACTGATCACATAAGAGCAGCAGTCAATCACATCCCTGCCAGACTAACACAGCTAAACCTCAGTGGATACAGACAGAATCTACTGATGACAGGTGAGATCAGATGTGGCTTGAAGCAGTAGCCTCCCATTCAGCTGGCAGGTATAATTACAAAATCTGTTCCATTTCAGGATTATGGGCTGCCTGTATCCCTGGGATTTTATTTCCCATCATAGTACAAATCAACACAATGCTTTGGATGCTTAGCCCAGCATCTAATGGACTTATCCAAAGTAAGTAATGCAGACAAGGGAATCAGATGTAAGGCCCTGTAGGTGGGGCAATCACATGTCGCCCCACAATGGAGAAGGCAGCACTTCCTAACAGGAGTGTCTCGCCTCACTGGCCACGTCCGTCAGGTCTGTGGTACTCTGCACTGCCTACAGTCTGGAGGCCACTTGGCCTCATGCGGTGGCTGCAACTTGGATCCCTCCAGATGAGACCCCTCCAGCTTGGGTGCGTGGAAGCATTGGCAGTGGGTGAAGACCACCACACCACCTTACTGTCCTGGCCTCCAGTGGCCAGCCAGTCCCTCTGTTGGTGGGATGCTAACGGCAACCTTACCACCTGGATCCCTTCCTCCCCCCGAACCCCTGTCACAGTCACGACAGATGCCTCAAACACAGGCTGGGGTACCCACTGCACTGACATGTGCACAGCGGGCCCCTCGGGCCCTCATGAGTCCCCCCTACATTTCATCGTTGCCAAGATGCTGGCATTGTGCAAGGCCCTCACCAACTTCCAAGACTCCCTGAGAAGATGTCATATTCAGATAGCCACAGACAACACCACTGTCATGTACTGTCTGAACAATCAGGGCGGACCTGCTCTGCCTGCCTCTCTGCCCTCGCATCTGCCACCTGGGACTGGTGCATCAAGACTGGCACCAGCGTAATGGCTACCCATGTTGCAGGCCATCTCTACACCCTGGTGGATACTCTGAACCAGTGTCCCATAGTTCCACATGCGTGGGAGCAGGAGACCTGTCTTTCACAAGCAGTGCGAGAAATAGGGCCCTCCCAAGGTGGACCTCCTTGCCACTCCCCAGGTCTCCAAGTGCAACCAGTCCTGCTCCAGAGCAGGGCAAGGGACTTCATCCCTGGGGGATGCCTTCCCCCCTGAGGTCAGAAGTCCTGCTCTGTGCCTTCCCACCGTTCCTGCTGATAACCAGAGTAGAGGCCAAAAGCTAGAGGGACGGGACAGCTTCCTGATCACCCCATGGTGACAAGGCAGCCGTGGCCTGCCTTTCGTCCCCCATCTTTCCATACAGAAAGATACTACAGCAGAACCCCACCCCAACACCTGACCCTCCATCTGACAACCTGGAGGGTCTCAGGGTGACAAAAAACCTTTAGCTCCCTCCCTTCCAGAGTTGCCTCCATCTTCCAGGCCACACTGAAGCCTCCACCTGCAGATCCTACCTACTGAACTGCAGAGTGTTTGCCACATTCACAAGGTCTTGATCCCCACAATGCCTTGGTCGAGCACATCCTGTCCTACCTCCAGACCTGTTTCAGGCCTCTCCCCATCTTTCCTTAGTGTCCACCCAGTGGCCATCTCACATTTCTCCTGCCCATCCAAGTGCTCTCTGTTCTTAGGCACAACCAGGTTTGCTGCTTTCTCTGGGACCTCCAGAACATTACCCCACCTGTTCAACCCTACACTCCCTCCTGGAGCCTCTCTGTGGCCCTGCAGCCCCTCACAAAGAGGTCCTCCAAGCCCATGGCTACATTCAGTCTCCACCTCCTGTTGTGTAAGACTACATTCCCACCGACTATCAGGACTGCCTGCCGTGCCAGTGAACTAGTGGCGCTGCAGATCGACTCCCCATTCCCTTTCCCTCTAAGGTTGTCCTGCACCTGGACCCCCACTTATTCTTAAAGTCACTTCATCATTCCATTGTCCTCCTCGTCCTCTTCCCCACCCGTCACCCTGACAGAGGCCATGCACCTCCCTGATGTCCGCAGGGCCCTTGCCTTTCTGTAAAACTCGGACGGAGCCTGTATGCTGCTCGGATCACCTGCTTGTCTCCTTTGGAGGCCAGGAAATGGGGGGGCCCATTTCAGCCACAGGCTCCCCAAGTAGGTGTCCAGCCCCATCCGCCTGGCCTACAAGATGGCGAGGATTGGCCTTCCTGCACACCCCAGCACACTACATGTGCACAGTCCACATCTACTGCCTTCCTGGCCAGCGTTCCGCAGCACGAGAGCTGCATGGTCTATGCCTTTGACCTTTCTCTGCATTACCAGCTGGATGTTTGCGTCAGGCAGGACGGTGTGCTTGGAGGTCAGTCCTCCCATCAGTTCTGCAGTGATGACAACCCCCACCTGGTCAGTCGCCCATGTGTGTGATGCACAGAGACCACAAAGAAAAAAGGCAAGTTGCCTGCCGATACTTTAAAGGCTTTTATTTGTAAGTAGAAAATGGACTGCTTATTGACGTGAGGTCAACTGAGTGTATTTGGTTTTTCATTTCAGATGTTAAAATATTACTACAGAGGTGCTCCAGCTTAGTCCATTTAGATTTAAGGTAAGCATTGGAGAGTGCTATCACACATTTCTTGTTTGGATCATGTTGGAAGTTCAAGCAGGAGAATGGATGAAAGCCAGTAATACTACTTTAAGTCAAAGTGCACATTACATGCCAAAACAGCCATTTAGCATTTTAAATAGGAATGTCATACCTGAAAGCCTTTTCTGTGTAAAGCACAGTCCTTCAGAACATCCATAAAATGCATGGGGTTGCCTTTCTTGATGTGCTTTCTCATCATAATACATCACACCAGAGATAGCTCCTTTTCTTTGTCTTAACTGTCTGGATAAACCCATTTTCATCCTAAGTCAAATTTGACAATAAATGTACTTTGAACTAGATTATGCTATGTTTATTCAATGTTTATTCTAGAATTATTCACAGGATAGCCTGTTCATTTTAAATATTTGGAAACTAAAGTTCTGAAATACTTTCATTACAGTGACAGTGTTATGTTGAAGCCTGAGTGCTTTCAGTATTTTCACCAGCTGACTTACCTTGAGCATTTGAGTCTCAGTCGATGCTATCAGATACCTCCTGCAGCCTTACTGTAAGTAAAAATTTGCTATTCCAAGCCTATTTCTATAGTTTATTTTTCCTGCACTCTTCAGCACAATTACAACACTCCTTTTGAATCAATATGCAGTTGTTCAGTATATTTCAAAAGTGAACTATTGCAGATTGATGTGACTCATTAATAGTACTAGTGGTTAAAGATGTTTAGTAATTATTATGGAGACTTCTGGTATTGCTCACCAAGTGATGTTAATCTACTGACACCCAGATCTTTCTTTTCCACTTCTCTGTGGATCTGCCATGTGATGGTCTTTATTAATGTGCATGAGAATAAGAAGATACTTTGCACCAGCCCTCAAGTAACAGAAGAAAGGTTATTCCATTATGTCAAAAACACCTCTGGGTTCTCCTGTGGAACCAGAAATAGGATCCATTGTGGCTTTTCAAGTCTTCAGGTTTCCCATTTTTCAGGCAGGCCCTCATATGTTTTGTCCCTTTTGTCTTCATACTTTACTCCTGGGCTCACCTGATAGTGATAAGCAGCATTGTAGCAAACCAGATGTGTTCTCATGAACAAGTATACTGTTCCCCCACCAGCTATTTTGATTTTCCAGCCTGTTAACATCCACACTTTTTTCCTGAAATCCTTCAGGCTGCAATCCTATAACCTCAACAAACATCAATAGAACCTATTTCTGAGTAAATCACTGTTAAGGAATGTACTTGTAGATGTGAGGAAAACATGCTTAATTGTAGAGATAATATCATGCACATAGGTGAAAAACTTCTTCTCTAGTCCCACACCGCTATCTCACCTCTGCTGGGGTACTGTGGAAATTTATCACCATGGCAGGTACAGATAGGTGGTACAATTGTGACCTTATATTCTGTACTTTGTCTATTCTCAAAATTCTAAATAAAGGTTCAGTTAAACTCTTGTGTAAACAGGCTGCTATCCTTAAGGAAATTTAATTATATACATCTCACTGACTGCAGAGGTGCTTAAGAAAGAGTACTTAGGATCACAGACTTTACTGTATTAGGTGTGCTGCTACTCATTCTACGTTTCAAATGTGGAAAACTACACTTTACTGCTGCTACCTGCTCTTTTCATTTAAGTTTCCTTTTCCATTGTAGTGATCTAGGTGAAATCACTTCACTCAAAAGCCTTCAGGTTTTTGGAATAGTGACTGCCAGCTCCCTACCGCTTCTAAAGGCAACGCTTCCTCATATAAAGATCAACTCCTCTCATTTTACACCTATTGCAAGGCCCACTGTCAGTGGCAAAAAGAATCAAGAGATTTGGGGAATTCAGTGCAAACTAAGCTTGAAAAATCCAGTTGGCCTTTAACAGGATTGAAAGACACTTTCAGCTTGCAACATTCCTCAAAGGCTGGACTGTTGAGTTCTTCAAAAGTTGTTTTAACTGCTTAAAGTGACTCAAACTCAATTTAGGGGCAAGTTCTGTCAAGTGGTTTATCAGTCATTTGTATTTTTTCTTTTTTAATGAAGTCATGCCAATCATGTATAAATAACAAATGTTTTACCCTCCCAAAACACCTGCCTCTGGAAGTACTATTTTAAAACAACTTTAATGTGATTGTTAGATAAACTCTTTTTCATATAGTCTGTTACCTAGCTCAACTACATAAATCGTATTCCTATGGGAATGTGTCACTGATACCATATATAATATTGCTGGAATGCTTCAAGAATGTGATTTCAAGTTTAAGTGCAGCTACCTTCAGTTTCTTCTTATTCCAGTGTGATTGAGATGCAGGATGAATATGTTCTTAGAGAACCATTTTTGGTAGTTCACAAGGTTTGCTTGATAAGCTGCATCTTCTCACTACTGGAATATAGTAGCTACTGCAGGGAAAAGGTCCCTTAACTGAAATATCTCTGACATGGCAGCAGAAATGCAGTCAGGGAATATTAAGTTGATACAGGCCTAAACTACTTTTAAGAGAAATGTATGACATGGGAATTGGCATATTGCTTACCTTAGATCTCTCTTCCTCTGTGTAGTTTACCAAAGAAAACAGCTTTTTGGGAGGAAAAAATGTTTGTTGTTTAAAATAGAAGCATGCATGCAGCAGGTTGTGTTGGAATTATAAAATGGTTCTGAAGTAACTGAGATGTCCCTGGGGGTAGCCTGTTTTTCTGCAGCAAACACAATCTTGTGGAAACTTCAGAACACATGACATGGTTTTGTGGACTGCAGCCCACTTCACCAGGTATGTAACTTGTTATCCTGAGTTTCAAGTTCATACACAGTGGGGAAGTGTATATATTGTCAAATCCCTATGACATCACTGTCTGTAACTTCCCCACCCATTTGGTTTTGTTGTTTCAAATGCATAACATTTTGTGTATTTGAATTGGTCTATAACCCACAAAAGCTTAAATCATAATAAATTTAAGTCTTTCAAGTGATGAAACACTCTTTGTTGAAGTAGCTGTAAGAAAGCATTAAGCAATGCAGTTATCTGAGTGTATAATCAAAGTTTGGGGAGTTGGGGAATAAGGTCCACCTAAACCTAAATCTTAGAATTACACAAATTTATGTTGTACAATAAATGCTTATTTATGAGCATATATAGTACAAGAGAGCATACAGTTGCTTATCTACAGGCAGTTAAATTCATGGCTTTCTATTTATATCCTAGTCATTGTTTGATACTATTAATTGAACAAGGGAAGAAACTCATTCTTAATTCCACCTAGAAGAACTATGGAATTAAGAACTGACTCTCATTTTCTCTCCACCGCACTATACCATGATATTGGTAGGCTGCTAAATATTGCTATGTTGTTAGCTCATGAGGGAAAAGAGAAGGAAAGTGAGCTTAGGTGCCATCCTAAATTCTCTTATTCTTTTACCCTTGCCTTCTCTTAAACAGTCTCCTAAAGCATAATCCCTGTAATGGGAGTTGTAGCTCAGCACATCTGCAGAACAGGCTGAGAAAGGATGTCAATGTTAATAGAAATATGCCTGTATCACTTTGTCCTGGTACCTGTTTCAATACCGACAAAAATAAAATTTAAGCAGGAAAAAGAACATTTACATTGGAGATAATGCTACACACTTCAATATTTAGAAAGAACTACACAGATGCAACGACATTTTGATTCAAGCATGAGTTGTAAAAGAAGATGTGTACAGCATTCTAAAAATCACTTGATTAAATACCAGAATGTATGAAATAGTTTTCAAACCACCAGAAAAACAGTAATTTAATAAATGTAAATGTACCTTTATTACATTGCATTAACAGCCACACCATACAATATTTCCAAGTGAATCCAAATCCCACGCCTTTATGTTAATAAAATACAGAATCCAGGTTAATAATACCACTTTAGTTTGACATACTGGAATTAAACAATTTAGCAAGGGGGAATAGTTACATTGTATTGACCTTGATATTTGCACATATCCCACTTATTCTATTATACAAACAGCCTGCTCGATTCCTTCAGCATGATACAATTTACATAATTCTTTAAGTGTAGAACCCTATGATTTTTCAGATAGAAAATGTACTACAACTCCCAGCATTTCTGTGATGCAGGTTAGGGAGTGCTGTAAGTGAACAAAATTTTGTCCATTTAAACACACAGGATTGTGCCTTAAATAAATGAATGGTCTTTTCAGATTGTCTCATTTATAGTTTATTAGAACTAAAATGTATCTGGGAGTTCTGCAGTTGATCTCCCAACACACTAAAGCTGTGGAGGTAGCAGGGGAGACATTTCTAATGTGAATGAAAATCTAACGTTTTCCCCTCTTGCACTGCTTTCCCAAGCCAATGCAGTCCCCACAAGATGCTATTTACTCGGCAAATAAGCAGCTGGGAATTGGGGAAGCATAAATCAGAAAAAAAGAGTTAAACCAATACCGAAACAAATTAGCAGTTCCCACCTGCTGCTTTGTTTTGTTTTTAATGACAAATCTCCCAGCATTATATATTGATGTTTCATTCTTACAAGACTAGGAGCAACAGTTAAAAATGCAGTGAGCTAAATCAAGGCAGAAGACCAGGTAAATTGTGAACAGAGGTTTGAAGTGAGACACAACTTGTGCAAATATGGTGGGTCCAATATGAATAAGGTATAGACCCTTTCAAGCAGGCCCAATGTGAACTGCTCTTATCCCACATCTCTTAACACCACATCCTTCACCTCTCCTGCCACTTCCCACTTTGCAAAGCCAGAAAAAATAGCTTTGGGTGGGTAAGGCCACAAAAGTGATGACTGACAGCACATGAACAGAAAGTTGTCCTCCCATAATTCACAACAGGAAATGTTCCAGGCAGCATTTGCCACAGAAGACCCTGGGCATATGTGACCTATTACAGCCCCCTCCGCAACCAAATAAGACTATTTTGGCTTGGAGAAGGGTATACTAGCTGAAAGAAGGAGCAGTTGATGAAAGTGATACATTCAACAATCTATAAAATTTTTCATACGTTCAACATGAACACTGAAAAAGGCTATGCTGGCACTCACCTGTGCCAAATTAAGACCAATAGAGGATACCCAAAAACACATTGTATATACAACTGTATCTTCTCTGGTATCTGCAGATTCTGAAGTCATTTCTAAAGGTAGCTATTGCTTGGACATTTTTTAGAACATTTAAGCCACTGATTCTTGCCCATTTACTCATGTTTCAAACTATAAATTATATAAAGATTACTATTGTCTACCACACTTTTAAATTGGTCTTTACTTTGTCATCATAGGTTAATGGAATAGTTGTCCTCAGGGCACATGGGTGGGTACAGCACCAAGCTGGCCCAACTGAGCTACCTGCATCTTCCCTATAAATGGACAGGCAGTGCAAGGCAATGCTAGGGAATGTGAGATCTGTGCACACAAGCCTGGGGTGTATTCAGGGAAAGGGGGACAAGGTCCAAGTGAGGTATACAGGGATTGCCCTGGTGTGGCATTACCCTCATGCTACAAGTTGATTATGCTCCAAGTTCAATAATTTAAATTGTGGATTGAGAAGTTCATAAAACAAACTGCAATTCCACTGAACTATTTTCACAGCTTTCTTATTTTCAAACTATTCCAAGACATTTTCATGCACCATCTTTTTCCTTTTAAAAAACTTGTTTACTTGGATGTAAGTCCTACTGATCTCAGTAAAGGCACCATGCTTCCAATTATATAAAGCTAGAGCCACAGCAATATAGAAAAAAAATCCAATCTGTCAATTCATGTGTGCCACAGAAAATTAAGTGGGAGCTATCTGTGAAAAATTTAGCTATTCACAGAGTAGTTTAAAAAGCTAATTGTGTAATTAAAAAAGTACTCCATCATTTACTTGACTCATACTGAGGATCAATTCTACTGTTTCAAATGTAAACAGTGAATGCATTTGGCAGTAATTTTACAACCCTATCAGAACCAGCAAGAACAATTTTTAAAAATTTACAGTCATTCAGCATTCTACCTTGGTTTAAGTAATGTCAGCTAACACTCTAATGAATACCACCTTAGAAAATATGGCAACAAACAAGTTCAAACAAAACAAGAGAGAGAGGTCAGTTGTGGTCACACTTCTATGGTTTCTTTTACATCTTTACTTATATGGGAATAAAACAGGCATTGCAGTGATAGTTACTCAAACTGAGTTTGTTTTTTTAAGGACACGGTATAGGTTTCATTGAAAGATGCATGCCTTTCAACATGATTATTTTCCCATTTTGCAAATGGAGACTGGTCATGGACAGTGTCCATTTCATAAAATGAACAGAAACTGTTCCACACATCCAAAACGGTAAAAGCAATGCTATTATGTACTTTCACTAATTAGCCCTGGGTCTCTGCTTAGCAAGGCCATTTGTGTGGGGATGGGATGGGAAAGCATCACCATGGTACAGACAGACAACAATATATCTGGCCTTATGCTCAACTGCACCATTGTTCCTGCTTTGCTGTGGCTAGTGGACAGCTCCAGCTGGAAACCACTCCCTGCTGGTTTGATGAAGTTCATGATTTTAAAGGGCACATTACTGCACACACTTTGGGGGGAAGGAATCCTAGGAATTTACTGAAAAGCATTTTTCAGAAGCTAATTCACTTGATGCAGAAAAACCACATTGTTGGCAGGTATTGAGAATAATCTCAAGTGATTTTCATTCTTGCCACTGAAGTCAGGCACTCTATCATTCAAACTGAAAAAATAGTTTTAGACACAAGATACTCCCACATTTTAGGTATGCCTATTAGACTGTAGAAAAAAACTAGCATGATGTCCATTTCAACCATTATGACAAAATTAGAAAAGTAGTACTCGTGGTGAATGCAAAAAGGTTACTTCAAACTCTTGAATAAGTAAATTCAACCCTAACTTTTTTGGTTAGCTACTTTTGACATCATTTGAATTTAGAAACAGATGTAATACATAGGAAGAATCAAACCACTTGCTGAAACCAGTGATAGACTGCCTCTGCAGAGCTGTACAATTTTATATTAATATCAATTTGCTTAAACCCTGGTTTTAAAAGCATCCTGTCAGATTCATTACATTTTTGAAGAGTCATGAATTTGCAAGTTTAAATTGCTAACCTTCAATTTTATCTTTCCATTTATAAAGGTGCAATAAATGACAAACATTGGTTTCCCAATAATTTTTTGTCCAAAAGAAATGAAAAGCCATTTCAATCTTTGTTTCCCAAATGCCTCTCTATACAAAAGAGCAATTTTCACATCTAAAATGATGCACTTCCTTTGTGTTAAGTTCTGAATGCTTTCAACTGTTCATTCTTCTAACAAAACAGTACGTAGTGCATCTTCCGCATTGATCAATATTGATGCTATTGCTCCATCATTAAATTCAAATGACGTTCCTCCATCTACAACCATACAGGCATCCCAGCAGCGAGAGCGGACACAAACCCTGAAAACACATTAAAGACAACTGCTATAGACAACTAATCCAGAAAGTAGCTTCACTGCATATACAGAAAGAACAAACATCACTTTATTTTGTACAGGTAGTTTACAGTAGTTGTATGAGCATCATCCCTTGTTTATTAGGAAAGATGTTGCCAACTAAATGTCAAAGGAAACAAAAACCCCACTCTACCTGGTGATTTTTTTCCTGTAAGCAGGCAGGCATTCAGCTCAGGGAAGATTCTGCCTCTGAGACTGAGTTAGCAGAGCTAACAAGCACTCCATGAAAAGGTGATACCTCTTCCAAGATCCCCATGAAGTGCCCACACTAGCAAACTACAGAAACAAGCAAGGAGCACAGTAGGAGCAAGGAGCAGCTCACTCAGGTTGGGGGAGGAATGTGACTTCTGTAGCATCACAAGATGTGTCATTTGGTATCTCTGAGTTGAATGCCCTCTTGCCTGTGCAGAGGGAGAAATTGATATTCCTACCTTTTGAATTTCTTTGCACTGCCTTGTAGGCAAGGTGAAAAGCTGATTATCCCAGCGAGGCAGGATCCTTAATATCTTGTGCAGAACCATTTGCCTGAAACTGTTTTGGCCAACATGAAGGTATCTATCTTCACAAGGTATAAAGGAATGGGCAGAGATCCAAATGCTCCCATTAAAATCATCTTCCACAAATATCTCTGGTGGAAAGCACAGAGGTCTTTGGAAGTGAAGTGTGGGTCCCAAAAAAACATTTGCCCACTTGTTTCCTCCCATGCTGTAGTATGAACTATGGTACTTGGTGACTACAATCAAGTGTGAACACAGGTGACTTTCAAAAGATAGCTCATGCAAAACATACTTCTCCCCACCCATAAAACAGACTTCACCCTATACAAGCTGTTCCAAACTGTTTTTATATTCTAAGCCAATTTAAATGAGCTTCAAATCGGAACTGCTACTTGTTCCACTAGAAGGAAAGTTTAATGATGTATCTATTTTTGTATATTGGTGCTGTTTTGTATATTGTATTTCTGATACTGTACTCATTTTCCCATGTGCTTTGTAAGCTGCCCAGAGTAACTGTTTATGAGCAACCATTTCCTGTATACTCCTCTGTCCACACCAGGTAAAGGAATGATGGACCTTGTTTGTGTGTGAAGGCTGCAGGACCCACTTTTTTTTATTCAGTAGATTTGAATGCAAAAAATGACTTATCTTCTTGTGGTAAAGTATGCACAAATGTTCTCCTGAATGTTCTTTTACTATAGTCTGGAAGTTCTGGACATTGTTTTTCTTCTGACTACCAAATAAGTGCTATCCCCGGTTGCTGTTTCTTCCCTGTCATAAATCTGGCTCTAGTACACAACTAGAAAGGGACTTAATTCACAAGGCCAAATGGAAAGAAACTGGTCACATATACTCCCTGCCTCTTCAGCTTGATGGGAGGAGATTGAGCATCCTGTACATAGCAAGGATGAACAATTTGTGACATTCCTGATATGTTGTGTTACTGCTCCAATATTATTTTACCATTGGTAAGGGTTGATGGGAACTGTTGGCCAAAACATCCAAAGAGCCCCATACATATCTTTCTCCATGAAGGGAGAAGTGGCCTTTCTTGTCACTTGTGCTGGGTTAGGCTACAGGGTATGAGCTATGGGAACGGAGGCTCCTGGCCGAGGGCTGGGATGACTTTTAGGGCACAGAAGAGCAGTAAGTTATGGGCTAAGCAGTGTACAATCTATCAGGATGTGTACTGCCACTATTTTAACTATGCAACTTCTGATCCATTCACTCAGAGGTTATTCTATTATGTCCAAAAACAGATGCTATGGGTTAAACCATCCAAAGTTCACCTAAAAAATAATTATCTGTTCTTTCATTAACTACCTATTACTTTTGTTCTCTATTGGTTTGGCTTCTAGTTTGAGTTTGTGTTCTAAAATAGTCTGAGTTCCAAAATGCTTTGCCTTCCTGAATCATGAAGATAACTGGGGATCTAGAAATAGGTTCCACATCCTCAGAATGTGCTTGCTAACTTGATTCCATGGTCCCTTAAAGGTGAAGAGCTACTTAGAGCTCTTGCCTACAAGAGGGAAAAAGGCTAAAAAGTAAAGAGGAGGGATTTTATTGCAGCAATTTCAAATAGTGAGAAGTATATATCACTGAAAAACATCTGCTTTATTGACTATGCTAAAGCCTTTGATTATGTGGATCACAACAAATTGTGGCAAGTTGTTAAAGAGATAGGAGTACCAGACCATCTTATTTGTCTCTTGAGAAACCTGTATGTGGGGTCAAGAAGCAACAGTGAGAACTGGACACGGAACCACTGATTGGTTCAAAATTGAGAAAGGAATTCGGCAAGGCTGTACACTGTCGCCCTGCCTATTTAACTTATATGCAGAGCACATAATGAGGAAAACAGAGCTAGATGAATCACAAGTTGAAATTAGGAAATATCAACAACCTCAGATATGCAGATGATACCACTCTAATGGCAGAAAGAGAAGAGGAACTAAAGAGCCTCTTGATGCGGGTGAAGGAGGACAGCACAAAAGTTGCCTTGAAATCCAACATTACGAAAACTATGATCATGGCATCCGAACCTATCATCTCCTGGCAAATAGGAGGGGAAGAAATGGAGGTGGTGACAGATTTTATTTTCCTGGGCTCCAAGATCACCACAGACAGGGACTGCAGCCAAGAAATTAAAAGACGCTTGCTCCTGGGGAGGAAAGCTATGACAAATCTAGACAGCATACTAAAAAGCAGAGATATCACCCTGCCAACAAAAGTGTGCATAGTCAAGGCTATGGTTTTCCCAGTTGCAATGTATGGCTGTGAAAGCTGAACCATAAGG